TCTGCAGTTGCATTGTTCTCAAAAATCAGACATGGTTTTATTTACGACTCGCTCCATGGGTTTCTCTCACCTCGCCTTATTTCATTCTTTCGCAACTGCAGCGTGTGTATAAGAAGTATTTGGCACAAAAAATGTTTTGACTCGCGCGCAGTCAGAGATACACTGATACAATACGGCCAACATGTGCAGCGTGGGCGGGTCATTGCGACACGAAACAGGTGCTGTTCGTTACGGTAAGCGCCAATTTCCTCCACTCAGGTAAAAGGTTTTGTTCAGTCAAATGATTAACGAAGACACTAGAATGTTCAATTTCCCAAGGGATTGCATTTACTTTCAAAACGGCAAAAATTAAGGGGATTAATTTATTACCTGTGAATTTTGAAGAAATAACGAAATCTTCGTAAAACAAGATAATAATTGAAACGGATATTAGCTTCTCTGTCAACTTAAACTGGTACTTTCAACACATGGATAGTTCTGACGCAAACGAAGTATTTTAGTCCAACAAAAATGCCATTTTGCGTCATGTGATGTAAATCCATTCGTTTTGTCGAGAAATTTCGATAACTTTTTAGCTTTTAAATTAAAACCATTACATAATTCGCTAGCGATGGCAATTTCAGAGTGGATTGTTTGAAAGACAAGTTAGGCGAAGCGATTAGAAGGCATCATATGAAATCTAGAGTGGATGATTACGAATGAGTATTTCAAGATATCACAAGGTCTCCAAATTATTCATCATAAATGTAATATTTGCGTGGTGGGTGTGTAGTTATAGAAACACGCATAATAAACGCCGAGTCAACAGTTTTTAGTGAGGCAGCTGATAGGATTTGCTAAAGAGAGGAAGCCTTAGGAGATGATAGAAATATCACGGTAAATGAAATCTTATCGTACTCTGGGGATCTCCGCTGTCCAATTACGTCATCTCCTCTCGGGATTGGCGGGAAAAACACGACTAAGTTGTTTTGTCGCTTTAGAAGCTTTCAACTACGATGTCACATTTTTGTCTAAAACCTTTAAGCCATTAAAGATTTTGTTTATTCTATAATCATTATCGGAGGTTAAATTTAACAGAATTTTACGTCGCTTTCCTCTCGAAGTAAGTGGGTGGGCTTAATTTATTTTCGGGATGCGCCGGTAAATCGTCCGACGTGTTTCCGATCTCATTCATTTTAACTTCGCTTGGTGAAATATAAGCTTACCTAGCGACGGGTAATAATTTCAGGAGAGATCCGGCGAAGTAGATGAAATTTCAGTGTCTATTAGTATGTACAAGGTAAGGTTTCACGACTCCCTTTCTGGGAAGTAGAATTGATTTGTCCTACCTCTGAGAATTAGAACTTACTCGGACTTGGTTGTCTGACGTGTGCAAACGGTAATTACAGAATATGTGAACGCCGTTTTGAGGAAATTGTCGCTCGGTATTTTCCCAAAGTGAGTGTCAAACAGTTAACATTATTGTACATCAAGAATTTCGAAAATATTATGATTCTTTTTACGTTAAAACAATGAAAAATCGGGCTTTAAAATCGTTTTAGTTCGTTTAGTTGTGGACGAGTGGTCATGGTAGTAATTTGCGTTCCGTGTGTATACAAACACTGGCGCCCACAAACTTATGAATGAAATTCTTTTGAGGGGGGTTATTTTGATAGTACATTACTTCTTAGTCTCAAGATGAATAACGTTTAAAGATTTTTCCGCTTCGAACGCTCGGCTGGAATTGATTGTTACATACGGTAGCTTTAGGAAACGTTTTGTGTGTGAAATTGAATAGCAGTGAATTCCACGTGCAAACTTCCTGAGTAAGGTAGTTTCACGCGCTTGGCGATTACAAGATATTGGCTTCTCTTTGCTTTTCGGTCGAAATGGCCAGATATGCAGCCTTCATAGAAACTGTAGGCGGTGGCCTCTTAAAAAAGGCTTTAGAAGGAGATCTGTCGAGATCTTTTACCAGTTAAAGCATTAATAAGGCAAGATGTCTCGTGACTCCCAACTTGAAAATTCGTTGCCAAGAGATTTCCGAACAAAATTTTGCCTTGAATTTTTCGTGAAAAATTCCATCGCCAATACCAGATGAATATAGTGCCATGCCAAATTATTATTATAAGGTCACTATTAAAATCATGAGCCTTTGGATCAGTATTTTGAATAACTGTCGGTTAAAATTTTCAGCGAAAATTCTGATCAAATTGAAGCTTCGTGTTGTCAATATTTTATAATCACAACATTACTATCGAGATTTCTGCATCGATTTCTAGCTCTTACCGAGGGGATTCCAAGCAATGATAGATTTCATTTTGGGAATCAAACAGCACAACCTGTCACTAGATTTGATGAATCTTAACAGTTCATTCGAACTGTTTATTTTGATGATCACTCTTCCGTTTATTTTTGGAAATGATATCTACTAATTGCTGATGGCATTTAAGAACTTCAGAGGAGTAGAATATTGTCAGCTCCCGCGGTAAAATGTGGTGTTTTTAACTAATAACTTTCCCGCCTCGCTCGATGGTAGGTTTCCTCGTAAATTCGTTGTCAAAGTGACGTCTACTTTACGGCAATTTTACTGGTCTATTCAGGGGAATTGATAATTGTTCAACGATTCTTATTATACTTAGCTGTAGTCCGATCACTTAAAGACTAAACTGACAGCAATTAAGAGTAATTTTCTAAGTAATAATTACAGAATGCAACCTCGCTGACTTGCAAATTATGTCTCATTATGTATTTTTCTATGACCGCCTGTCCGATAGACCGGAAGACTTTTAGATGTTATTTACGCACGCATTACTAATAAAACCGCAACGTAGTTGTGAAAGAGCAAAGAATTCCAAACACTCATCATGTGATTTTGGACACTTTAGTTTTGTCGTATTGATCATGTTTTTGTTTAAAGAATTTCAAGTTCTTGATAATTAGATTTTTTCACGTCGGCGAGATTATCACTTCAACTTCCCATTCAACGACTATGAGTCAAAACTGACATCGATTGCATCAGCGTTTATCCATCGTTACGCAAACAAAGGCTTCGAGAAAATATCGTAGTGATTTAAAATATCTGAGAAAGCAGAGCTCATTTGCTCAAAACACAATTGCCATTATTACAAGCTACTTTGAAAATAGCCCCATATCCAATACTTCGGAATTCATGTGACGCGATAAAACCACAGTAAAATTTTAATTTTTTATCAAGTGCAATCTTTTCATACCACAGTTTTATCGGATGGAATCAAAGCACCGAAACGCTAAGTCGCCGATGCAAATACGGAGGAATACATTTGTAAACAATATCTACCCACACACTTTTTACTCTGTAATGTGACACCGCTGACCACTATTTTTCCTTGAGGCTGTTTCTATGTTGCACCCGAATATTAGCCCGGAAATGACGACAATATTTTTTAGGATACTTAAGAAACTCTCAAAGAATTTCCGGATGGTGGGTTTCTAAATTTAGCAAAGCCTGAACTTCCATGACATTTCCTTACAAGGGGTTTATCCTTTCTTGACTTTTACGGCATTGACGAAAGAGTTCTGGCAAGGAAGAGTTGAAGAACGAACTGCTACGGTATGCAGGTATGCAGTCAATACAGCGGGCTCAAGGGTTCGAGGTGAAAAATTCAGATAAATTTTTGGAGAAAAAGGTGGCTGGCATTTAAAATCGGGGCGTTTTGTTGTCGTTGAAGGCATTTTCCTATTCCCAGTGTTATTAAGGAAAAAATTAACTTTTAAAAATATTTTGCGGGTGTACAAATTTTTTGGAGGCTGTTCTGTAAAAGAAAAGCGTAGACGTAAGTCAGCTGTGTCTTCTGGCAAAGGGATTGGTGAGAGGGTGGGAAAAAAACAGCGGTCAAACTTAAGGCATGCGCAAGGGAAACAATCTCGGCCAGCCGCGTGCCAGTTTCCCGCGCGGAAGTTTAGTGGAAAACATGAATAGCAATCGCTGTCTCACAGACTAAGAGAAAACAATATTAAAACGTTCCTTGAATAATAAATAGGAAAAAATCGATAACTTTCGTACAAAATGCTTATTTAACCACAGTTTCCTCTTGATTTATCATTTTGTTTAATGTTTTGGGCCTTATTGGGCAGTTTATAATTCTTGAAAGACAACTTTGTTCTGACAGCCTGAAAGCACGCCACCAAGGCTAGACAACTTTCTCACCTGAGAAAGTGTGAACGAGATAATCAACCCTCGCTACCCTATTGAAGTCGTATTTGACACTCGTGTACAGTATCACCTGATTCATGTCAGGCGACCGAAGGAGGTAAACGTCGGTTGTTTTCAAAACAAATAGCTCTTGTTTTGAAATGAGGTTGACCTTGGCCTGCCTCAATAGAAACATCTCTTTGTCTCCATTCTAGATAGCACCTTTTATATCACTTAAATTTTTGCACATCCAAGTTTCACGTGTTTTGTTCGAAACGTCCTTATGTCCAGCGCCTTTATTCTAGATCTTCATGTACTTACTATAGAAGTGTACGTTAAGCCAAATCATTTTAACGTTCTGTTTTCTCTTGCGAATTGTAGAGCGAAAAGTAAACGGCTTTGCCGAAAGAGTGAATTTTTAACGCACGTTTAACTTTTAGTTACGGCGAGTTCAAAAAAAGAATATTAATTATTAAAAAACTGTTCTCACTATCTCACAAAGGTGCTAGGTGAAAGACATTCCAACGTATACAATGCCTTAGAAATCAGAATGTTTATTGTTTCTCTGTGAAACTAAACTCTTACTGACCTTATAAGACTGAATCATAAGACTGTTTTGATCTGACCTGGTTATGTTGATTCACTGAGGTTTCTGATGAAGGTAAGAGATGATTGTTTTCCTGAGAAAAACCTTTAAAAAGGTAAAATAAAATTTGAAAGAGTTTACTTCTTGTTTCCGTTCATCGAGAGGAAACTCTGGCCAAGGCCGGTAGTGATTTGAAAGCACATGCAACGCAACCATCTCATTAAGCCTTTATGCTCTCAAAGAGAAATCTAAACCATTGTTATGGCCTGGTTGCCGCAGTTACTTAGTCAAAATGTTGTTACTTGTTTCCAGGTTTTATTGGCAAATGCGCTGAGTTGGATTTTGCTGTTGTGTGTTTCCCACTCAAGTTTCCTTCCGTCGGAAGCGCTGCCGGTCGGAAACTCGCCGAAGGGCAGTCGAAGGGAGGCGAGTGGTTCCGATGATGACTCGGATAACGTAGAACAGGCATTTATCTCACCTGAACATCAGGTGTATATGCGCCTTACGATGAATAAACCACAAATGGACAGAAACTTGCATAAAAAACCTCCGACATACGTACGGAGGGGAAAATTATTTAATCGCAATGGTTACCTTTTAAGAATTAAACGCGATGGAACCGTGGATGGGACTACGGACAGTAATTCTCCTCTAGGTAAGTGCTTCAATAAATATTTTTGTTTTAAATTAAAAAAGACGAAGAAGTCAAGTGACCTAATTTGAATCGAACCGTGATACGAGTCACATGATGTGATGTTCAGACAAAACACTCTACTCTTCCAGTACTTTTAAGGCTCGATTTCCCGCCGCAGTTTGGGAAGTGAGCCTGCGTTCCTTCCCCGTAGAGACTCCAGAAGATCGAAAAAAGGAGTCGAGAAGGCGGCAGAAACCGAACGTAAGAGCCCCTCCCTCCCTACTCAAGAATATCAACTTGTACAAAGAAACTGTCGAGGATGCGCTGTGAATGCCTCAGAAGGGACGTGGGGGGGGGGGTTTGGAAGACTACCGTGCTTTGGAAAATATAATTCAATAAAGAAAAAAAATCACCTCACAAGGGAAATGCAACAAGCACTGTAGGACCCCCTTCCCTTCCCTTGGATCAAATGTACCTTGGAGCTCAGGGGGATATGAGGTCAAGTGAACCTAGGAACCCCCTTTAAAGTTACACCCCTGTCATTTGACAAAGAAACAAACTTGCCCCACCCCTTTGGTTTTTGAGTGGGCTTTTTAGCACTCATACAGGCTTGCCGAAGCTCAACCTGATCTGACAGCAAAGTAGCATTGTATCACGAAACACGGCAGTCAGACGCGTGCGCATGCGCGAACGTTTTAGCGAATGAGGCGTACTTTCGGAACCAAGTTGTGTTTTTCGAAATTTTGCGCAGGAAATTGGCGTGCGGTCGGCCAAAATTGATCTATTTGCGCATACTCGACGTTTGACCGCTGTGTTGTCTTACGATAAACAACTTCTTTTAACTATCACTAACACATACTGAGCGGTATTCCAGGAAACTAACCTACTTTATTTTTTTCACGTTCCAACAGCTGAGTTGGAGTTCCACTCAATCGGGACCGGGTTGCTAATGATACTGGGCCTGACAAGTCAAAGATATTTATCGTTCAGTGAAAAAGGTGTCTTACGCGGAATTGTAAGTAGAAATGCTCAGTTTTATGTGATTGTTAAGAGATGGAGATTTAATGGCTGCTCTTTATACTGGCCGAGAAATCTAGATTGAGTCACTAGTTTTTACTGTTGCTACTCTCTGATTGGTTGATCTTTCTCAACCAATCACACGAAAGCTTCAAGGGCTACAGGTGAAGTAGCCCTGAGCATTTTCCCAGGCTTAACACCGTATGCGCTTCAAGTTCTTATTAGCTGACTGCTTTGATACCTATGCTGTGATTGGCCACAACGTTGTACTCGATACACAGGCGCAAATAGGAAAAAGGAATATTTTGCACTCTTTTCACTCCAATTCTGCTGCTATAAGGCTTTTAATCTTCCGCCATTTCTCCTCACACTGTTTATTTTTTCTTCTAATCGAAATAGGAGGAACCGTCGCTAAACTGCGTTTTTAAGGAAATTCAGGAAGAAAACACGTACCATTCGTTCTTGTTGTACAAAAACACAAAATGGTTAGTTGGAATAAAGAAGAACGGCCGAGCAAAGGGGGCTTCCCTAACAAGAGTAGGTCAAAAATCAACGCAATTTATAGTTAAATATAATTAAAGTTATATTAATCTATTATTTAACTAACGCCATCTGTAAATTCAATATAGAATTAAAACGCTAGTACTGTTAGTCAAGTGCAAATGTTTCTGTTACGAGAAAGAAACTTGAATGAAACCTTAAATTTCACACAAAAAAATTTAGTTACAGTTTGCGAAGCAAACGCGCCTTTTATGTCCTTTCTACGTTCTTTCGGCGTTTTTCCCTCGTAGAGGAAGAAACGTGAAAAACGCAGTAATTGATGGTAGCCACGAAACGATGATGTCGTTTCTTGGCTGCCATGAAAAGTCATAATGTATTTTCATTTTAAATTGGAGATGAAGTCTTCAAATTGTCAAATTGAATCACTCTCGTTAAGTGTTTTTGGAATTAATATATTGTACTGGATTGTCTCAGACAGTCTTAAATATCGACCGCAGGCGGTGTTGAAAAAAACAAAAAAAATAAAAATCGGCCGATTGAAAAAAAAGTATGTTGCCAAGCAACGAATTGCAAATTTAGTTTATCAAAATACAGCCGCAGCAGAAACATTTGTATTTGCACTGACGTACTTTTTTTTGTACCCCAATCACTTTATTTGACCGCGTTAAATGCGCATGCAATACGCGTATACATTGCGTCCAACATGCATTTTAGGGCATGGTTCGTCGACTCGTAAAACGTGAACGGACTTTTAAGGGGAAAACTTAAATGTTGTGATGGTAGAAAAAACAGTTTGGCAAATCTTCCAAGCTCCATCTGGAGAAGTATTTTTACTCAGAATATAACCAAACTATACTTGCGGGGAGTTTTTCTTGTTTCCAGCTTTGAGTATGGATGCAACGGCATTTCAAAACCGAGTAGAACTGGGTTCTTTAAGTTTTAACGCACGTGCTTTTTAGGGCAAGCCGCTGGCCGATAAACCTCACTGTGGTTTTTTGATCGGTGATAATGATGGTATTCTCCTAGTTTGCTTCACGAAGATGTATTGACTACGGTTGTTATTGTCTAGTAGCTTTTCTGTGATACCAGGTATAACAGGAAGCTGTTTAGCCTCGTCAAAGTATTCCGATGCCTATCATTATTGTAAATTATGAGCGAAACACAGCGGTTAAACGTCTGCACAGGGGCAAACGTAACAACAACTATGTGGCAAGCTTTCAGGCCGTCAGGACCAAGTTGTCCCTCACGAGTTACGTACAGCCACACAAGCCAGTAAGTCACGGCGCTCTAAAGACGTATAACTTTTTCGGTGAGGCTCGAAAAAGAGTTGTAAATAAACTGGATAATCTTTGTTTCCTTTTTGACCAATTTCTATTTACGTTTCAATTATCCTTCGCTTATGCTGTGAGACAGCGCTAGTTCTTAATGTTTTCTTTAGAAATTTCGCGCGGGAAATTGGTGCGCGGCCGGCCAGAATTGATTGCGTTGCGCATGCTTGACGTTCGACCGCTGTGTTGTGACCTGTGTTGCATCGTCAGAATGTTGAATGTAGCTATTGTCGGTTTAGTGAAAAAGGTTTGTCCGGGTACGAATATATAGTGTCAGAATTTGGGTGTCTCCTTTTTCAGCCGAAGAGTCGCGAAACGTTATTAATTTCCTTGTAAAAGCTTGGGCGGTACAGCCCGTTAGTTCAGATCTTTTTCTGCAAAATTTTGATGTTTTTCTTACTATGTAAGAACAAGTAAGCACTGATGGAGCTTTCGTAAAAAATTCGGACATGTTAGAAATTTTATCCCAAACGGTGATAGTCTACTTATAGTTTTCTTGCGTTATTATGTGCGTCTACGTTAGATTAGATTAGGTTTGCATAGCTCTCTTTGGCTAAAAATATTCAACCAATCAGAGCAAGTTTACAGTATTTGTAACCAATTAGCAGCAAAGTTTTCTCTCAAGTACGTTTCATTCGTTTCCTTGCGTATTTCACCGGCTGTCGTTTTCCCGCGCTTAGCATTGGCAACACGTTTCTTCTTCATGAGGTCTCGTATATTGGTCTGTTTAAGATATTAGTTGGTGATTGGTCAATGGGAAATTGCACTTAGCCTCCGTTGTTTCAAGCAGAGACATTTTTAGGTTTTCAACCGTTAACAAAAAGAGCAAGTGTTTAAGAATTGGTTACAACAACAGCTCTTTGAATTTGCCAGTCGACGAATTAAATACGCGGCGATAAGAGTAAGGTTTATTAAGTCTAGACGACCTTATCATTTCGATCGCCAGATCTTGCGATATATCTTTGTTGATCAACAGAACTTTAAAATACTCTCATTTACCTCGTTAGTTACTCAAATCCTCAGTTGTCTATAACAATATTATTTAATGACTCACGGTTCATCGTACAGAAATACATTACATTATTTATTAATCACGGTTTGCAGATACATCAGCTCGTTAGAATAACTCTTTCACTTCCACAATTTCACCTACCTACAGTTGTTGTTTTGTTGATATTTTTCTTTATTCTCATCACCTGTCTGTTCAATATTGTATTGATACTGTAAGAGGAAATTAGTTCCTCGTCACTTGTAGGAGTGAAAGGGTTAGTTGGCTTTGCCAGATTGTCGTTGTAACGCGTTTCTATCGCGTTTAAGACGCATTTCTCACGCGTTCTTGGAACACGACAAGCCTCCTATCTAGCGTGCCAGTTTATTTTTTTTTCCAAGAAATCTAGCTTAATTTTATTTTAGTAAACGCGATAAAGACACATGATTTACGTAGCGGTAATTTTTGTTTCCAAATCTGTAGTTTTAATTACAAGTTAATAGTCATATACATCATTTCAAAGGTGGAAACTTATTTCAAATAAAAGTTAAAAATTATTGTTTATTTAATGTAAGTACCACGACGTATTAGGACTGTGAGAAGTAACAATTTGACCCAAATAATACAGTGACAAAATTATTTAAGGAGGAATTCTCCTCAATGTACATGATCTTCAATGATCAATTGTAAATAGCCAGAGAAGATAGATATGTTGGCAAAAAACTGTTAATGTATTTTTAGAGCAAATATTTGCAATAAAACCAAAGAAAAATCTTGAAATCTGTGTTAATGATTTCGACTTATTGGAGAGAGTCAGTGGTAAAAGAATTTTCCCAAATCTTGTACCCAGGCCTCCTACTGCCAAAAATTAAGAGCACAATTGCTAACATTGGTTGTGAAGAGGACAACTGACACAGGTTAAAAAAGAGCCTTTTTTTTCTAAACTCTCCTTAGCTCAATTATTTGTCCCCTCTAAGTAATTAAAAAAAGTTTCCCCACCACTTTCCTGTCTCTTAAAAAAATTAAGTGATAGGTAGATACTATTGTTACTTGCTAGGTGCTCTGGGTACTCATAAATGTTTGAACCTTTGAAGCTGGCACTTATCTGAGGAGGGCACTCTTTCAAACCTGGGTGCTTATTCAATCTCCACCATTTTCAGCAAGTATTAAGTTCACTTTGCCACAAAACAACAAATAATAAAAAAATGTTTAGATATCTATACACAGGCAGTGAATTAAGAGATCATAAGTGAGCTATGAAGTAATAATCAAAACTCCTCCTTATTTGAGGTTGGGTGGTTAATCAAATAAACAGGGATTTCTTAAATTTGTTTCTTGAGATGGTTTTCAAGATGATGAAAATCAAGGCCATATCAGTGACAGTGACCTTCTACACAACTGACAAAGAGTTGAAACCCAGACCTTGTAGACCGTTTCTTCTGAGCCATTCACTTACAAAATGAAACTATTTACCTTGAACACCTCAACATTTAAAGATACAATTATTGCATTCTACTTGTATTCCCACCTCACCCCAGCAGGGCAAGGTTCAGATTTCCTACCCCCCTAGGCACAGACCATGGTCAAATGCTGGTGAGTTACCCAAGGCAGGGGAGACGTTGAAGCTTTAAGTTTGTTGGGAAGTAAAGTAAATATATCCAGTAATTGCTCTCTGGATGCTATTCATCATCATCATCATCACTATCTGAATCCTTAGCATTCATCTGTTGCAAAGAACTTGTCATAACATCATGAACTTTATTCTTTTTACGTGGATCCTCTTCTAAGTCTGTTTTTACTGCCCCAGCTTCAGCCAACATCCATTCCAATTCTATAAATATAGAGTTATGGCATCAAAATTAATCACTAAACAAGAAATAAATATGGAACATAAATTGATTTGTTTATAGTTGTGCCATCATGACTGGAGACATTTAGGATTGTAATATGCCCTTTGACCTAAGAGTGACTAGCATCTAATTTCTCCATATAATGTCAGCTCTGAATCACACACTTAGGTCACAAGAATCACAAATCTCTTGATTGTTACACAAATTCTCCTCATCAGAACCTAAAGAAATGTATAAAGAACAGTAAAGAGAATACTGATACTGATGTGAGGGTGTAAAGAGTTAAAAAAAAAAAAACAATAGCTCAGAGCACTGAAATTTAAAGAGAGACTACTGCACAGTACCAGAGAATTCAATTATCATCAGATCTCTGCTTCTTTCTTTTTATTCTATACAACTTACCTTCGATCTTAAGATTCATTCCTCCAAATGCAAAAGGTCCTACAAACTGTTTCTTCATGTCCTCTTCGCAGTAGATAAATATCGTTGGAAGATGTCTGTCAGGATAGTTTGGTATACATGTTGTTGATACACTCTTTAAAAATTTTGTGGTTGGAAACTTCTCAGCCAGGCGTGTGAGGAACTGATTTACTAGTGTACATAATGGAACACTTTGCCAGGTTAAGGAAGATATGACTGTTAAATGCATATTTTGTAATAAATAATAATCGTATTTTTTTAATCCCAAGACATGTTCAGCAGTCTCAGACATGATTTTCAGCTGACCCTTTAATTTACAAGATCTGTTTGTTAATTCTCCTCTCTAACTGCTATCCATTTCCTTGTCAATGAGTTCCTAGAATTTAGTGCTGGATCAAGATAACAACCTCTACCTGATGAGTTTGAGTATTCTCATTACCTGCTTGCTGGATAATGTGGGGGATACTATAGAGAGAAGTTACATGTTAATCACTTTTGATACTTAAAGATTTCAGTTTATCTTTCTTACAAGTAAAAGGTTGCTTCTTTTGAGAGGAAACAATAACATTTCTACCATGGTTATTTTTTAAAATATGGATGTTAAGGGAAAAACATTTTAATGTTAATTGCTTTCTTATATTTTTAACATTGTATTCCATGACAGACGCAAGGTGCTCCATGCTAGTCCACAAAATATTCCATGGTAGATGCGAGTTTTTTTTTTCAATCCTCTACACCCTAATATCATTAGGCATATTCTCCACACTGTTCTCTATACATTTCCTAAGGTGTTGACAAGGAGAATTTGTTTAACAATCAAGGGCTTCTTCGGTTGGTGATCATTTCCTTTATTCTCATGACCTTACTGTGTGATTCAAAGGTGATACTGTGAGGAGAAATTATATTCAAGTCACTCTTAAGGATCAAAGGGAGACTGATCCTTATTTATAACAAATTGACACATGCGGATCACAAAAGGATACCCAGGCTTGTAGAGATGAAGAACAACCCAGATTCCTTTGCCAGCTTTATTGACTTCGTCCACATAGTCCTGAGCAGAAATCTCTCTAACATCACCAAATTTGGATGCCTTCTGAAATTTCTGTATTTCTGCCAATCTTTGTTGTCTTTGAATAAAACAAATTAAATAAATAAAAATAAAAAACAATAATATTCAAATGAAGAGAAATGGTGACTCCCTCCAAGAAGATGTACAGGTGAAAGAATAATCCTAGATACCATTCAGTGCCCTGTGTCCCTGGAGTTTTGAAAATGATATAGAAAAAGTTTAAATTAATCCTTTAACTCCCAGATTTGTATCCAAAGAACCAAGATTAGTTTAAAATTTAATCCTTTAACTCCCAGATTGAATTTTCTAATTCTCATAACCAGGGTTACTGTTTTTTCAGAAACAATTTTCAATTTTTTTTTCCAGGCTTCAGATTATTAGAGAATTTAGTACTGGATCAACTAATTATCCCCAAATTGATATTTTCTTTCATTGAACTCTAAAGAGCCTCTATATCAGTTTCAATTTGCCGCTTTTTTCTTCTTCAGCACATCAATCCCATCCATTGCTGCCTTTCTTTTAAGCGAGTTTTCCTGGGACACTTTAATTCTCTTCTGCTCTTCTAGATAGGAAATATATTTCTGTCGCTCCCAGCAGATGCCATAAGTAGTTGCTTTGAGATTTTTACATTGGCAAGGCCTCCAACTGATTCAATATGATCATGAATAATCCTCTGTGCAATGAACGATCTTTCCGACAGGTTCTCAACTGCCACTTCTTTGTTTACAGAAAATCCTCTTTCAACTGTGGCTTGACCATGAGACATTAGCAGCAATAATTCAACTACCCCCATGCTTTTGCCAGTTGCTTATTACCAGCCATGTGTTCATATAACAGTGTGTCGACTCTTAAAGAGGATTCACTAGGGTCAAAATCTTCAAAGTCAGGATTACCTGCACATTCATCCAAAAACTGTCCAAACTGATATATCACCTCATCACACTCATCAGCCTTCAATCTGTGGGCTTCCACAAGAATTTCAAGAACTCTTTTCATTTTTTTTTGACACATCCTTCTTTCTCTGATGCCATTAGCCTTGGATCCAGACAAGACATACTTCTTACTAGTCGATAATTTATTGGTGTTTTGTCAAGCAGTTTAGAGGCTGTTTTTGCAAGAAAATCTTTACATTCCATTCTGAATTGAAGAACTTGCCTTTCACTCAATTTCCCAGATTTTTCTTTCAGCATGTGTTGTGCCACAAAGCCAACATCAACTTTCTGGTAGTCTAACTGCTGTTCTTTATCAGTGGGCTTCAACCTCAGGATCTTCAGAGGAGATGTTGCCTCGGTAACAAGTTCACCCTTGATAAACCTATTCAACAATGATTTCAACAAAGTGTACAAACTGATACTCATGAATGGCAGCATAGGTTTATCAGTCTGAAATGCTGTGAGAAAAGGATTGATCTGTTTTGCCACTGATGAGAAGAAGGCAATCTTTGCTGGCATCAAGGGATCACAGCAACTACTGCTAATGGTCTCGTAAGATTTGGACTTGGGATCAGTAACTTTCTTTGCCTTAACAGCATTAATGTATTTGACAATGTGAGGCCACACTTCCAGTGCTCGCCGGCAACTGACACATTCTCTAACCACCGGTGCTGGCAGAATTTTAGGGGAATACACTGCTACCAGTTATTCTAATGTAGTCTTCTCTTGAGCGGACTGTCTTTAAACAGCCAGTAAAGACTGGAGAGAGTTTTCTGCACCGTCCATCCAGCTGCATCACAACCATCCTTAAAAGCTCCATGCACAACATGTATACCACAACTGCCTGTGTTAAGGAGAGTGCAACTGAAATCACTCTTCAATTCTTGCTCTACCATTTCATAAAATTTCCAGTTAACCTTGGGCCCATCCATAGAGAGTTGAATCAGATTTCTACAGCTCAAGTCCTCTTTGCAAGAATGAAACTTTTGAAGCATATCCTCTGCACTAGAATGCCCAAGAAATTGTGAATCATAATAGCGAGTTTCAACTTTGTCATGATTCCAGATGCGAACATGGAAATCCATCTGCTTCTTTTGCAGTTCGTGATTCAAACTTTCATCAAACAAAAGCACATATCCCTTTGAAGATTTGACTTTTTCCTTTAGAAGACTCTTGAAACATGGTGCAATACCAAAGCAAGAAAGATAGGAGGCCTTTTTCTCCCCACAGGTAAATTTCTTTGCAATGTCACTGTCTGGAAACATTTGCTGCACTAAGAAGTTTATATCTGTACAGGAATTATACGAATAATGGCTGCTATTCACCTTTAGCGCCCACCAAATTTCAGCAGTTAAAGTATCATTCCTCGTCACGAACCCGACATACCTGCTGTTGTACTAGCGGCACTACTTGATACAGTCAAAGTAGAGTTGTTACTTTCAGTGGCTGTTCGAGGGGCAGCGAAAAGAGCTGTTCGAGAAAAGGTTTCTTATGTCACCTGTTGTATTTAATAAAATTCCAGGACTTTCCAGGATTTCCAGGACCCGTACGAACCCTGCATAACTTATCTGGTTGATATTGTATTGATATTGTAAGGAGAAATTCTGTCTTGGTCACTCATGGGAGTTAAAGGGTTTAGAATGATTTAAGGTCATACCTATGACTCTAACAAGAAAAAGATTTGCTGTCACTTTAAACAATACAGTCTGTCCCAAAGACGTACCACAAGGACTCATCTCTACATGCCACCTAGGGTATCCTTCAAACTGGTAGGGTGCCTCCACTTTCACAAGAGAGGGGTGGGTGAGAAACACAAATGACTAGTTTGTTCTCTTACATGCATAATCAGTTATGTAAACCTCAGAGATTAACACAGATTATAACAATTGGATAGAAGAAAAAGGTGAAAATTCAATAGGTAAACAGTCATACAGGAAGTCTGTAGTCAACCAGTCTTAGGACTAACTTTGAACCATTCTGATAATAAAACTTGCTTTACAACATCGAGAATTTCAATACACTGTTTAAGATATTTATAAGGTAAAAGCTGGTTTTCACATGTAGGGAAATCCCAGATGATTGGTAATTCCACTATTTCCCAACTATTGCAGATTTTGTGGATGTAAATTGGGAGAGTACCAGATGTTTGTCTTGGTAGATTATAGACACCACTTCACCACTTCATTTGTGACTCATGAGCAGTGGAGCCAAGAATTAAAAAATTGGTAATCTTATCAAATGTCAAAGGGAAAGTATGAGACAATTTAATCTCTGATCATTGCAGAAATCTGGGACATGCAGAGAAAATATAAGTACCTTAGAGGTTCTGAAAATTGTTGCTCACTTTGTTCAGAAGATTGTTTTAAAATTCTGGACTCTGCTTCCACAAGCTTCCAATTGAAAATTAAGGAAGCCATTCACATCCTTTGGGCGCAGCCATCTTTAAATTTGCAGGTCAAACACTGATCTTAATTTATCGCTGTCATACTAATCAGTCTCCCTTAGAATAAATAGTTTCATTTTTTTTTGGGTTTTTTTAAATTATTCTTGTTAACATCTCACTTTATTATACTATTTATTGCATAATTTCATTTTTTTTCTCATTAAAAAACTGACAATGGATGATGCTTCATCCGAAACATGTACTGTTTTCATTAAAAAATATAAAACAAATGAACTTCAAAAACATCGTGTGGTTCATCACAGCGATAATATAATATGTAATAAATACATATAAATGCCTCTGATTTTCAACCATCTCAGAAAGTCAGGGATGTCTTCCATTCCAAGACTTCCTTAGTCTGAAAACTCTGAGACAGGTCGGTAATGGTAAAATTTCTAACCATCTAGGGTGTTCTTGACATATGAAAAACCAGGTAACGTCAGGTAAGAGTAAAAAAATAAAAGTTCTTTTGTCGACTGAACTGACGATTGGAAAGTATCTGTCTTTAACTCCTTAACACAAGGTATTTTTATTTTGAATCAGCTAAGGTTTACCTTTTTCATACTTTAAGTTTTCATTGCCTTATATGGTAAAAGCAAGATTGTCATTGACAGCAATAGCTTTCAAGTCTACTTCATGCCGAGATAAGAAAATAAAATCCGTACAAAAAAAATTTCCTACCTATACTGTAGCAAAACACGTTCATCTTCTTCATCTTCCAGTTCCTCCAGTTCTTCCAAAGTCATATCTTCATACGCTTTCACTACATTTCCTGTTTTCTGTTGGACAGTTTCTTCTACAAGATCGATAAGTTGATCTTCACTAACTTCTTTTTCCGGTAAAATTCCGTGTCGACGTAAGGCATCGTTCCATTGGGTATCCTCGCTGGGGTTTTGCATTTCTTAGTCTGTTGACTTTGATATGTTACCAATTATCGGGTGTTAAAAGTGAAAGAATTTGCTTCAACCCTCTGCTAACTTTACAATAACTTTACGATCATTGACAGATTGGTAAATGGTCAGCAGCTTATATTTCCAAATATTGCTTTGTTTGTGTAAGTTTCACCAGGTATCTTGAACAACACAAACATCTTGAGCTAATTTTTCCCCACTGAGATCATATTTTTCTTAAAAAATATACCATTTTCGATTACCGAATTTGATTCGAACTTTTCGTATTTATCGAGTCTTGACAGGATAGAAACAAAATCGTAGAAAAGTGGGTAATTTTCTAAAGAAACTTTGGTGCGCGCCGAGATAATTTGGTTTAATAAAATGAGTTTATAATGTAAATAGTTTCTGAAGCTGACGTCTTTAGCGTCAGCCTTTCGACAGCTTGAGCGAATTATGACAAGTTCTATCTTCAAATATTACGCTATCAACATTGTTGATCTTAGCAGCATGCAGGACGGGTGTCATATGAACTTCGCTCACCGTGGAGTCTATGTGGCTCAGTGGTAAAGCATCGGAGCGCGGAATCCGAAGGTTTGAGGTTCGATTCGTCATGGGAACTCAGAATTTTTTCCTTGTCCCACGCTTGTGAAAAAACGAAAAAACATCTATGTCAAGTTTATATATGAAAAGTTTATGAAGATGGAGCTACGCTATTAGTAGGACTGCTTGGTAACTTGTCTAACATTAGAAATACAAGAATGAATAAGTTGAATGAAATTTGAATGGGATTTAAGGGTGCCGATTTGAAAGATTAATTTTTGTTCTAGAGTTCTGTATCTTTTCAAACTGCCTAAACATGAAGAAAGGCCTCAGAAACCACGTCTAGCCTAGAATGATACGAGAGACCAAAGTGTCTAGCAAAGTAAAGTGAATATGCAGTTTTCCTTCTAAAACTACGAAACATACCAAATACACGATCATTCACTTGAAGTTATTTTCTAACAAAAGATTGCAAAGTGATTATATGGTATTTGGGACCATCCTATATGACGCTACTGAAATTAATTGCGTCCTTTTAAACTTCTAGAGGATGGAAGGTTCACTCGATTCCAGTACTCTAACGGGCGTACATCAGTGTACGTGTTTGTCGGTGAGAGGCTGTGAACCTTAATGAAAATCACTTCCGTTAGCAAACAGAATTAGAGGTTGCTAAACGTGGGCGTGTTGCTGCCTGCTGCATTTCTTTTTTTGTTTTGTTTCTTTTTCTGTTTAAATTCATATAAGCTTTCGTAGGCTTATCAGATTTACAATTGACGTCATTGTATCCGGCAAAGATCTATGCACTATGCCGGAAGTGAAGAAAAAAGCCGGTCTTTAATCACTAGATAAATGCTGTAATTCCTAAGGTCACACGATTACAAAGAAACATTCTTTTCATTTTATGTTCTGACCGGTCACCTATGATAAGGAGATTTTTCACGAATTAGTAGTGACTACTTTTCCCAACACGTGCCGATAGGGAAAATGTATAAATCATTGCGTAGAAGAACAACCACTTTCAAGTCTGAGAATCTAGCCTAGAACATGGAAGGAAAAGTGTCGTCGCAGCAACAATAAAATGTTATGACGCAAATGTGCATGCGCACATGTAAGGAATGTGCTGGCCTTTACGCATGCGCATGCGGCAGAGGAATGATTCTCTATAAAGAAGCAACAGCAACTCTCGCTTGCAATAAAGATAAACCTCAATCCTTTAACTTCCACAAGTGATTAACATGCGACTTCTCTCTATAATATCCATACTTTATCCAACTAACAGGTTATGAGAATACTCTAATTTATCAGGTAGACGTTGTCATCGTGATTTAACTCCAAATTCTCGTAAAAAATTTAAAAGGAATTGTTAGTTAAGGAGGGAGAATTACCAATCAGATCTTTGTAGTTTAAAGGTTTAAAAAGTCGCCTACACTGATCGGATGAAAGATACTGGCTGTAGCTACGCTTGTGCACGTTTGTGATCAATGCTCAGTGTAACCTTAAATTGTCAAGTGCTTTCTTTATTATTTTCAGTGGTCACACAGATCAAGAACTGTCAGTGATGCAGTTTGAAGTAAACAGTGATAGAACAAAGACTAAAAATGCTGGCACTTCAAACAGTCGGTAACCAAATGTTGATTCATATCCAACACACGTAGATTTTTGCAGTCAGTCAGTTTTGCTTAAAAAAAAAAACACTCGCGCTGTTCCACAAAGCGCACAAAAAAGATTGGAGAAAAAAGTTTGGCTTTTCAGCAAAATTTTAAAATTATTTTCTATGTTTTCACGAGCAATAACGTATTTTCCTTCAGCAAATCAATAAATAAAGGCAATAAACTTGTCCTTAATGTAATCCCCTTTAAATTTCTAACTTGTTCTCTTATCGCTTGATCTTCATGACTTCAATTGATATCCAATAAATCTCGAGATATCTTCTTTTTTCACAGGGGAATGTCACGTAAAGGCTACTTATGCCTCAAAGCAAAATATCTTGTTCCCACGAAGTACTTAGTTGCCATGACAACTGATGACTGCGTCGGCGTACGACTGATATAAGGGTCAACTACTTTTTCAAGGCAGGAAATTTGAAAACGTCTTTTAGTTCGAATCTTTGATGATTTATTTGCTGCAATTGAGGGTCTTAAATCGCAAATTTTAGTTGAAAAGTTCACCAAGAGCTCTTTCAGCGAAGTCTTAATGCTTGATTCACAGCGTGCTAAATTTCTATCATCTAGTGAAGTAATCCTCTTAAACTTCAATGGCAGTTGGATTATCAATTGATTTTTTCTTTTATGGGGATTATGCCCCTTCCTAATCAGTCAAAAAAAAAAAATACTCAGAAACAATAAACTTCCAAAGGGATTACTTGAAAAATGATTAGGTCTGAGAACAATTCCGTTAGGAGCTGTAATGTCCATTACCGCTCATCACGTAAAGGTTACCACAAGTGCAAGGGGGAGGGGAGGGTCATTATTTAGATAGGTCTAAACTTAGACTAAATATTTTTGTCTTTTCGAAGCAAAACGAATAACAGGGAGAGAAAAGCAAGTAAAGCGATGATTCTCGCTGATAAGCTGCAATTTAAACCATTGCAGAAGAAAAGAAAAGTAAAAAAGAGATTCAGGCTTTGACGTGATTCAAACGCATGCCTCCCAGATGCTACAAACTGAGTTACAAAGCCACACGCCGGGAGGACTGGGAGCGGGGTAACATTTTAAAGGGTTTTTCTACGCCTTAGAGGTATCTTCTTTAAAATTAAGAACTAGAAAAGTGAGCAAAATTTATCATCTGAACTTAATTCCCTACCGGCTTCGGAAGCGATGTGAATTTTAAACACGGCTCAAACGAGAGAGTATAAATATGTTCTCTTGAGCTCAAGTGCCCAATTCAAATACCACGTATGAAAACGTACGTGGACTTTAGAACCAGGATTGACCGCAGATGTGGAAAATGGCATGTTCTAATTTGAAATAGAGTCAGGAATTGGAGATTTGATCAGTTGGACCCCTGCCAAGAATCCCAAGGTGTACTCCCGCGCGTAAAAATCGCTCTAGAATAAAGCTTAATTTGTTTATTCAGTGGTACCACAGTTCTACGTAGCTTTTCTTTGCTTTTTAGACCCTATTCCGCAAAATACATATGAAAGATACTGAAAACCACTCAAGACAGACAGGCAGACGGCGGAAACATTTATTTAAAACATTCCGTCAGAAGAGAGACATTTACTCAACCCCAGCAAAATAAAACGTTTTCGGCAAAGTTCTTATTGTATATATTACATTAAGAACTTCAGCATCCTTGATCATTAAATAATGACGTAGCAAACATGTAATTTACGTTAAGTTTTGCATTTTTACAGTGTTTCAGTGCTTTGCCTTAAATGAAAAGCCTGCCCTATTTCAAGACCTTTCTAAACACGCCAAAACAAACTTCCGAGAGATATACAAATTTCTATCCGTTCCTCGTAAAACTGAAATTCCGTTAGTTGTGGGCCTTGTTTGAAGGGCAGCTCTGAATTCAATGGAGATCTTAGGTTGTTCTACATAGACTAATAAAATTATCATGAGAGGCTGGCTGACCTGGCGTGATCACGTGATCACTTCTTTGGACGTGACTTCTGACTGAACGAAGCCGACTACCATGGAAAAGCCGCGATGAAGATGAGAAGGCAAAGTGTAAAAACTGTGAAGATAAATCGACGAAACTACGCACTTCAGTTCACTACCAACTGAGTCGCGATTTCACACTGGCCCCATTATTCCAGCTGTAAGACTTCTGGCAGAAAACTAGCTATTCCGAAAAAAAATTTGTTTCCGTCCGTTTTAAGTTAATCTTGTGGCCGGCCAGAAGAGGGAAACCGGAGAAATGCTGCGGAATTAGCGGTTTTTCGAACTTAAGGATGGTTATAAAATCTTCTTGGATTTAAAACTAATTTCAGCAAGTATTTCACAATTTCTGGTTTTGTGCCACTTGCAGCTCAGCTGTCAATACCAGCTGGTGAGCTCGGGAAAAACGGGTTGAACAGGAGAGAGGTCATCCAAAACAATAATAGAGAGTAAATACCAATGATTTGATCCCGTAACTTATAACTGAGAGGAGATTATTGTTGCATGTTCCTGAAGAACTTGTTAAAAATAAACCTTGTAAAAGATTAAGAGAGAAAAATGTGTGTGTCACAAAATGAAAATATTGGCTCCTATTTTAAAGAAAGAAGGTAATTCATTTACCTTCTGAGAAAACTTCAAGGAGACGAACAGCGAGCACCTTCGACATTGTAAACTCATGTGTGAAAACGTCCCCCCCACCTTCGTTCATTGACATCAGTTACAACCCTAAATTTCGTTTAGCGCTTTGAAAATGGCTGTTTGCGGTAAGTCGGATGGCTTAAGTTATTTCTAAACAGAGTGAAGAATAAAGTAACTCAACAATTCGCTCTGTCAGCCATGACTAGCTTTAATAATCTAGGACAAGTGCATGACCTTGAGCACGGGCTAGCTGTGGCGAAACTTGATTCCCCTGATAAAGTTCTGAAGGATTTACTCGTTCTTCGAGATACTTGTAATGTGAAACAATCGGAAAACAAAGAGCTTTTTGTCTTCGCTACTTTAGAATTATGATGGAACAAATTAAGTGGATGAGAAATTTAAACGGACTTTCCTTTTATCACTCATCAGATAGTTCGATAGGCAGGCATTTTGCCCAGAACCAAATGAACTTTTAACATAACCGTCTGAGTTACATAAGTTAAATCGTGCTGGTTTTTTTACAAAAAGCGTGAATCACGTTTTCATGTCAAAAATGTAGGATTAAATGGCTATGCGGCATGTTTCCCAACAACTTGTGAAATACCTGGTTCTTTCATGGACATGAAACACAATGCAGATACCATATTGACAGAAATCGTTTTGCAAACTGAATCATGGAATTTTGACTTTCATAGCACCTTGTTCGTGCATCCCCGCATGGCAGCTAAATTATCATATTTTTAAATATAATTCGTACAAGTTTTTCTAAAAAGATTTACTGGTTTATGATGAAAAGTTCTGTCAACGCAAGTGCTCTAATCAAGCTAAAGCGGTGTAAAAGCTTTCCAGATAATTTTCACCGGATGTATCATGTTACCGGATGTTACGTCAATCTCGTTGCAACAGCACCGCTTTCCTCTCAATAAATGTTTGCTTATTAAACAGGAAAATTCATTTGATAAATATACCTCACCGAAGTAACAACTCAACTTGGCGCTGAAGGTGAAAGAATTTTCACATCAAAAAAGGACTCGCAAAAATTATCATGTCCATTCCCGAAATTACAGCTTCAAGCCATACAAGTTCGTCGATGGAAGGCTCACGCATCACAAGGCTTTATTCATTGCACGAGGTTGTGCTTGAGTACAGTGTTGTCATCATAACTCTGGGCTGTTTTTTGCTAATATCCTTATCTTCAAGATTACTAAAAGGAAACAGCAGCTGCCAATGTCTACCAGAACTTTGCTACTAGCTTTGAACAGTCAACAAGTTCATCTCATTGATCAAAGAGGATTTTGTTGCGGGAAAGCTTGAAATTAACGATTTGGCGTTACAGCAAGGACAGAAGCCTTCTCTAAGCCGGAAAAACTGTAGAACAAAGATCTTCATAGAAGACTGAAAACCCAAGTTAAAACCAGAGTGGAAGAGAAGAAGCGTTTTTTAACCAACAAAAACCAGACATATGTATTTATTGACTTTGAGAAAACATTTTGGGATTACTTTTAACCAAAAACTTTCACCGCACTTTGGTTAAGGAAGGACAATTTGTACCATCAATATTGCAGATAATCCTACGAATGAGAAAACTCTCTCTATTTTTCAAAACAAACTTTAGTTTTTTTGATGTGTTTTAGTACAACAAACGATTCACACGCAAACGTGTAGTGTTAAATTCAGATAATTTATTATGCGAAGTCTGCTTGCACGTTTCCCAATGGACAAAGCCGCATGTATACACACGAGGATAAAGCATCATTCACAGTTATTTTTATTTATGCTTTAACAGATTACATTTAAAATGTACAAAGCTTTTTCTACGAGTGGTATTTAATGACAAAATCTTTGAAATGTCAAAAAAAAAAAATTAAAAAAAAAATTATTTATTGAATTCTAACGCTTTATTGCAGTTATTTATGTCTATGATTACTAATTTGTGATGAAACAGCAGATTACATCGAGAATGTACAAAACAATGCAATTTCCCCAACAGTTCCGTTTCACAAGTTCCACCCTTATGCATCATTTCCGGTTAAATTTTGTCGAAATTACATTCCACTTTGATAAAAAATTCTGCGTACTACCATAGTTCCGTTCATTTACCTGAATATCTTTTTCAGTTTGATTTCATAACAATTAGGAGCATTATCGTATATCTCTTAACATTGAGAGAATGATTGAAATATTTTAAACCCATATGCATTTATTTTGCGTCATTGCTGCAAAAAATGAAAAAAAAATGAAATCATAATTTACCTGAGTCATGGCAGTGACTGTAAAGAGGACTCTTTTAAGCGTTAAAATTAATTCATTACCAGTTATGTCCAGCTCAGCGATTATAGAATGCGCTTTTCGATGGGATTTTGTAAAAATCGGGATCGCCTCTTTGAGTCACTACAGAACCCGGAGTCAAAAGATCAGACAGTGTAGTGTTACTTCTATTTACTCTGATAACCAAAATAACCTATAGCACATCAGACAAATAAAAAAATGTCATTAGTGTAGAAGAATTTAGGGGGCTTTAACTCTCGGGGCAAGTGTAGTATGTGAGAGTGTGTTGTGTGAGGGGGGTGGGGTGGGGTTGGGGTTTACTAAGAGGGAGATTTAGCTTCTCCGACAACGCCAGCTGACGGGCGGGTTCGCTCAGGTGCTGGAGCCCTACCGGCTGGGCTACCAAAATTAGCAACATCACCCAAAAATCACACACATTGCGAAATCATCTCGAGATTATCTCCTGGTGACTGATCGCCTTCGACTTACCTCAATTAGCATGTGGAGCAAGAGAACCGCTCGTAAACTCAGACAGATTGAAACGGTGCACGCAGAATTTGAACTGATCAAGTGTAACATAAATGAGAGATATATTTACAAAATTGTTTCTCATTTGACTCTAGCAAAGTTCTTGATTTTCTGTTTTCTTTGGCCAAGGAGGAAAGATAATTTTTGTGGGGAACCCTGTGGTCAAATGAATGCTTAATCATTCTGTCGCGTTGCGTGATCGCGTGATTTGTGGAAGAGTTACGAAACTCATTTACAACCGCGATAATTATCGAACACGGCGATTTTGACGGTCGGGAAATGGTAACGCTTTCGGTGGATGATCATTTCCTATCGGCTTACCTTTTTTATGGTGCCATACTAATGCTTAAGACTTGGGTAATGTCCTTTGTAACCGCGAGGCATCGTATTGCGAACAAGGTAAGTAAACCCGTCAGTTGTTATCATGTCATTGTGTAGTGACAAAAACTTTCAAGCTAGCGGGAATTGGAAACTGAAAGAATACGAATTTAGTTTAAGGTTTAAAACTTAGGTTGATAAAGATATCATGCTGTTCTGTAAACATTTAATGATTGCTTGGATTGGATTGAGTCGCAAACAACATGTGACGAAGCTCCGCATTCCACAGTTGTCGATCGATATTTCAGTTTCGGTGTTTACGAACTGTGACATGTTGCGTGACATATTGTTACGTCGCTGATTCCCCGTATGTAACGGTGATCAAAGAAAATTATGTGCTCTCCACTGGAACTGACAGGTGTGAAATTTACAGAGATGCATGTAGAAGCGTTTATTTTAAAAGGGAATCTATTTCGGTGATTCTTAAATAAAAATTGTTGTCAGTAAATAGGCCTATGCCGATTGTGCTTCGCAACTTTTGGCGTTTGGAGCAACTTTATGCGGTTCCAGCAACTTCAAGCAATTTTCACATTACTAAGCTATTTTTGAGCAAAATATAGGTTTGGAGCACATATCACGAGTGAAAAAGTCGAGTATTTCAAGGAAAACCAACACATAATCTGTCAGATAACAATGTTTCACAGGCCTATTGCGATCTTTGCCTAATATTATAGCGGATAATTGGCTAAAATGACGTTTGGCAAGACGTTAAATAAACCATGTGTTTCGTTCCGTATTTCACGTGCTTATCAAGAAGTTGTTGAAGCCTACGTGTAACAACTTGCATTCACGCATCCGCATAAGAGTCTTGACGTAAACTGTGACTTGAAACGAAAAAAACCCTGGAATTTATAACTTCTGTTGGCCTTTGTCCAGCTGATTTACCGTACATTTTGTGAAAATATTTTTTAAGGGAGGGGGAGAGGGAAGGAACCTCTCGCTGGTTTTTTCATGTGTCGGGTAGGTTCATTTCCATAAAGCTTCTTCTTTCCAACGTGGAAAAGCACGTGGTAGGCTGTGTGGGGTAGGAGATTGAGCTCCGCCCTCCCTAGTTGTGGACATAAAAATTTGCACATTTGAAAATACTTCAGGAAACCCTTTCCGGGTCTCGTTTCCTCGAAAATTGTGTCATTCATGGCCTTCTTTTTTCCCCTTCTTTGTCGGAATACAGGCGTTTCCAAGTCCAGAGGATTATAGGCGCAGACCCGTCCAAATAAATGCTGATGTGGAAAGAGTGAGAAGGTATCACTGTAAGTTTTTTTTTTAGTTAATGACATAGGATATAAATTGGAAAAATACATCGACAGTTTCTATTTTCATTGCAGAGCTCATCTTAATGATCTGGAGAACATTCCAATATTCATGATCACAGCGTGGTTGTACATGTTTTCTGGCATGCCAGTCTCGTGGGGAATTTGGTGCTTACGGGTCTTCACGGCCGCCAGGGTCTTTCACACCATAGTTTATTTGAACGCCTTCAGCTACCCAAGGGCTGTGAGTTTCGCGGTTGGTGCATGTTGCACAGCGTTTATGGCCATTTGCGTGTTATATTCTGTAATTTGAGCCGTTGAGAATGACGTCTAAAATAGTTGAAACTGCCAGATTTGAATATTAAATTCGGTGTAAAAATCACAGCCTTCTTCGCAAACCCTTATCAGTTATTGGCGTTGTTTTCAACCTATGTGCGTTAACGTAAGTAGGCAGAGACAGCAATAACAATAACGATGACGACGTCAACAAATATCGCGTTCGACGATGGCGATGACGAAATAGATGACGATTAACAACAGTGACGACGACGATGACGATGACGATGACGATGACGATGACGATAACGATGAAGATGAAGATAATGATGACGATGACGATAACGATGATAATGATGACGATGACGATGACGATGACGATGGCGATGACGACGACGACGATGACGACGTTGACCTTGATGTTTGATTACAAAATTCCTGACATAGTATCATACGTTGGGAAGAAATGTGCGGTCTTGCCTTTCTAAGCATTATATAAACAATTTTGTTCACTGAATCAGCACATCGAGGGAGAGAGTCTAGTGGTTCTGCTGCGCGTTTGATTAGATTCTGACTCGTGATAAGTTGTTCCGTGATATTAAAGATAATTCGATTTTTTGCAAGTTGTTTTGGTGGTCTTCGATCTAGCTCATGTTTTACGGTTTGTGTATACGTTTTGTATGTTTGGTTTTGTAATTGCCGCGATTTATCGTAATTTGTTTACTGCTAAACGAATCTATCTTCAGTGAAGACAGATTTCTCAATAAGATTTCGTCATTTCTATCATTCTGTGTTGTACTCATGTTATCTGGTCTTAATAACTGGTTAAATAACTATCACAGCTTCCTTTCATAAACAAAAACCCACACAGGTGGAACTAAAGAAATTTTCCTTAGGGGTATTTCCAAACTTATGCATAGTTGGTCATGGGTGAAAATCAAAGATCATAAAATGATTAGTTTTTATTCAAATTTTTTGATTCTTGGAATTTAAACTGGCCAATGTAGGCAACCGTACTTATAAGTTGAAACCCCAGATCATGAAAAATTAGTCACGTTTTTTCAAGGAATCGCTATCTTCAAAAGCGCAATCCGCGGATAATGCCTTCTTTGTTCGAGTAAAACATATTAGTTAGCAACCAGTTAATGAAAAGAAAAAACTGATTATTTAATAGTCATTATATTTAAGCCTCTACACCAGAAAAGTCTCCATTCACTAATATCATTTTCTTTCTCTATGTGCGGTCCAAGAATTAATCATTTTGCACGTTAACCTTTGATTTCAATTGCGTGCATGAAATTTTGTTAGGCCGGATATGAGATTCTTATCAATTACATGGACGATTGATCGAATCAATATTGGTAGCTGGGTAACTGCATACCTACCCCTCCCCCAACCTAGCATCAACCCGATATTCTCATCAGTTGACTTTTGTCGGGTTAGGGGAGGGGTAGGTACGCGGTTGCTCAAACACCGACAGTGATCCGATTGATCTCTTCAAGTTAATGAGTTTCTTGGTGACAAACTTCATTAAAACGTGGAAGGAGCCGCACACGCAACGGCTCTATTTACTCCCCAACACCTCTGGTACAAAGCAAAGGTGAAACTTCGCAACAAATGACAATATTTCTGTTAACAGGTTCAATACAGGTACCTGCAAAAACAGTATCACCTTTGCCTGATGGCAGATAATATTGCCACCTATTATTGTGATCATCCCTAAAATTGTCGTAAAAATGGCTGTGCGACGCGTTAGTTTGGGAAGAACGCTCTCACGATACTGCTTTTTCGGTTTGGCCGCTCTTTCTGTTTATCTTCAACAAGCAAGCATGGCACCAAATCAGTTCCCGTCGAATGGTCGGACGTTAAGCGGAGAGGTCGAGAACAGGAGTGATTTCGTTAGAGGTCAAGTGTTGAAGAACCTTCTAACCTTTTACGCTTCAATTAGAGATCAAAATGTTGTAAGAGATGGGATTCAGTCGAGGGCAAAACTAAACTATGATCGATCGAAACGGGAAAGCAACGGAAAGTCTTGTGATCAGTTCAGCGTGCAAGCAAATTGCTCCAAGTGTGGATTCCACGGTATTTGCGTGCGCGGTTCTGCAAGAATTTCCCCCTGGCTTTCTTTCGCCTTAAAAACACAGCGAGAGCTCCAAATTGACATTCCCATTAATCTTGTGCAAGTTCTTGGAGCTCATAATTCCTACAATAACAGAGCCAGTGGATATGGGGATTTAGACGATTGTCATTGGCCACATCAAACAGATGACGTATGCATCGCGTTGGCCAATCAAGAGTTTAGTTTTACGGACCAGCTAAACATGGGCGTGCGCAATATGGAGATTGACCTCTGGAAATGTTTTGATAAAATTCGTATGAGCCACGGTAACCAAAATTTTTTAGTTGGATGCTTCCCATGGGATGCAGAATTCGCTGATGGAATGAAAGAAATCTCGGACTGGACTAATAAACACGAAAACCGGAACGAAGTACTTGAAATACTTTTTGATGACCACACAACCCGCCAAGAAGATTCATCGATAAACCAAGTTATTGAGCAATACTTCGGTGACAGGGTCTTCACACCGAGTGACTTAAAACAGAAGTTTGGCGATAATTGGCCGAGTACTAGACAATTACGTGAAATGAATAAAACGATAATTGTCTTGGACGGAAATAATCATTCAGCTCGTTTCCTCCATGATCATTTGTGGAGCAAAGGCTTTACCGTAAAAGGTTTTGAGGCACGTGTTAAAAATTGTTCTACTGTAGGTAATAGTAAAGACAAAATTAGAGTCTATAGTGATAGTACCGTGTATGGACCAGTGTATAATGGTATTAGGAACGTAGGAACGATCATGGACTTCAAGAAATATCTAATGTGCGGTGTCAGCGTTCTTAGCGCGGACCAAATAAACGCCGAGCTCATGGAAACAGGTGTATTCACGTGGGCTAAGGGTGAACCAAAACAAGCCATTAATGAATCTTCATGCGTCGTGCTCTCACGTGACAAAAGATGGTATGTGAGGGACTGTAACGAGAAACACTATTACGCATGCGTTTCAAAACAGGAGGAAAACCGCTGGAGTTTGAGCGCGGGGGTGGGAAAGTATTTCAGTCCTTTGTGTAAGAAAGGAATGGAATTTAGCGTGCCAAAAAATGGATATCAACATCAACAGCTCGTTCAAGCAGCTCAAGGAAAGACTGTCTGGTTAAATCTAACGTCATTTATACCACTGCTTCTAAATTAGACATTCGTGGAATTTTTTTTTCGTACCAGATTTAAATTTTGAAAACAGCAGGGAAAGAGCGACATAATCATACATTGTAACCATAACTTAAAGCAATATTTTTCACGTCACTTGTCTGCTTGATATTGTATTGATATTGTAAGGAAAATTCTGTATTGGTCATTCATGGGAGTTAAGGGTTAATGTATTAATTCGACAGAGATTCTCGGTTTTTTTCTGAATGAGCCAATAAAAGATTGTAGGAACGAATTACACAAAAATCTTGATATCTATGGGCTGCATTGATAACTCGTTAAAACTAATTCATTATATAGGAGGGTCTCAATGGGGTGATGGCGTGATGGCTTTTACGGCCAACGGTTAAATACGGCTAACTGTAAATTTCTTCGCATTACGGTCAAAAGACAGATTTTAAGAGGATTTTTGCTTTGTCACAATAAATTTACCTAACGCCCCCCTCTTTTTTAGGATCTGTGCTCCATGGCATTTTAATGATCCCCTCTCATTAGCCGTCAATATTTCATAGTGCTAATGAGGGGATCATTCCTTTTAAACTCTGTTAGCAACGACTAATTCCCCTCTAGTCCCCCTGAAAACCCAACTGATCCCCCCCCCCAGCACCCCGGGGTTGTAAGATTGTAAACAAGCTCTTGGAGTAGCATCCTGTGTCACTAATATTGTTTATTTCTCCATCTCCTTAATTTTTCTAAATTCCGTTTGTGTTATACCGTGCTCTGCTAATGTTGTACGGTTTAAAAAGCGGAAAACTACAACTCATAAAAACCACGATTTCCTCAATTGTTTTGCGCTGGGTTTGATCGTATCGGAGATCGGTATTGGGTCTGGGACTGTGCCCCATGGATTTAAGCGGCTGATGGCCATAGTGAAGGTAACTCCAACTAAATATCAAACTCTATGTTAGTGAAAAAGGATATTAGTTGCAGAATTAGGCAATTTGGAGTGTTAGGACATCTATTGCGATGGACGCCAGTAAACACAAAGAATGACGTCATTAATCGGAATTAATTTCTGATGAAACGTAACTTCACGATGTCATGCGCACAAAGTCAATCTCTTGAAGTGTCAGCATTTTCCCGTATTCCTCTCGGTTCTTTCAATAAATCTGTCAATTTTGAGCACTGAAAACACTTTGATTGTTAATTCTCACCCGCAGCTGCTACACATTTCTATGTAAATAAGATAATTTAGTTTTATTAGCTGAGTTCATAATGTGGAGTGCTAGTAGTTACAGGAATTTAGTGTTAGATCAAGATAAATTCTCATTACCTTTTTGCTGGGTAACGTAAGGATTTTCTAGGGAGATGTTACATGTTAATCGCCTCTGCGAGTTACAGGGTTAATTTGTTTAACCGTTTAAACCCTAAGGGTAACCAGCATCTAATTTCTCCCTACAGTAATAGCGGAGCTCGCAGAGCGTAGCCCCATAATTATACAAAATAGTAGTAACCCATCAAGCCCAAAAAATTTGGATGTACGACCGTACGACCGTACAAGGTGCTACTTTTAACATGCGTGGTCAACTGTACCGCGGGCACGCCAACGCCACGGCTTTGTCCAGTAGTCCAGTGGTCAGTGCACTGGGCTCCGAGTCCGACGACCCGGGTTCTGGTCCTGGCCGCGCCGGGGCAAGACGTTGTGCCGTTGAGACGTGCGGAAAAAATGAGCTCCGCTTTTAGGCTTGGCTAAATCTATATATTATTGCTAAACCATTCATTTCGATTATGAAAATAAAGGAAATGATCGCCAACCTAAGAGGCTTTGATCTTCAAATGAATTCTCCTTGTCAGTACTAAAAGAAACAAATGCAGAAGAGTATGGAGAATGTGGATATTGATGTTAGGGTGTAAACGGGTTAAAGAGGAGACATTTACTCAAAATGGAGAGTTTCGGTCTTCTAATCATCTCACGCCTGATCGGAGAATTACTTCCACACCAGGCTCACACTGTGAGCCGCCAGGATAACAAAAATAAATTTGTGAGGGATAGAGGGGTTGAGAGATGAGCGGGGGGGGGGGGGGGGTGGAAGTTAGGAGGATCCTACCTTTGATCCCCTTTCACATTCATGGTCAGCATTCGAACCAAACTTCAATGCAGCACACCGAAACACAAAACGTCAGTCAACTACTGAACTAATACTCACTAGAGATGTTAATAAAGTGTAATTTATTTCTAGTTTTTCCTTATAATTAACAACTATATCCACGTTTAACGCAGTTTATAAAACGTGTATTAAACTGGAAATAAAATTAAGTTGTAAACTCTAAATAAATGCAATTCAACCTTTAAGTTAACCAATAAGGAAATCACGTTTTAACAGTATATTTGCCTCTAGGCACCCTATCAATTTCTTCCAAAGTGGTGCTTTTAATGTTCTTAAAATGTAATGGGCTTTTCAAGAAAACGCTGCGGCCATTTGGAATAAATTAAAGGGAGCATTGTTACAGCGTTTCTCATCAGGCCAAAAAATTCCTTCGTCACAACTAATGTGATATGCATAGTGATTCCAAACACAATTTACCAAATACAACTTTGAACAAAATTCCTTAGTCACAACTACTGTGATATGCACAGTGATTCCAAACACAATTTACCAAATACAACTTTGAAGAATCGAGTTTCCATAAACGTTTCAGGCTGAGCTATGTAAATTTATGTACTACATTACTTCAGTTTTACTTCTCTAAAACAGCATGTTCCAACTACTGGGAGTCTCGGTAGCCTAAGTATAAGCCATTTCGGCACTGGGGAGGAGCCTCGACACTGATCTAACTTAGACGTTGCAGCTCAAAGGTTTAGTTTTTTGATCTCCCCTTGGCCCTTTAAGATGCACTGATCCTTGCTGCACGGTTACAGCGTTGTTATCTTTTTTTTTATAGAATCGACAGTAACAATACACAGCAAACGGTATTAATATCGCAGGTACACCCAGAACGATGGGTATCACAATTTTCTTCCATGATGCTGTGAAAATCAAATAAAAACAACAAAAAGGGTTACAGCCATTATCAACGTTACCATTAAGCCTCCTAGATTGCAACAGGCTTTTTTTAGATTCTGGTTTGGCTCTATCTTTCTCTTTCTCTATCCTTAGCGCGACAAATTTTAAGTTGAGATACCTTTGGTTGGTTTGGCTGTTGACGAGCGTTCTTCAGTTGGGGTGACTGTTTCCATTGGCCGTGTTGAAAGTTTGGGTTTCTCAGGAGGTATAGCACGTGTCGAATCTACTTCGCTCCTAAGTTCTGATGTAAGTGGATCTGAAGAAGTGCCATACAATATCAAGGACCAGCTGTGAAGCTGACCTGTAGAATAAACACAGAAACATTACCAAGCGAACGCAAAACAATGACAATTCCGCAGTTAGGAAACAGTATCCCCATAAAAGCTGGATTGCTGAATCTGTGAGCATATGAAAGATCTGCTTAATCAAACTACCATAAGTAAAGGCTAGAAATGTACGGTCCCTAGCGTGGAATGGTGGAATTGAGTTTTCGCTTAATCAATTAAATAAACATGTGAATGAGCAAAAGAAACGCTCAGCCTTCCACCTCCCCATCACGAAGAAGAAAGATATGCTCAGCTTGAAAGTACGTAATTTAGGCCGGCTTAAATTTCCAGGCAGCAAATCAAAGAGAGCATTTGCCGTACAACTAACAGACGAAGTTTGATCTGGTATTTCTGAGGATTGAGAAAAATAAGAAACAAAAACAAAACCACCAACAAACACACAATAACTCAAAACTCTTAAAGTAAGCAATAGATCACCTGAACTTGGATATCGCTTGTCAAAATCATCAATTTTTAGCTCCCATTTGCCATTCGGGTCTTCTCCCCAGTGAAAAAGAGATGTAATAATCCAGTCAGTCAAGTTTCTGAATCCTGTTAAGTTGTCTACGAACCGCTTTCGAGTCATTGGAGATGTTGTGTTGCTTGGTGCTCTCAACTGCAGGGACAAGTCGCCACGGCGAGAGAAATTAAGATTGACTCTGATCTGCACGTGCTCCAGAAATTTAATTGCACAACCTTTCACTTCTATTAAAACCGTTCCTGGGATGTTTCTGAAACGAAGAATTGCAAAGAGACTAGGTTAATCGCCGCCAGTAAAAATGCTTCCTCTAATAATTAAAATGGAAGTCTTGTTGCTCAATAGCCCATCACCAATTAAGGAGAATTTGAGATGGTGCTAAATGTAAATTTTAATAACCGCCATATAGGCAAACGTCTGTTAACAGTTTTTAAGAATGACATGGGGTACTAAAAGGGGCGAGAGTGTTTTCACTCATGAGATTTGCGGAGATGATTGCTCACTGAAACGAATGCACGGGTTAGCATCATTGAACTATTTTTCAAAAATCTTACCTTTCAGATAATTGATTTCAATGGTTCACCGATCAGATAGACATTTCTTGTTTATTCAAACAAGACGTAGGAAGCCAGTAAGGTCTGCACACGTTAAAATGCGAGTTTCTGCTTCCGAAAAAGGAAAATAAAAAAAAAAGAAAAAAGAAAAAAAAGAGAGAGAGAATTGACACTTACGCGTCTTTGTCACTGCCTTCGATCTCGCATTTTATCTGCACCGGTATTTCCTTCCATTTACTTGCTAACATCACCATCTTGCCAGCGTCCATAAGCCCAAAGCCATAAACCTTGCTAATATGAAACCCTGCTTTGTTTTGCAGCCAATGACCTTGTTGAAGCCAGAATCCACCGGGCGCTGCTCTTGCACTGTTGGCTATGATGTGTTGGACGTCACGCCACGTTAAGTTGGGGCTGGAAAAGGTAACAAACTTAAGAAATTGTATCTTCGGATTGATTTTAATAACCTTAAACTTCAGCAGAAATTCCTCGAATGAACACGAGTGGAATTCGTCTCAGTCCCCTCGATTAGCGCCCACTCATAGAAGGGTCGCTCCACCTTCCCCTCCACAACGATAAAGACTGGTCAGTGAGGGATTCTTTAACAGCATCAAGAATAATTCACACATCTTGAGCTCCAGGAACATATGCATGTGCATACCCCTGTGTAAACTACAAGTTGTTTTTCACCTTCGATTTCGCGCTTCGGGTTTTTATTGCATACTCTTTAAGCCGGCAGGACTTACCAGCAAAAAGCGGCTTCATGAGTCTTGGTTAGTTTTCTTAACAAAGAGGAGGTCACATGCCCCCTTAAAACCGGTGTTTCACCCCACAACCCAAGCTAAGTTTTTATTTAACTACGAGAGGGGTACGTTCATTCTGTGCAACCCGCCTCACTTTACTCATGAATATGAACTCGAAGACATAACAATCTTACTTTGCATGTAGGGTCAGTGCAATCAGTCCTGATGCAATGGCAGTAGCCGCCGACGAAGCTACGAAATCGTTGACACAACCGTTTGCGTTATCAACAGTTACCTAGATGGTATACGAAATTTTCATACATTAGCAGGCAGAGAGATGTAGAGAATGAGCGAAATTATTAGTTTGGGGATAACGTTTGACTTAAATATCAAATTAAGTCACTTAGGGTCACAACTTTAGTTGGAAAATTTCGCGTTAGGCCAAAATAATTTAGTGGGTCTGACGACATTGTACATATTCTCGGCTGAACGGAATGTAACCGACCTCACGAGTATTTGTGTTCACTCCGCTTATTCAAAAATCCAAACAATAAAGACACAGGAAAATGGATAGAAAGAAACGAAACTTACTATAGACTTGCAATAAAGGAAAAGATCTAGCTTAAAGGTTTCACAGTCTTAACGACATTGAAACGTCGCCTTCGCTGTTTTTCTTTCCTTTCATCTATTTGTGGGTTACAAACCGTATTGACCCATTCCACTTACAATTCCTCCGCCTTTGACATTGCTGTACGTGGTGGCCATGATTCCAGGACATTCTTCTGCGTAGATGGGACGGGATCCATCTTTATTGACACCGTTGATGGCGATGGTGTAAATACTATTCACATAACCATTGTATGCACAGCTGTCTCCTGTAAAACCGCCATTTCCAGCAGCAAACGTGTAGATGGCACCTCGTTTATTACGACCCTTGGTTTAAACAAAGGATATATATATACATATATATTAGCCATTACGACATCGTTGACTATTTACAAGGAAGAAACTCATTTACTTGAAAGTATACAATGTGTAACAAGCCATTGTTATTGGCAAAAACTTTGGATAAAAACACATGCACCACCAGGTCATTTAGAAAAAAAAAAAAAAAAAAAAAAAAATTGGCCTCTTTTATCCACACGGAGAACCTACTTTTCACTTGTGGAATGTTACAAAATTGTTTTTGGCCTCTCCCATTTAGACTTTCAAGAATTTTTCGAATTTACATAAGTGCGTTCCACAAGGGCTAATCATTCTTATAAACTTTACTTCAAATCTTCGAGGATAAATTGTTTTAAAAATTCTTTTTTTATTAGGGTAGTTAGCGATTGGAACAATTTACCAAAGCATGTTGTAGAGGCAGGGACTCTGGAACTTTTTAAATTAAGATTAAAAATATTTTTAAAATTGTAAACATTAGATAGTTCCTTTCTTCTTCTTCATTTTTTTTTTTTTTTTTTTTTCTGTACATAGCTCTACATTTGTTACTTTTTATTTTTTTTTCAGGGGAGTTGTTATATAGGGCTAACCTCCAAACTCCCCTTTTCAAATTTTTATATATAAATTTATTTGTATATAGAATTTGAATAAAGGTGTATGTATGTATGTATGTATGTATGTATGTATGTAGGTCCAAATGCTAGGGCTGTCCACTTGGAAGTGTTTACAGATGGTAACCAACTAAGACAAGTTAATGCGCCTTCGTTCGTCCTTCAAAAAGGGATGAACGAAAGCGATCGCGCTCAGACCGCTCTATCAATGAAAATGTCAACGACAATGAAGCTAATCGTCACAATGATGGTGTTTGGTGCTGTTAGAGACACTGGTGGCATGCGTAATTGTAGTAAAAATGGCAAGAACTATAAAGATGGTGGCAAAAGCTAAAATGTGATAAAGCTGGGAAGATTATGGACAAAAGATGAAATATCTTGTGGGCTGAACTGGATGACTTTATTTAATGATAAAAGCTCCAATCACTTGATAAAATACCTGTTTAATGCCTTTTTCTAAGGCTGCACTGGTCAGTGGTCCAGGACCCTCAATTTGCCATGCCATATCACCCGGTCCCCAGCTGTTAGAGTATATGTCAATACTTTCTAGCTTGTGCACCAAGGCCGCAGATTCTGTCGCATCAGTTGACTTATTCTTACCATCAAAAATGCGAATGCCTGACACAAGAGAATACGGGTTTAAATTTAGGTGTCTTCCTCACGAGAGGAGCATTATACAAATACAGAAGCATAGAAAACGTTTACCGAGTTACTTGCACCCTTTGATTCAATTCTATCTATTTCTGCGGGTAGTAAAACATCAAGAGTGTAGAATTTTGTCTACAAATTTACCTTCTACCTGAGCTTAACCTGGGGAATATCCGGTGACATTTCCCAAACTATTTTTTCCAAATTTCCAAACCCTACGTCCAATACGAAAAAAATCTTCGTTTAAAATCAAACTAAAGATGAGCTAGGATGGTACTTTGGGGTGGTCTTTTCATTTTCCCTGATGTGCAATTTGTTTATATGGACAAGTTGGAGGAGTTCGCTTTGCTCCCTCGATTGCAAAGGACATTTACGTAATGAAAGGTATTTATGTTATATCTGACACATGTATTTGGAAATCAAGCATGCAACTGATCCCCAAGGATTTAAAGGAGAGGGTAACTTCATAGTCCGGGAACGAACTACTGAGATTAGCACGAGTCCTGTTTTCACATTCTTTTCTCCTGAGTCTGTCAATTGTATCATCTAACTCCTTTGAATGTATTGGTTACAAAGGGTGACCAATACATTAAAGTCAAACGGTTAGACTATTCTCTAAATACTAGTTATTACCTGCAATGTTAGCTTCATAAGCCATTCCCACACCACATAAATTATTATTGCGTTTTCCAGCTATGACACCTGCACATTTGTTACCATGTCTGTAAACAAATCGAGATAATCATAGAATGGTTTCACTGTCTCAGGTCTTTGTAATTGGCTTCAAGCATACACCTATACAAGAAAGGAAACGATCTTCCCTGGAAATTACAGAAAAAAGGGTGAATATTTCAAGACCAGATACAAATAATTTCAGTTAATTTTGGCTTCAAGTATGCAGCTAATTCTCACTGTTATCATATATTTATCATACCACCAGAAAACATTCGTTGTACGATTTGTGCAACAGCCTTTGGCTTCGCCAGATAACATAAAACCTCAGATAATTTTAGCAGATTTCATGGTCTTTAAAAACGCTTTTTGTGAAATAGGAGGATATATGTCAAATTGGTATTCTTGACTTCACAAAATCTCTTAAGTTAATTTGTGAATTAGAAAGAAATAAAATAACGGTTAAATGAAGATATCAAAGCAACTGAGGCAAGGCCATATGCGGAGGCTAAACGAGAGCTCTGGAAAGTTACAGAAGTTGTACGTCCAAGCGTTCAAAATCTGATCTACTTAATTGCAGTAGCTTTCTTGCATAAAATCGAACAATACTGCTTTTTCCATTCCTTTGCCACCATCACTCAGCTGAATGCCTCTCTCCAAAAAATAATTCTTTACTTTCCCACATTGAATTCGAGAAGTTTTCGCTAATTTCTATCCCCACGGCTCTTTATTCTACATACCTTGGAGAGCGCACTTAGCCTCGTTCTCGCGCCCGTGAGAAATCGGAAGTGACCTCTCATCGTATATAATTTTCGTAAATTTAGGCCTCACGGAAAGATACCCCACCCATGGAAACCGTAACCCCCTGAAATCTCAGACATGCGTAGATTACATTACTTTGTACCACTGCCTGATAAAAGGAACGCGGGCTCGTGCTGAGGGTTGTTTACATCAAAGTTGCAGATTTGTGTTAATTAATTGCCGGCCGACTCGCTGACGAGAACTCCTGATGGCTCGTAAAAGACCTCACGGCAGCCAGTTTTCTAGTAAAAATCAGCCACCAGCCAAAAAGAAGCAGAGAAAACATGAAGATTATTTTGAAAAAGTTGAAAAAAAAAGCGTTGCGGTGCAAGTTTGCAACTTTTTAGCTGAAGAAAAAATCGATCGACTCAAGAGAGAATGCAAGAGTTTGAGGTCTGAAAACGCAAATCTAAAAGGAACAGTCAAAACCTTACGACGCAGTATAGGTAAGTGATATTATTTCAGGGAATGGAAATGCAAGGACTTGCAAATGTCTAAGAATTGCCTGAGCCACGAACTACGATGAATGATTTTCATTCCCATTCTGAATTTTCGGCGGTACATTCATAGACACAAGGTGGACATATTATCATGAAACTCTCCAGTGGTATCTTAAGTATGGAAAAGCTTGTTTACAGCTCGCTGAGTGTCTCCTTGAAAGATTGCCAAAATCAGATAGCCACCAGACTATTTGGCAAGATGTCATTAAGCTGAGCTCCAGTCCAATGATTCAAGTTGAAATCAAGTTTTTGTTTGAATTCCTCGATAAGTTTATCATCCCATCTCTGAATACATCCCAAGCTAGTGATGCAGAACTTGGATTCTCCAGTGGTTACCTAGCAAGGTTATGGCCAGCAACTGTTCTGAAGCACCATGAAACTTTAAGTAAAATGTTGATGTCTCCTTCAGAATATTTTCCTTTAACATCACAACAGGTGAAGATGTCATTGAAGGACCCAGCAGCTATCAACCACTTTCACAAACAAGTGCAGAGGCCAATGTTACAAGAAGCAATTAAAGTAATCAAAGATTATGGAGCAGAGTGGTTAACTTTTCCCAAGTTGTTTGGAATGGGAGCTGATCAGAGATACCAAAGTCCTTTCTGGCATTCAGTTTTAAAGCTTCTTGAAATTCCAGTCAGATCTGAGAATCAACAAGAAAAGTCAGTGAACAATCTCTTTCATGTACATGGACAGAACATTCTAACATTGGTGTCTAAGGATAGAGTTGGATTGATTAAATGGGCCACTCTTTGGAAATTGATGGAACCACAATTGCTCAGTGAGATCAAAGAAATTGCTTCATCACCACACAGCTCACTCATAAGTAAAGAAGCCACTCCAAACCTGTTTGAGTTCTATGCCAAGCACATTTTCAGTCTTCCAGTTAACAATGTTCTTGCTGAAAGACAGTTCAACCTTTCTCAACTGTATCTTAATGATAACATGTCAGAGTTATCAAAACAGGCCTCAATCACATTTGTTGAAAATATTCTGCATAGTGGAAAAACCAACACCAGGACCACAGAAGCAGCATGTGAAGTTCACGAAGAAAGAATGAAAGATTATACCCAAATGCTCACCACAGACGTTTTGCAAGAGGCAAGAAAGAACTTAAACAAGATTAGAGAAAACTGCACACATGGGCCACTTACTGCAAAGGATGTTTACCCTAGAGCTTGGGTAGAGAAGAAAGTAAACAATAACTTACCAGAAACAATTCAGTCACTAAAAGCAGATGGTCGCAAACTTAAACTTCAATGGAAGGCTTCTGCCAAGGGAACATCTGCACTGGAGGGACAGAGGTCATTCAACCCAACAGTAATTGAGAGAGTTACCTGTACACCTGATGGACAAGTTCCAAGACTCATGCAGCTAGCGGCACTAAAGGTGTGGAACTATGGGGAGGAGCTACCAATTTATGATCTACCAAGAGAATGCCAGTTGTGTCTACAAAATCTTCCAAATGTCTTTCAGCCTCCAACTACTCATCTTTCCACATCCCACATCTCTGAACATGTTACGCCATTGCCTGCACATGAAGAATAGAGTAGTCATGAGGGATGGCTCAGTAATTTTTAAATGTTTTAGATTTGTACATATAAGAATTTATTTCACCAACCACACTGCATGAAATAAATATATCTCAGCATGTATGCATTTTTACACACAGAGATGCATTTAATAATTGATTAATGTTTCAACACAACATGTTAGAATTAACCTGGTAAAAGCACGTTGTATATGCCATGTTAGTAAAGAGAACATAGCTTAATATCTTAGTATATGTACAAGTAACATGTTAGCTTTTTGGTTTACAATATTGCAACTGGTTTTACAGGGTAAAAGTGAAGTGCATGGTGCCGAAGATGAGACATGCATGTACAATCATGTTGTATTGGATCTTGAATTAAATGAATTGAATATTACATTCAAAATGAACAGTAGGTATACAAAGCTGTAATGTATCTGATTTTAAATTGTTATGTATGACTGTAGCTTTGTAGAATATTGAACAAACACTGAATTGCTGTCACTAAATTTCAGCAGTTTAAGAACATAATAAATGTGATATTTAACTACATGTAGATTATATCTTTATACTGTTGCACACATGTATAACTTAACATATCACTAGCAGTATGTAACTTTTAATGTGATAAGAACATGACTTATGTATAGTGTTCTTGTACAATAAGCATAACATTTTGCACAGGAAGGGCAAATCAAAGTGATGCAGCCAATGTTATGTTACTCATAGTTGGTGTACAACGATTAACAGTAATAAATTAGAGTGGAACACTGGATCTGTTAAAAATGTGCTAAGTTTATTATCCTGTCTTTCCTTATTCTGTGTAAAAGATAAGTAATGCCAGTTCAACAACCAAACTTTACCTGGACCTATACTAATTATTAAATATGCAGTGTGGTCGAAAAACAATCAGTGTATTGGTCAATCCTCTACATTCAAAGTGCCCAAAAGAAATGAGCATTAATTTGACAATCGATACCAGTCAAACATCATCTCCGTAATCCGTAGTAAGTACCAACGAGCACCCGAGAAGTGATTGATAAATTGTACTTGGTTCCTGTTGACGATTAAACCGGAGTTCACTCTCGATCTCGAGTGGGCGATATTGAAAGTAGGCTAAATGACCCTTTATCACCAACACACCCCAAGATAGGGGTCAAGATAACTTAATTTATATTCTTACCTCGTGCATTGTGTGCTTGCTGTACTTTCGAGCTGCTCTGAGTACATTACATCAGTCGATATATTTCACTCCTCCATGGTATCTTGAGCGCGCGTCCAAAAAATGTGAATAACTTTCAAACGAACAACGATGGACTCCAGAACATAGTTTGCCTTAAAAACCCGATGCCCACTCCTAAACTTGTCCGTTTCGAAATTCCAAATAATAAACACCACGCGCGATGAACGGCAAAACCATACGAAAAATTAGAATTTCTACCACTTAGTCGATGAAAAGGAAAAAAAATAAAACGGTAGAATCTTCAACTTCGTCGCAGTCTTCCCGGTTTATGTGTTAAACTACCAAAGACTTCGTGTTTTGACAAGATATTCAACGGTAAAGTTTTAAGAGCGTTTAGGAGATAAGTAAACACAAGAGAGAGCCTATTCTGCGCATGTCTGAAATTTTCCTTAACTCACGTGCATACGCTGTTCCGTGAGGCCTAAAATTTTGGTGGGACTTTCGTTGTAACCCTTGAACTGACTTCGTAAACTTCATAGACTTCGTCGATGGTCCGGCTAATTTTCGTAAATTTCGCACTTTTCGTAACTGCCTTCAATCCTGAAAATTATTTTCCCCCTCCCCCTCCCCCTCCCCCTACCCTTCTTTTCCTTGACCAGCTTTCAACTTCTCCTTACTATACCACCCCTAAATCAAAACGTCAAGGTCACGAGAATCAAGAAAATGATCACCAACTTATAAAGCACTTGATTTTTAAACAAATTCTCCTTCTTAGTATTTCATGAAATGTATAGAGAACAGTATGGAGAATATGCATACTGACGTTAGACTGAAAAGGGATAATCAGCTTACCCTGATACTGGTGTTCCAAATGGCATCTGTTTGCCAGCCATATAATCGTAACTCAAATCCCATCTCTAAAGAAATAACATGCAAAGTAAACAAACAAAGATCAAGATGAAAAGGTTAAGTCCCTTTCTATTTAAAGCAAAATCATCATTTTTAGTATCATTTAACTAAAAAGGTCCGATTAATATTTTCAAATTGAAAAGAAAAAAAAAAGACTGAAAATAAGAAAAAAATAGTTACATAGTTGTCTTTTAGTTCAGGATGACTGCCATCGACTCCATCATCAACAACTCCCACCACAATTCCTTTCCCTGTATAGCCTGATTTCCAAGCAGCAGTGACATTAAGTGTTGGTTCATTAGATCCCTCAGGTCTTTTCTGAGATGCAAGAAATATCAGAAGAGCGGGATTAAAGGCCTTTGAATTACCTGTTGTTTGAAATTCAGTGAGCTTAAAGCAGATAGTCATGACAGTCCATTCCTTCTCAAAACTGAACATAGTTTTTCATGCCAGATGAGATGACTGGAAATATTACCAAGAAAGGCCTTTGATATGGCCAGATAATCATTAAACTCACAAACTACAATTGTCAAATGTGAATACAAGTAGGTCACATAGCACTAAACATAGTAACAGATTATCATTACCATGCCAGTAATTATCATCATCAGCACTAATGTCATTATCATCGTCATTAAATTGTTATCATTTTCACTGTTATTATCATCTTTATCGTAATCACCATGATCATCATCACTCTCACTGTCATCCTCACTGTCACTATTATTATAATCATCATTGGTACATCCAATGGTATAGTGCAGCTTAAGGATAAGGGAACATTTATACCAGTTCCATACGCACAAATTTACATGTAAGTGTATGCATATGTTGACACATGAGTTTGAAAATGCATAAATACAAATTAAACAAATGCTCCTGAGAATAGACGCATGTACTCCTCTGTCAATACTACACTATATATATGGTCTTACTTATATTCGCATCTATGTCCATGACAATGCATATTTTGGTCCCCTTATCCATTAAATGTGGTGGTAGACATAGGTTGTAGTGAAAACAAAGACCCCCGAAAAACTAACTTAAGATCTTTAAGACCTAAGACCCGAAACCAACGACCCAACGAAAATATTGCACGGCCAGTCCATAAGAAATTTAAAAATCTCGAACAGCAGTGGTCAGCACCCCATTACATTAAGTAAACAAGCCTAATAAATTTTAAGTTGATTAAAGCTTATAAGTACCTGATCTCCAGTGTTATTTGTTTATTAAATACTCGCTTGCCTTGAAAATAATTTCGCGTTTAACGCATTCCTGCGAAGGGCATTTTTTAAACAAAGCAAGCGGCGAATGCTTTTAAAGAATGACACAGTTCATTCTCATAGCCCCATTCAGAGCCCTGATTCTTTCAAAGACTCAAATCAGTGTTTTCAATTTTACAGTAAAGTGGTTTACTTGTTCGAGTGGCTGAGGCGATCATATCAGCTTCGTGTAAACTCAACAAGTGTCAATGTAAAGATGGCTACTTAATAGCGGCTTGCTTTGTACTTCGCAAACTTCGCGAGAAAAAAAAATTCAGTCTCTGCTGTAGTCGAAATTTCTCGTTCAAGATCTCTCTTTGAAGCTTTCAAAACTCTCCGTTTTGAAAGATACGAATCCAAGTCGAAGAAGTTTCGCGGAAAACTTAAATCCCTAAACTTCCACCGCAATACGTGCAATAATTCTCTGCAATTTCATTGACACATTTCGAACAGGGTTCATTTAAACCTTCGCGGCCCAGGACAGCTTCATAAAGCCATTTTTCCATTCCTTTTTATTCGCTTTTGAGTCTTCCGCCATAAAATCTCACATTGTTTTAACCGAGTCGAACCAGATGCTCTCGAGGGCAACATTAAAAAGGAATATCTTGATCCTTCAGGGTACAAAATCCAACGGTTATGCCATATTTCTGGAATACACACGCCTTTTTTTAAACAAAATTGAGTAGTATTTTTCTCACATTAGTTACATGATATTTAAGATCTTAGTCCCCAGCAGAGGGAAACACAAACTTCAAGCATTTAGCCTTATTAGCCTGACTAACAATCCTCTTAACCTTCCGTCAAAAAAGAATATCTCTAAGGGTTAACGTGTCGTCAATTGCGGAATGACAATCTTCTAACCTTCCGTTAAAAAAAATATCTCTATGGTCAGTAAACGTGTGGTCGGTTGCGGAATACTAAGGGTTATACACAAGACAGTAGCCTGAACAAAAGGGAGCATACTACACGGACTCAATGATGAAGCCGTTACTAAAGTAAAACTCACATGTTTGTCGTAGGAAAAACCATGTCTATGGGCCAACTCCTCAGCTTCTTGTTGACTGCCACGAACTTTTACAGCCCACAAATTCGTAAAAATTGCATCGGAAATAACGCCATTTCCGTAGTACAAGATTATGAACAGGACACAAAAAAAACGACTAACGATGGAGGGAGTAGAGGAAGAATAGCACGCCATTATCGCTTCTGTAAGTTCGACATTGAGTCTATTACAAATCCGCATCCAATTGGCTTGTTAGCTCATTTGGTAGAGCGCTGCACCGGTATCGCAGAGGTCATGGGTTCAAATTCCGTGCGGGTCTGAATTTTTTCAGGTCCTATTTTCAACTACTAGTTCAGTAGTGTTCTTAGCTGCGAGGATCTCTCAGATTCGTTTCTTCACCGCAGTGCAAATATATGAATTTCATATATCTAAAATCATTATTCATCACTTGAATGGTTTATTTGGACCCAACATATTGTCTAGCTCCCAGTGGGCTTGTTAGCTCAGTTGATAGAGCGCTGCACTGGTATCGCAGAGGTCATGGGTTCAAATCCCGTAAGGGCCTGAATTTTTTTCAGGTCCTATCTTCAACTACTAGTTCAGTAGTGTTCTTGCCTGCGAGGATCTCTTAAATTCAAATCCGTACGTGTTAACCGTTTAACTCCCAAGATCTAATTGTTAATTCTCCCCTCTTGCTGCTAGACATTTTCTTGTATATAAGTTGCGAGAATTTGGTTTTAGATCAAAATATCAACTTCTACCTGATACATTTGAGTATTCTCATTACTTGTTTGCTGGATAGCGCATAGATATTGTAGGAAGAAGTTACTTGTTAATCACTTCTGGGAGTTCAAGGGTTAAAAGATCTATCTTAACCACTACAATTTCCTCAAATGTGATTGGTGCATCAGCTGCTTCATTATTCACAAATCATTCTGAACAATTGTATTCGGTCAGGTGGCTGTAATTGGACACCTGTTATCGGATAGTTGAAGCAGCCAATCATACTTAGTCCACTGAGATAAATCCACCAATCACAGAATTGATCACAATAACGATAGCAACAACCACAATAACCATAGCAACAACTTGCGGCAATAGAAATATTGTTTACGCTGATAGGAGTTGTTGCCGGATCCAGCGTTCAGGTTCCTTTATTACATTCGCTAGTAAATATGTGAATATGCAAAAATTATTTATGATATTTTTATTGTCTCCAAAGTAGTAGTAGCGTTAATTATATGTTGATTGTTAATTTATAACCCTTTTATTCAGTTAATTCTGCAATGTGGCAAATAAACGGTATATTATTTAACCACTTATCTAAAGAGAAACTAGACAGTTTTCCAAAATAGAGGAATGATTAACTAAAGACATTGTCTCCACTGGAGACACTCCACTGTTCTATGTTTTCCCTCGCCGCCGCAACAACAAGTGGTGTTTAGAGCAGGGAATTGCCAGGGAAATCAAAAATTACGAGCCGACTCAACTTAACACTGTGTTCGAGCGATTCTACGCCGAAATTAAAAACAAACATGGTGAAACCTCGCAAAAAACCAATTCCATTTCATCGAAATTGTTTCCCACACAGACTAAACAATTCCTTGAACTATTTAGCCGGACTTTGAACTTTTTTGCACCTTAAAGATGTAAAAATATTGGAGATTCCTAGGCGTGGGAAATTCTATTAGGATCCCGGTTTAAAACACACTTCAGACATTTTCCATGTACTCACAACAAAAACCTTTATTATTCGTTCCAGTCCTCACACAGGGGTACGCCTGGCGCTTACAAAAAAAACAAACAAACAAACGATCGCGTGTTTCTTCTTTCCCCCCCCCCGAAGAGCGTCTCCAGATCCTCAGCTCTTCTCTCTAGGGCATGTACTCTGACTGGCCTGCAACGTTTAAAGTGGTTAGGTGTCAACACTGGCTCGTCTCGCGGGTCAGCTCCTTCATACGTCAATGGTCTCGAGTTCATCAATGCTTCTACTTCCTTGATAGCAGTCTGCAGCTCGTCGTCGGTTAGCCCAGCATTTCCAACTACTACTTTCAGAGTTTTCTTTGCTACTTTAACCAGCGACTCAAACACCCCACCAAAGTGCGACCCCAGCAGAGGATTCCAATTCCATCTGAGCCCGTTATCGGCAACATTACCTGCGATCTGTTCATCTTGTTTGAACAAGTTCTCTGAACTCTCTCTCTGCTCCTACAAAGTTTGTCCCATTATCACTTGTCACTTCTTCTGGTCTTCCCCTGGTGGCTATCATTTGGCTGAACGTATTCAGGAAATCTGTGGTGCTCAATGAACATGCCATTTCTAGATGCACCGCTCTGGTTGCTGAGCACGTAAACAGGCACAAATACCTTTCAGCAGAAACTCTTCGAGTAATCTTGGTCGTGAAGGGGCTAGCGTAATCAATACAACATTTTGGAAACGCTCTCATCGTTGTTCCAACTCTCGTCCTTGGAAGCAGTGCCATGATCTGCACTGATGGCTGTACACGTCTTCTCTCACACACCTTGCATTCTTTGTCCCAATTCTTCACCTCCTGCCGACCATCTATAACCCAGTATCGGTTTCGTACCTGAGCTAGCACGTGGTTGACGCCCGCATGTCGGCAACGGTTATGGACGTCTGCAACAATTAATTGCTTGATGTGATGTTTCTTTGGCAAGATCATGGGGTGTGCTGCATCATAAGATAGTTCTGCTCGGTCCAATCGCCCTCCGACTCGCAATATACCTAGCTCATCCACAATAGGGTAAGAAATTTCAAGTGGCTCTGTCTTCTGACTTCTTTTCCTCCAATCAAATCTTTTATCTCTTCAGGAAATCTCTCCTCCTGTGTTTGTTTCACCCACAGTTCTCCACCTCTGTCTATTTCAATTGGCGTCAATGTAAGTCCTGGCAACAACACCTACAGGTTTGCCTTGCTTCTTCACTTTGGCCAACAACAGATCAGCAAAACGTCTCACCCATACTGTGACTCTTCTTAGTCGGTTCCAACCGGAATACTTTAGTGGATTCATGAACGGTTGTGAAATCTCTAATGCAAAGGTCATCTTCGGTTTGACTATCTCTCATTATCAAAGCCACTGAATACGTAACTTTCGGTTCTTCTTTCCGTATTTTGGTTTCTTTTCCCTTCTTGGAAAGTTTGAACGTCACTGTCCGTTAGTGATACGGATTTTTCAGTGTTTTAGCAGCCATAATCCGTAAAAATTCCGACAAAAGACCTTGGAATGAGAATGGTGAAGGCTTCGCCGTTCATTCATGAACCTGACCGAGTGGTGCGAAAGGCGAGTGACGTGTCAGCAGCTGATTGGCGATATCAAACACACGTGAAAAAATACGATACGTGCAAACTGATTGGCGCACAAATTTTGTGTTTAGGTTGGTGCACTCCACTTTAAGGACATGTTTATCCTTATTTCCAGAAAATACCGAGCCTAACAAATTCTTTCCTTCAAAAATCTTTATCTAAGGCTTGTTTGTGTACAGTCAACAATTTTTTGACTTTATACAGCTCTAATTTAACCAAAATATTGTTTTTGCAAAGGAATTTTAGCAAAGACAATTTTAAAAATATTTGGAAAACGATGATGGCTGCGCTTCAAAAACCATTATTTGATAGTGTATCACTATCAGCTTAGCATTCCACGACAATTACTCCCGACAGGTGTTACAACTTTTCTCACAAAAGTTTGCAAATCGTTTATTGCTTGAGCATAGGGACACCCACTTGTCGCAGAAACCATCTGGGCGATCGTTCTCTCAAGCTGAAAGAAGATTTCAATAAACGTCAAGAAAACAATCGAAAACTTTTAGAAAAACAGAACAGGAAATATTTGAAAAAGTAGCAAAGTTACATTTCACTCCCTTAAAAATTCAATTGATATACAAGTCAAGTTTCATTATGGTTTTCCACAGGATTGCGGGAGCGGGTCCATACGGGTATTATGATAAGTGAAAGTATTTTGGTTCCCAACTGGCCTGGCAGTTACTTAATTAAGGCAAACGTCTGAGTAATGTGCAAGTTTTAGTCTTCAGCCTCTCACTTAAGACCCCGTGAAAAATAGAAATAGTTATTTTGTTACCTGGACAATTTACATTTCTGTTGCACATCCTCCTTTGTCTAGCTTGTCCCAGTCTCCGGTGTTGATAGCACGTTTTTCCTCCAAATTTTGGCGCAGGATTGGTACGTGTTCGAGAGCGCAACTGAAATCCTATTCCGCATGACCTGCTACACTTACTCCATGTACCCCATGAAGAGTAACCTCCGTCAACTGATAAGAGAAGTGTTATGATACCATTACTTGAAAAATGAAATATTCTCTAGCGCTTACAGTGCATTTATCATAGGGCATCCACTAACTGAGGAAGAAGTGTGAAAAATAGCTGATGAATGAAATCAAGTAGTCTCTGGCTAGTGCCTACAACAAGTTCATTGTAGTACCCGCATGATGCATTCGGTACGTGGCTCGATCTTTGGAATGGGTTTAACGCCATATTTAATATTATTGTGTTCATTCCTAGCTGTGATCTATGCTTCTGAACTAAACAAATCAACTGCTGTTGCTCGCAAAAGAAAGGAATGTCTTGAAAAAAAACCGATTCTAAGATCAGATAGAGAGAAAAAATCAAAGCTTAACTAAAATAAAGATGACAAACCTGTTAAAAAACAGTGATTAAATGCTAGTGTAAATTTTTCCGCACGTAACAATCAGCTGAGCTGTCACATGGTGAAATTTTTTAAAGTCGAATCATTCAGAGAGTTCTTGGTTAATTTCGGTCTGAAATTACGAATGCATCGGCTTGGAAATTAACTGCTTACTTTTAGGGTTTGTGAGATACATGACTAAAATCTCTACATCCTTAAGATTTAGCTCTATTTGATAGATTTTTTTCTATCAATTCGATCGTTCTTCTCTTTTCTGGATGGGTGAACTACAAGGAAGTTAATTAGCAAGTCGATATTTTTCTTGTTTGCGATAAATTAAACGCACATTTTTCTGTGCTTCTAAATTTTATTGCGACAGTCTTGCAAGAGCCTATTCCCAAAATCCCCATGTCCATGTTTTGTTTTATTTTCGTGAGAGGAATAATTTTTACCTGGGCAACGAATTCTTTAACAATCCCTTGACCGTTGACTAGATCCGATACAACCTCGTCCGTTATTTGCCGGTGGAGGATTGGTACAAGACCGAGAACGAGTTCGAGTTCCCCTTCCGCATGATTTGCTCCAAGGAGACCACCAACGACTCCATTGTGACCAGTCTCCATGAACTGGGATATCTGAAATTAGTATCGATGCAAGCAAAGTAACGGATGACATCTAAAAAAAAAAATCTTTTTTTTTTTTTTAAAATGTTGAGCTGAATAACTCAGTATCACCGAAAAGTATCTCCACCCTAGAAAACAAACATCATTTTTCAGCTTTGAAGGGATCAATGTATCGGCGTTGGAGAAAACGACGCGAAGAGATTTTAAATTGTTGTGGATTATTACATTAATAATACACATACACAAACTTTTGAATGTGCAAGTCACTCCCAAATATGGTAGAGAGTGAAATTTAGCCCAGAAGATCATTTTGATTGACAGTATGGTGCCCAATTGCGGTGTGATGAAACCAATTGGGCGCCAATTTTGGTAGGCCTAAAAAGGAGAAAAAACAGTTGGATTTATAAACAGTTTGTACAGTTAATCAAATGATTTCGGTTACACTTTGGGATTAATCAGCACGATAAAATATTTAAAAAAATTTACGAGTGCTAGTTTATCCCAAACTGCACGAGGAAAATCATGTAATTACAAGTTAATAATATACACGCAAAAATATAACTCTGTGTTCCTTTTAAGTGGTCTTTATTTCGTGTCATGGCTCATCCGTTCGGCCGCTTGCCTTAACCTTTTTGCCGGAGTAGTCGGGCTTTTTCGCCAAGAATCCACTTCAAACTTTTAAAACCTCTCTCGAGAATAATTAAGCGTAATTATTCTTTCTCTGTTAGGTATCGGTTGACAGCAGTAACTATAAAACGAAAACTATCACTTCCGTAATCTTCCCCGTCTTTCGTACCCACTGTTGCGTAAAACTCCTCGAGAATTTCATTCAGGGGATCCGGTTCATACTTTCATATCCGTTTTTGAAAGCCAGACTTAAAGCCAGTTATTTTTTCTTTGGTTGGGTGCCTTTATTTTTAGCATTCTCTCTTAAACTCTTAATAAAAACGTTGTTTATCATATAAACTTCGGTGTCAGACAAGGATTTCCAGCCCTGAGAAAAGCCATAACAACACATGTGAAAAAATACGATATTTTTCCAAGTGTGATTCATATCGCCAATCAGCTGCTGACACGTCACTCGCCTTTCGCGCCACCCGGTCAGGTTAATGAATGAAAGCAAAGCCTTTATCATTCTCAATCCAAAGTCGTTTGTCGGAGTTGTTTCAGATTATGGCTGCTAAAACACTGAAAATTCGTATCGCTTATAGACAATGACGTTCAAACTTCCCAAGAAGGGGAAGAAACCCAAAATAAGCAAAGAAAAACCGAAAGTTACGTATTCAATGGCTTTGGTAATGGCATTTCTTATAGCAGAGAACTGGACGAATTCCTACAGGCCGAGTTTGGCTATGTACCTGAAAGATTACTTCTGTCGGTAAGGACGGATTCAAAACCTGAGAATTTGTATATTGAAAATTAGGCCCATTGTTTGTTTTTGCAGTAATTCAATGCATGTTTTCTACTTCACGATTTTTATTCGAGGATAAAATAATAACAAAGCCGGCTTCTCCTGTCAATAAAGGGCTAGCGTATTTATATGATAAATAAATAATACATGATTGCTTGTGGATATGAAATTTCTCTTCTCGTGTTCAATTCAAATCTCACTAGTGGAGTTTGTTAGGGCTATAAAATTCAAGGCTCGATGCGATACATCCAATATCAATATCTCCTGTGTAATCATCGCGTTGTTGTAAAGTAGACACTTACCTCTCGGTGGTCCTGCCTAAATATTGTTTCTCTTGACTCTCCTAAGTGATGAGTCTGGAACTGACAAATGGGTGAGAGTGAATTTACGGTTTGTTTTAGGTAATCTTCCAAAGAGTAGTATAAATCAGAGAGTGTTTTTTTTAATGCCGTATACGGTCTTTTTTTTGTAGGGCGGTCTGTCTCTTTTGTCCATTTTCTGCATTCCTCCGCACTTCTTGTAATGATCGAGAAGGAGAGGAGTGACCCACAACAAAAAGAGACTTTTTAAGCAGCAAAGTTACGGATTGAGTATTGAAAACATTTTGGTTGTTAATTCTCCTCTCCAGCTGCTACACATTTTTACGAAAATAAGATAATTTTGGCTTTATCAACTGAGTCCATAATGTTGAGTGCTGGTAGTTGTGAGAATTTGGTGAGATCAAGATAAATTCTTATCACCAGTTTGATGGATAATGTATGGATATTCTAGGGAGAAGGTACATGTTAATCACTTCTGTGAGTTACAGGGTAAATTCATTTAAAGAGGAAATATTTGGTCAAAATTGAGAGTTTTGGTCTTTTAAACATCTCACGCCTTCTAGGAGAATGACTTCCACACCAGGCTCACACCGTTAGCCGCCAAGATGACAAAAATTAATTTGTGAGGGATGGAGGGTTGAGAGATAAGCTGGGGGGGGGAGGGGTGAGGAAGATCCTTGCCTTTGATCTCCTTTCACGTTCATGATGAGCACTCGAATCCAAATTTCTTGGTCCTTACAGAGACAAAGAGCTCCTCTTCAATGCAGCACACTGAAGCACAAAACATCAGTCAACTACTAATTTCTGATCATCAGAGAAGTTAATAAAATGTAATTTATTTCTAGTTTTCTTCATAATTAACAACTATATCCACGTTTGACGCAGTTTAAAAGCCTTTTTTACGGATATAACGTGTTCACAGTACATTTTGCGTCAAGGCACCCTATAAAATTTTTCAAAATTGGTGCTTTCAATGTACTTTAAATATCATGGGCTTTTCAAGAAAATACTGCGGCCATATGAAATAAATTAAAGAAAGCATTACTACAGCGTCTAACCTAGGCTCATGCAATTCTTTGTTTCTCCTCAATTTTAACCAAGTAAAAGGTTGAAATTAATTTTTTGGGGCTTCCAAGCCTCTGACTTGGGCAATTATTACTAAAAATTTAAGTATCTGGTGAAGGTTAATCTAAATATCACGGTTTTTGCTCCTCTCTCCAAGGAAACTGTCCGTTAGTTTTCTTTCCAGTTGCCCAGAATTTTCGGACGACCCGTGAAAAATAATTCGAAATATCGTGACGCTGGCCACAAAATTCCTACGGCACAATTAATCTTATATGCACAGCGATTCCAAAAACAATTTACCAAATACAACTTTGAAGAATCAAGTTTACATAAACGTTTCAGGTTTAGCTATGTTCATACGTGTAATATATGACTTCTGATTTACTTCCTTACAACAGCATGTTCCAATTGCTGGGGGTCTCGGTAGCCTAAGTTTAGGTCATTTCGGCACTGGGTAACTGGGGGTGGTCAGAAAAAATTAAGTGTGCGGGGGGAGGGAGGGGAGCCTCGACAGTATCCTTTATTATTCGCATTCCAATACTTCATGGTTACTATATGAATGATACGTTATACTCGGAGTTATAGTTGATCCATTGAAATGCACTGTTCCTTGCTGCACGGAACAGCTTTATTTGTTTTTTTTAGAATCGACAACAAACACGCAAAAAACAGTATCACAACAGCAATCACAATTTTCCACCATGGTACTGTGAAAATCAAATAAAAACAACAAAAATGGTTACAGCTAGTATCAACGTCATCATTTAGCCTCCAAGATTGCAACAAGTCTTTTTTTTCAAAATTGGATGTATCATAACCAGGAAAAAATTAATCAACGATGAAGGAGATCAATGTGTAATCAATAAGTCATCAAATGAGTATTCACCGAATACTTGATGATTCATCAATGAGCAATTGAACAAAAAAAAAAATCTCGTAAAGCATCAACTATTAATTGATTCCTTGATTACCCAGTAGAGTAACTGGTTATGCATTACAATCCATTTGCCTCATCTGAAGATATTTTCTAATTGAGCTCCTCCAAAAGTCTTGATATACATACTTTTTAATCGTTTCTGTATAAAGAAGTTATTTTAAAGAATAAAACGTAAAGCTTTCTCTGATTGAGGCTCCATTATTCCAAGCGACTCTACCCTTCTCTGAGGCTCTTCCTTTGCTTGACCCCCCTCCCCCAAGGGCACCAATAAAATTACAGCTCTATCATCGCGGTCAAGCCATTCTTCGTGTTTTTATTTGGTAGTCTTAAAGTTTCAGCTTTTAGCTTCTGGTTTGGCTCTACCTCTGAGGACGGATGTACATGTATGAATAATTTCTTTTTTCAATTTTATGAAACTATTTTTAAGGAGAAGGTAAATGCGACGGAACCTTGGCCATGCGGCCTCAAGGGCAACTTTCCCTCAATCGTTTGCTGATTGATTAGCGCGTTTAAGTCGTTTGTTTAAAACTTAAGTTTTTAGCGCGACGAAATTTAAGTTGAGATACCTTTGGTTGGTTTGTCTGTTGACAAGGGTTGTTCAGTTGGGGTGACTATTTCCATTGGCTGCGTCGAAAGTTTGGGTTGTTCAGTTGGGGTGACTATTTCCATTGGCCGCGTCGAAAGTTTGGATTCCTCAGGAGGTATAGCACGTGTCGAATCTATTTCGCTCCTCGGTTCTGATTTAAGGGGGTTTACAGAAGTGCCATACAATATCAAGGACCAGCTGTGAAGTTGACCTATGGAATAAACAGGGAAGTATTCCAAACGAACGGAAAACATTAACAATTCCACAGTTAGGAAAACGGTATCCTCATAAAAGCTGAATTGCTGAATCTGTGAGCATGTGAAAGATTTGCTTAATCAAAATTGCGTAACGCAAGGCTAGAAATGTGAGGAAAGATACGCTCAGCTTGAAAGTACGTAATTTACACCGGCCTAAATTTCCAGGCAGCAAATTAAAGAGAGTATTTGACGTACAACTACCAGACGAAGTTTGATCTGGCATCTCTGAGGACTGAGAAAAATAAGGAACAAAAATAAAACCATCAACAAACACACAATAACTCAAAACTTTTAAAGTAAGTCATGATAGATCACCTGAACTTGGATATCGCTTGTCAAAATCATCAATTTTTAGCTCCCATTTGCCATTCGGGTCTTCTCCCCAGTGAAAAAGAGATGTAATAATCCAGTCAGTCAAGTTTCTGAATCCTTTTAAGTTGTCTATGCGCCGCTTTCGAGTCATTGGAGATGTTGTGTTGCTTGGTGCTCTCAACTGCAGGGACAAGTCGCCACGGCGAGAGAAATTAAGATTGACTCTGATCTGCACGTGCTCCAGAAATTTAATTGCACAATCTTTCACTTCTTTTGAAACCATTCCAGGGATTTTTCTGAAACGAAAATTGTAAAGAGGCTAGGTTAATCGTCGTCGGTAACAATGTTTCCTTTCATATTTAATAAAAATTGCCGCCTTGTTGCTCAAAAGCCCACCACCAATTTAGGAAAATTTGAGAGGGTGCTAAACGCAAATTTTACAATAACCAATATGTTTCAAAGAATGACATGTGGTACTCAAAGGGGTTAGAGCCTTTTCGCTTATGAGATTTGCGGAGATGATTGCTCACTGAAACGAAAGGACGGGTAAAATAAGATCGACATTTCTTGTTTATTCAAACAAGACGTAGGAAGCCAGTAATGTTATTACTGTGCACACATTAAAATGTAAGTTTCTGCTTCCGAAATAGGAAATTCCAAAAAATGAAATAAGGGAAAATTGACGCTCACATGTCTTTGTCATTGCCTTCGATCTCGCATTTTATCTGTGCTGGCACCTCCTTCCATTTACTTGCTAACATCACCATCATGCCAGCGTCCATGAGCCCAAAGCCATAAACCTTGCTAATATGAAACCCTGCTTTGTTTTGCAGCCAATGGCCTTGTTTGAGCCACACTCCACCAGGCGCTGCTCTTGCACTATTGACTATGATGTGTTGGACATCACGCCACGTTAAGTTAGGGCTGGAAGAGGAAACAAGCTTAAGCATCCGTATCTTCGGATTGATTTTAATAACCTTTAACTCCAGCAGAAATTCCTCGAATTTACGCGAGTGGAATTCGTCTCAATCCCCTCGATTAGTGTCCACTCATAGAAGGGTCATTCCACTTACCCTTCCAAACCGAGAAAGACTGGGAAGTGAGGGATTCTTTAACAGCATCAAGAATAATTCACAAATCTTGACGGAGCTCCAGGAACATATGCACCTGCATACCCCCGTGAAAACTACAAGTTGGTTTTTACCTTTGGTTTCTCGCTTTGTGTTTAGTGTTATGAATGGTGGGTTTTGATTGATTACTCTTTAAGGCGGCAGGACTTACCAGCGACAAGCGGGTGGAGGAGTTGAAGCGGCACTATGAGTCTTGGTTAGTTTTCTTGACAAAGAGGAGGTCACATGCCCCCTTAAAACCGGTGTTTCGCCCCACATGCCCAAGCTAAGTTTTGACTTAAGTACGAGAGAGGTACGTTCATTCTGTGCAACTCGCCTCCTTTTAATTATGAATATTAACTCTATGACATAACTATATTACTTTGCTTGTAGGGTCAGTGCAATCAGTCCTGATGCAATGGCAGTAGCCGCTGACGTAGCTCTGAAATCATTGACACAACCCTTTGCGTTATCAACAGTTACCTGGATGATATACGAAATTTTCACACATTAGCAGGCAGAGAGATATAGAGAATGAACGAAATTATAAGTTTGGGGATGACGTTTGACTTAAATATCAAATTAAGTCACTTATGGTGACAGCTTTAGTTGGAAAATTTCGCGTCAGGCCAAAAGAGTATAGTGGGTCTGACGACATCGTACATATTCTCGACTGAACTGAATGTAACCGACGTCACGAGTATTTGTGTTCACTCCGCTCATTAAAAAATGCAAACATTAAAGTTACAGGAAGATGGATAGAAGGAAATGAAACTCACAGAAGACTTGCAATAAAAGAAAAGATCTAACTTCAAGTTTTCACATCTTAACGACGTTCAAACGTCGCCTTCGCAGTTTTTCTTTCCTTTCATCTATTTTTGGGTTGCAGACTGTATTGACTCATTCCACTTACAATTCCTTCACCCATGTCACTACTGTACGCGGTGGCCATGATTGCAGGACATTCTTCTGCGTAGCTGGGACGGGATCCATCTTTATTCACACCGTTGATGGCGATAGTGTAAACGCTATTCACATAACCATCGTATGCACAGCTGTCCTCCACTATACCGCCATTTCCAGCTGCAAACGTGTAGATGGCACCTCGTTTACGGCGACCCTTGGTTTAAACAAAGGGTATATATATATATTAGCCACTAAGACATCATTGACTATTTCCAAGGAAGAAACTCATTTAGTTGAAAGTGTACAATGTCTAACGAGCCATCATTATTGGCAAAAACCTTAGGGCTGTCCACTTTGAAGTGGTTACAGATGGAAACCAACTAAGACAAGTTAATGCGCTATTGTTCGTCCTTCACATATGGTTTAACGAGGGCGATCGCGCTCAGACCGCTCTCTCAATGAAACTTTCAACGGAAATGAAGATAATGGTCATGACGGTGTTTGGTACTGTCGGCGACAATGGTGGCGTGCGTAGTTGTCCTAAAAATGGTGGCAAAACTGAATGAAAAGTTGATAAAGCTGGGAAGATTGTGGATAAAAGATGAAATATTTAGTGAGCTGAACGGGATGATGTTATTCAATGGTAAAAGCTCTAATCACTCGATAAAATACCTCTTTAATGCCTTTTTCTAAGGCTGCACTGGTCAGCGGTCCAGGACCCTCTATTTGCCATGCCGAGTCGTCAGGTCCCCAGCTGTTGGAGTATATGTCAATACTTTCTAGCTTGTGAACCAAGGCTGCAGATTCTGTTGCATCAGTTGCGTCGTTTTCATCATCAAGAAAACGAATGTCTAACAGAATAGAATACGGAAGGAGCATTATACAAATACAAATCAAGGAAAACGTTTTACCGAGTTACTTGCACCCCTACTTGAACCCATGTTACTTGAACCCTTTCAAGGTGAATTATTCTTGATGCTGCTAAAGAATCCCTCACTTCCCAGTCTTTATCGGTGTGGAAGGGTAAGTGGAACAACCATTCCATGAGTGGGCGCTAATCGAGGGGATTGAGACGAATCCCACTTGCGTAAATTCGACGAATTTCTGAAGATAAGGAAACTTAAGAGAGTGTCTGTAAGAGCGGTCCGGTCGATTTTGCTTGAGACACGGATTTCGCTCATTTCTTATGTATTGTGAGACATTCATGTACCTATACTAAAATCACAATCCGTTTGATCGGATCTCTTTATTTTTCTAGAGTTTTACGAAAATTAAATTTCGCTCGACCGAAGGCTTGTCGTAACACTTTTCAAGACATTAATTTGAGACAAGTTTGGAGGACGATTTACAAAAAACTACGGAACTCAGCAAAAAACAAATAGCCCAGCCATGTATATTAACTCTATCTTATCTATCGAGGCGACTTTTGTGAACATCATGTTTCAATCAAGGAAACAGAAAGACTTGAATGACACCGTGTCGGTTCGCTTAAGTCACACACGCGAAAACTGATCAAATTCAAGGTAAATTTTTGAAAAAGTAAGGCGTTCTTAACTGATACAACTAACATAGCTAGGAAGAAGGTGCCATAGAAAAGGTACCTACAGAAAAAAACTTTGCGGCCCGACCTTAAAGAAAACTTTATAACTCCGTGAACTTACCTAATTTTCGGCAATTTCTAAGTTTGGCCGCCATTTTGAGGGATTCGTCAACATGAAGCGTAGCAGATATAAATCAAGCAGGTAGATCTAAGACCGTCAGAAATACATACAAAAGCAATTCAAATGAACTTTACTTTCAATTCAAGCGGCAAAATTTGAAATTGTTCCTTAAACTTACCATTCTTACATCCCCATGCGACCATTTCTTCCAACAATTAAAAAACTACAACTTGTGCTCGAATTCCCCTCGTCGATTCCACCGCAAGAAATGACCTGTGCCACCCCAGCTTCGACTCGAATGTGAAGTACGAATCAAATAACATAACTGCTTCATCTTCGAGGCAATATCACGCTGGTAGTTTGATTTTCGGATCGACAAGAACGGTGATCAGGAGGCGATCGCTATGTTTACCTCATAAACGTGACCGCTGACCAGCCGCTGAGTGAAAACAGTATAGCGCGGGGTGGGGTGGGGTGGTTGGCGGGCTTATCGTCATAAGATATTCGAATGCATGCTTAAAAAGCTTTAGGACTCCCAGTCTAAACAGTGAAGGCATGCTTCGTGGTACAGACAACTTTCATTTTACTCTTATAACTTTCTCCTTTAAATTAGAACTGGTATTAATTAATAGAGTTATCAATATATTTTTAACGGTGTTACCTTTTTGCTTATCGTCAGTGGTATAAGATAAGGTGTCTTGTCCACCAGAACTTAATCATGCCCCATTTCACGGAATAAACACTATACTTAGAATGTTTGTTCTAGGTCATTTTTGCTGTTCCCAAGAATATATGCAAAATGATAGAGATTTGATTCATTCAGCTGACACGTTCTTCTAAGTTTTGATGCGTGCAGGTTTTTTTCTATCAAAAGTCGCGCGCAACACACCTGAATTGAAAATTCGTCGTAAAATCGCACGAACCTTAGAATGAGTGTAGGCAACTTTGATTTCTGGCGAGATGAAGTGGATGGTTTAAAGGACCCCCTGAGATTTTCTCAGGACTATAACTGAGATTTGTTGATAACTATGATAATCGTCATTATTAGCGGACGGTGCTTTCTTTTACCTATTGTTGTCATCATTATCGTTATCATGCCGGAAGAAATATAAAGCCGGCACGTTGTCTTACCTAACTACACAGAAAATTGTTCTATCTTTTGCTCCCCTTAGATCCTGGAAACTGTTACTATTAAGACGATCAACAAGAAAGCCTTAATAATTACTGAAAATTTTGATTAACAGAATGTAAGAAAAAAATCGGTGGGGAGAGTAATTCGCGTATCTTATAATCTGAACGATAGTTTTCAATAAAACAAATGCCACTTAATTCAATTTACTTTAGTAGTCTCGTGTTTAAAAGTGGCGTTTCTGAGGACTGTAGATTCTTCTCTGATTCTTCTCGTCTCAGCCAAGACTCACTATCATCAACTTTTTTCTTGTGCTTCTTACGGCATGGGACACAGAGAGCTGAGGTAAGCGATTGCAAATTTCTCAGTTAAAGTGAAGCCCAGTAGCATCCGTCAGAAATTGAAAACCGACATGCACTGTTTACTTTTATTATTCTTAATCAAATAAGGGGTGTTTTAGTCTGCAAATTTAATCATACTGGTTAATGAGAATCATACAAACTGAGGAAAACTGACCGCAAATAATTGTGAACCGTACGCATGAATAAGTGTATTGCGTTGTCAGGTGATTTGATCTTCTACAAAAACATTATTGATTATCAACCAAGCAACATTGTTTATATTTACATCTGCAATTAAAAGCATTAACACACAGATCTATGTTTTTTCAACGTGATGTGCACTTAAGTACTCTTAATGTAATAAAGAGTTTCTTCTCTTTTCGAGCAGATATGTCACGAGACAAAAATAGATAACAGAAATATTTCTGAAGACTACCTGATTCAACTGAAGTAATAACTCCAAAAATCTTTTGAATGTCCTTAGACATATGCAAGGTAATTACATCTCTCCCTTGGATACGCTTCCTGACACCATCATGGTCAGGATACTGACATGTTGCCTTTGCACTTCTCCAAAACTTCCCCAAAGTGTGGCGATGCCTATAGCAAATCCACATTTTTCTCTATCCTCCTGAGTGAGGTGAAATAGGCCAGTCCTTGCCAAGATTAGCTCATTTTCACTTAAGACCTCTTTAGACAGGTGGTAGGTTATCAAATGATGTTTTACTTCATCATTGCATTCAGACAGTCGTACCAAACCACTTAAGCCACGCGATGAACCAAAGTTTTTTTCCATCTTTGCTATTAAAAAAGCAGTCCTGAGACATAATGAACGTCTCGCTAACGAACGACTTCTTCCTGTACTTGTAACATAAATAAAAGGTTCTGCTGGAAAAGACACCTTATTTTATACCACTGATGACAAGCAAAAAGGTCATATGGATACCCCGGTTAAAAATATATTGATAACTCTATTAATTAATACCAGTTCTAATTTAAAGGAGAAAGTTATAAGAGTAAAATGAAAGTTGTCTGTACCACGAAGCATGCCTTCACTGTTTAGACTGGGAGTCCTAAAGCTTTTTAAGCATGCATTCGAATATCTTATGACGATAAGCCCGCCAACCACCCCACCCCACCCCGCGCTATACTGTTTTCACTCAGCGGCTGGTCAGCGGTCACGTTTATGAGGTAAACATAGCGATCGCCTCCTGATCACCGTTCTTGTCGATCCGAAAATCAAACTACCAGCGTGATATTGCCTCGAAGATGAAGCAGTTATGTTATTTGATTCGTACTTCACATTCGAGTCGAAGCTGGGGTGGCAAAGGTCATTTCTTGCGGTGGAATCGACGAGGGGAATTCGAGCACAAGTTGTAGTTTTTTAATTGTTGGAAGAAATGGTCGCATGGGGATGTAAGAATGGTAAGTTTAAGGAACAATTTCAAATTTTGCCGCTTGAATTGAAAGTAAAGTTCATTTGAATTGCTTTCGTATGTATTTCTGACGGTCTTAGATCTACCTGCTTGATTTATATCTGCTACGCTTCATGTTGACGAGTCCCTCAAAATGGCGGCCAAACTTGGACATTGCCGAAAATTAGGTAAGTTCACGGAGTTATAAAGTTTTCGTAAAGGTCGGGCCGCAAAGTTTTTTTCTGTAGGTACCTTTTCTATGGCACCTTCTTCCTAGCTATGTTAGTTGTATCAGTTAAGAACGCCTTACTTTTTCAAAAATTTACCTTGAATTTGATCAGTTTTCGCGTGTGTGACTTAAGCGAACCGATACGGTGTCATTCAAGTCTTTCTGTTTCCTTGATTGAAACATGATGTTCATAAAAGTCGCCTCAATAGATAAGATAGAGTTAATATACATGGCTGGGCTATTTGTTTTTTGCTGAGTTCCGTAGTTTTTTGTAAATCGTCCTCCAAACTTGTCTCAAATTAATGTCTTGAAAAGTGTTACGACAAGCCTTCGGTCGAGCGAAATTTAATTTCCGTAAAACTCTGAAAAATAAAGAGATCCGATCAAACGGATTGTGGTTTTAGTATAGGTACATGAATGTCTCACAAGAAATGAGCGAAATCCGTGACTCAAGCATAATCGACCGGACCGCTCTTACAGAGACACTCTCTTAAGCTTGTTTCCTCTTCCAGCCCCAACTTAACGTGGCGTGACGCCCAACACATCATAGCCAACAACCCTTTTAAATCGATCTATTTTTTCGGGTAATAAAACATCACGAGTGTGGAAACTTGTCTACAAATTTACCTTCTATCTGAGCTGAACCTGGGGAATATCTGGTGAATATCCGTTTAAAATCAAATTAAAGATGAGCTAGGATGGTACTTTGGGGTGGTCCTTTCATTTTCCCTGATGTGCAATTGGTTTATATGGACATGTTTGAGGGGTTCGCTTTGCTCTCTCGATTGCAAAGGACATTTTCATTATTAAAGGTATTTATGTGATATCTGGCACATGTATGTTAGAAATTAAGTATGCAATTAGTCCCCCAAGGATTTAAAGGAGAGTGTAACTTCACAGTCCAGGAACAAACTACTGAGATTAGCACGAGTCCTTTTTTCACATTTTTTTCCTCTTGAGTCTGTCAATCGCACCGTCTAACTCCTTGAATGCATTGGTTACAATGGGTAAACAATGCATTAAAGTCAAACGGTTAGACTATACTCTAAATTTTAGTTATTACCTGCAATTTTTGCTTCATAAGCCATTCCCACACCACATAAACCATTATCGCGTTTTCCAGCTATAACGCCTGCACATTTATTACCATGTCTGTAAATAAATAGAGATAAACATAGATTGGTTTCACTGTCTCAAACCTTTGTAATTAGTTACAAGCATACACTTGTTAAAGAAGGGAAACAGTCTTTCCAGGTGAACTGCAACTAAAGAAATTGCAGAAAAAAAGGGTGAAAATATCAGGACCGTATTTAAAAAATTTCAGTTAATTTTGGCTTCAAGCATGCAGTTTATTCTCACTGCTGCTATATTCAATAAGAAGAAGTTGTACGTCCAAGCGTTAAAAGTTTGATCTGCTTAACTGCTGCAGCTTTCTTGCATAAATCAAACAATTCAGCTTTTTCCATTCCTTTGCCGCCATCACTCAGCTGAATGCCTCTCTCCCACAAATAATTCTTCACTTTCCCACACTGCACACAATTGCGCTCATTTCCATCACCACGGCTCTTAGGGAGGCTCGAAAGGGTTTTTCGTTGTTGCAGTGTTTATGAAACGATGGAAGATTACAAAGAAGGATATTTAATGGGGTGGGCAAACTATATGTCTCCTTGCGACTCTATTGCTGGGCTATACTTTGAGGGTACTTATGACGTCATATCAGTTACCATGGCAACGCAGAAGGTCCACAAAAACGTCCACTAAATTTTAGTTTTTGTAAATTATCTGAAAAACTAATTCGGTGGCCTACCATTTTTATTTCTTTGTTGGAAAGTTCCCTAAATTCTTTAACTTTTCAGACAGTATGGAAAAAATTTATCTAGTAGAATTAAATATATTTAAAGAAAGTGCGATTTATGGCTTACAGAAAATTCTACTAGATAATTTTTCCCGAAACTTTTATACTTGAAGTGCTATCGTGAATGGTGCGTGCATGCAAAAAATTAAGATAGGTCACCGAACAAGCTAGAAACAAATGTATTTCGCAGATTTTATTTCCGGTTCGCGCAATTTCAAGCAACATTTAACTTGCCTACCCCTCCCCTTCTCCTTCTTGTCCTTGACCAGATTTCAATTTCTCCTTACTATATGATCTCTAAACCAAACATCAAGGTCACGAGAATCAAGGAAACGATCAACAAGTTATAGAGAACAGTATGGAGAATGTGCATACTGATGGCCACCTCACTGGTTTTTAGCTACATTGATGTCCTGCTTCCCGTGATCACAAAAATGATAAATCTATCCCTCGTGGATGGTGTGTTTGCTGATGTCTGCAAATGTGCACTTGTTAAGCCGTTGCTCAAAAAAGCTGGTCTTGATCCACTTCTTAGTAACTACAGACCTGTTAGTAATTTGCCATACATATCGAAGCTCACCGAAAAGGCGTTGTATAATCAACTTCATTTACACATGATAGACAATTCTGTTTATCCAGAAATGCAATCATCTTACAGAAAAGGACATAGTACCGAAACAGCGCTTCTTCGAGTTGTTAACGATATCTTAATGAAGATGAATTCACAAGAGGTCACTCTTCTTGTCATGTTGGATCTTAGTGCCGCCTTCGACACTGTTAATCATGATATACTGACCAAACGTCTACACGAAGAATTAGGTATTGCTGATTCTGCCCTGAGCTGGTTTTTGGTGAAATCCATGATAACTTCAACAAATAGCTAGGTATTGCCTTCGAAAAGTAGGCGGCATCCATCGTGATTCGTGGTATCAAAACAAATGTCGGAATTGGCCACATTTCGCGGTGAATCACCCATTTAACATCGCTCCAGAGCTGAATTTTTTCCAAAATCAGAATATAAACTCTCCATGTCTGGAAGCTGAGGGAGAAATGAAGGTTTTAGGCTTCTGAAGTGAAGAAATAATCGCTTAAATTTAGGTCCAGTTCGATGTTATACTGTTCTCACAAAGGTCCGCACAAAAGAGAAGACCGCTGATAGCTTGTGCCGTACGTTGTGCCGTATAGTTTTGTTTTGTATCCCAATGTAATATTAGGGGAGAAAAATTTTGGACGAAAAGAATAAATGCTTTTACCTGGAGTTTGATATCATATAATTAATAAATCAATTTCAAATATCCTGAGCTTGCTTCTCTCGGTTCCGCGTCGATTGTGTCCACAGAACAGCAACCTGTCAATAGCCGGAGAAATCGGCTACCAACGTGTTAAAAACTTGACACATGCTTCGTATCAACAGATGTTATAAGTGTTGCTGACCTAATTATTTCTTCACATGGATTTCACCAATTTGGTTATTAGAAAAATTCTGAAGTGAGCCATGAAGCCGGGCTGCAAAGCGGGTAAGCTGTATTTATGACGAAATCTGCTCCAGTGGTTCGATTTTAATGTAGGCGAAAAAAACGCGAATGCTCGTACATGTGCTAATTCAAACGGTCATAACTTTTGAGAATGTTTTTGCATATAAAGGTCTAAAATTAATGGCTGTGTAGGATAGAGTTGTCAACCAGGTCCCGAATCTCAAAACTTAACGTCTAAATCAAGGTTATCTACGGCCATCTGCCGATGGCGTTTTTTAGTGATCAGAATATGCTGAAATTCGCCTTTTCAAATATATTGAGAGGGCAAATTCTAACTTTCTTGGCAAACTAGAAAGGTTTTTAAGCAATCTGATATAAATTCTGTGGCTTAACTATGCGAATCAAATATTTTACAATGTTACAAAATATGCCTATTTTTCAATTTTCGAGACGTTGCGACGGTCTCTACGGACTGGAAAATAATTATGGCCCCTAATACAGTCAGAAAATTATTTCGAATCAAACCAAATCTAATTTAGTTCTTTCCTAGGTAAAGTCTTTCTGTTGAAAGAGTTTCAGGAAAAATTATTTTGGACGCAAAATTGACCGGGTGGAAATAAGAGAGACAGCCTCTTAATAATAGCTCCGAGGTTAAAAATCTAGGCTGTTGGTTGGATGCTAACCTAAACATGTCTAAGCATATTACAAATATTTTCAAATATGCATTCTTTTATCTTCATAACATTAGAAGCATTAAGAAATATTTACACGAAGACAGTCTCCATACTTTAGTTCATGCGTTTATAACGAATAGATTAGATTATTGTAACAGTCTTTTGTATGGTGCCTCAAAGGAACTGATAGCTAAAGTACAACGTGTACGGAATGCAGCCACAAGACTGCTATTGAACGTTGGAAGGTACTCGCATATTACTCCTATTCTATATGAGTTACACTGGCTTTCAATCCAGGCTCGCATTAAATTTAAAATTCTTCTACTTACTTTTAAAGCGGTTCATAATTTAGCTCCGTCATATATTAACAGCCTTATATCTATTAAATCAAAATCTTCTTATTGTCTTCGATATAATGACGGTCTTTACTTAGAGTCCCCTAAGGATAAGATGCTGAAGACATTTGGAGCTCAGTCTTTTCAGGCAGCAGCACCATACTTATGGAACAGACTTCCTTATGAAATTAGAATGATTAAGTGTTTGGATAAATTTAAAAGAGCTATTAAAACGTTTCTGTTTAATGAAGCTCTTAGTAATCATTAACTCAGATATATTACATTAAAATAATTTATTCTTATTTATTTTTAGCTACCATTACTATTGTAAATTTTATTTAGATATATAACGTTTTTAATTTTTATTCAGTGTAAAGCACTATTGATCTGTACATGTAAATAGGGCTATACAACTAATAAATTATTATTATTATTATTACTATTAATTATTATACTGATGTTAGGCTGTAAAGGGATAATCAGCTCACCCTGGTACTCGTGTTCCAAACGGCACCTGTTTGCCAGCCGCATAATCGTAACTCAAATCCCATCTCTAAAGACATAAAATGCAAAGTAAACAAACAAATAAATAGTATGAAATAAAGAGATCCTCGCAGCTAAGAACACTACTGAAACGAGTAGTTGAAAATAGGACCTGAAAAAAATTCAGGCCCTATTTTCAGGTCCTATTTTCAACTACTCGTTTCAGTAGTGTTCTTAGCTGCGAGGATCTCTTAATTTCATTTCTTCACCGCAGTGCAAGTATATGAATTTCATATATCTAAAATTGTCAAATAAATAGTAGTGATCAAGATGAAAAGGTAAAGTGCCTTTCCATTTAAAGCAAATTCATCATTTTCAGTATTATTTAACTAAAAAGCTCCAATTGATATTTTCAAATCAAAAAGATAAAAAGACTGAAAAAGAGAAAGCAATAGTTACATAGTTGTCTTGTAGTTCAGGATGACCGCCATCGACTCCATCGTCAACAACTCCAACCACCACAATTCCTTTTCCCGTATAGCCAGATTTCCAAGCAGCAGTGACATTAAGTGTTGGTTCATTAGATCTCTCAGGTCTTTTCTAAAATGCAAGAAATATCAGAAGAGCAGGATTAGAAGCCTTTGAATTACCTGTCGTTTGAAATTCAGTGAGCTTAAAGCAGATAGTCATGACAGTCCATTCCCTTTCAAAACTGAACATAGTTTTTCATGCCAGAAAGCAGATAGTCATGACAGTCCATTCCCTTTCAAAACTGAACATAGTTTTTCATGCCAGAAAGCAGATAGTCATGACAGTCCATTCCCTTTCAAAACTGAACATAGTTTTTCATGCCAGATGAGATGACTGGAAATACAGCCAGGTAAGTCCTTTAATATGGCCAGAAAATTATTAAACTCACAAACTACAATAGTCAATAGTGAATACAAGTAGGTCACATAGCACTAAATATAGTAACAGATTATTATTACCATGCCAGTAATTATCATCATCATCACCAATGTCATTATTATCGTCATTAAAATGTTATCGTTTTTGCTATTATTATCATCTTCATCATAATCGTCATGATCATCATCATTATCATCATCATCACTGTCACTGTCATCCTCACTGTCACTGTCATTAAAATCATCATTGGTACATCCAATGGTATAGTGCAGCTTAAGGAAAAGGGAACATTTATACCAGTTCCATACGCACATTTTATATGCAAGTGTATGCACATGTTGACACATGAGTTTGAAAATGCATACATACAAATTAAACAAATGCTCCTGAGAATAGACGCATGCGCTCCTCTGTCAATACTACACTGTACATATGGTCTTACTTGTATACGCATCTATGTCCATTTAACATGCATATTTTGGTTCCCTTATCTATTAAATGTGGTGATAGACATAGGTTGTAGTGAAAACAAAGACCCCGGAAAGCTAACTTAAGATCTTAAAGACCTAAGACCCGAAATCGACGACCCCTTCATAATCTTGAGACAGGAAGTTCGCCTCATCATTATGGCTTCACCAAAGAAAACCAGTGAAAAGACTGACAACTCTGTTCACAGCGTTAGGCACTGTGATCATTCATCAGTTAAACAAAAGCAAAATTGCTTAAACCAGAATTCACTTATTTTCGTTTCATTAAATTCCTGTTTGTTGCTTTCTTGATTTATTTTTGAAAAAGCTAGTGCCCTTCAAAATTTCCTTGCGTTCCTCATTCTAAAAAAAAATATCAGAGCTTGCTGATGTGAACTTTTTACCTGGCTGACACCAGCTGGTGTTAGAGAATCGCTCCTCATTCATACTTGCACGACATATGGCATAATTTCTTCTTCTCAAAGTCTATTTGGTTTTGGCAAAATTGCACCAGCTGAGGAAGCTTTGGAGAGATTTTTTCTCAAGGATTTCGGAATTACACTTTTCTTGTACTAAGCACTTACTTTGTGGGAAGGGTGGGGCAATGAAGGATGTGTTTTATCACATCCCTTATAACTGTCAATAGAGAAAAGAAGGGGTCTTTGTTTTTCGGGTTTCTTTCTTTTTCTAGTCTTCATTTTTGGGTGTTTGATGGCATAATTTGTCGCTATTAGAAAGATTAAAAGCAGGACTGAATATTTCTGGCAAGAAACCATAACAAGATCATAATATATAAAGAAAATAAAGGGGTCTTCATTTTCGGGTCTTTGGGGGTCTTCGTCTTTGCTACAGCCGGTAGACACAGTAATATTAACATATTCACCGACCAAATAATGAAAGAAGAATTAACTTACAATATACCACATCTCACGAAGTTCTGGGTCTATCTGTAAAAGTTTATACTTTTTCTTTTTCTGATGCATAAACCATTCAACCTGAATATAAAGAAAATAACGAATGAATTATGAATTATCAATATCTAATGAGAATTCTTTGGAAAAGAAAAAATAAATATCAGAGCCTCTGTGGCCTGACTTACTCATAACTTTAAGTAAACATAAGATCAGGAAATTTAAGTGAGTTTAGAGACTAAAACAGTATTTGTTGTAAAGGGTAGTTTTGACTTTCAATCTCTAATGCAAGTTTCAAAAACAAATCTGTTTTCCATGAAAGGAGCACCTGAAAACAATAACTCTGTCGAATTAAGTGACTGCCCCTAGTTGAGTTCAAGTAAATCCTTCTTTTTGTACGCATGTATTTTACTCATTTAAATTGCACAGTTGTTACGCAGTTCGCAAAATCGCATAATAATAACAATCTTGAAATCGAAAACTCAACAGTTGCAGCGTATCCAGTTGTGTAAGGTAGATTTTCAACTGTTTCGAGTCTAGTGTTCAACATGAACGACTATTTCAGTCAACAACATGTCCGCACAAAAACAACTAGCAGAATGAATCCATTCGACATTCAAGACATGATTGAAAGTTCATGCAGACTTTCTTCTTTGTAACTAATATTGACAGGTATGCAATGACATATTATGTCGTAAAAAACTCTAGTTTTCAACCTTTACCATTCTTATACTTAAAATTGACCCTGTTCCAAAGTTCCTGTTGAGTGGAAAATTCCTTAATTAGTACCCTTACCTTTGGCTCAGAACGTAAAATGCTGTCAATTTCTGATGATAGTAAGGTCTTCCCAGACTTTTTCACACTTTTTATAGTATGATAGTCATCAAAGAGCTGAAAAGTTCAATGAAATAATGTTAAAATGAAAACGGTTCCTATAAAATCAATCAATATGGGATGCACAAGCTCGGAGAACTTGTCCTCTAAAAAAACAAATTAATTTTTGGAATCGCTTAACATTTGTAAACAAACATCTGATATTCTTAAGAAGTTTGAAAGAATCTTTCAGTTTAAATTCTGTGAAAATTTCTGACTGCCGAACATTAATTCTTTTTGAGACCGTGCCGGGCTGCCGGGCGTTTAGCCACAGCTAATTTTAAGAGGTCTCTCAGATCTCTTAAGCTTAATTGTCAAATCTTAGCCTTATGAGCAGAAGGGTATTTTTCTGTGCATGCGGCAGTGTAGGTTTTTCTTTGTTGAGAGTAACCGCTGGCATGCACCTGCGCCACGCGTACGTATTTGTTTCCAGCTTTCGAATAGGCGCGGTAGTAGGGAAGCACGAAAAAATGGCTCGTCTATTTGTGTTTGTTGTCATTCTTGCGATTTTTTTCTCAATGTAACTTGGCTAGAAGCGCGATAAAATCGAAAAATGGTTGCGTGGTATGTAGGAGAAAGTCCCAGCTTACCTCTGTTTCTGATTCAACAATTCAGTCGAAACGTACATAACGAAGCAGTACTTACATACTTACATGTTTGTCATAAGAGAGGTCGTACTTTAGGGCTAACTTCTCGACTTCTTGTCGGCCGCCACTCATTTTTACGGCCCAGATATTAGTGTTAAGTTCGCTGGAAAAAGTTTCCGTCAGAACCAAAGTTAGAAAATAAATCAGAGGAAAAAAACGAAACATTTTGATCGCAATCGTACAGCAAGATGATTGGTGAAGAACTCTTTCGATCAAAAGTAGATCGGCGAATGTGAAACGTAAGCATGACGATGTGGAAAAACATACCATCGCTATCCTGCTGTTAGTAGCATTTCCAAACAAAGAAGACTTATAGTATATTAATATTTGTAAATCATTAGACGGTAACGACAGAATTTTCGCGAAAGAAGTTTTAATGAATCTTAATGCGTCGTGCTGTCAAGTGACAAGAGATGGTATGCGAGGGATTGTAACAAGGAACACTATTGCATTGTGAAGGGTGTGAACGGTGTTGCGGTATTCTCTTTAACGATTCCCTCGATTCCATCACTATTGTAACTACTATTACTAGCATTTCCAAACAAGGAAGACTTCCAGTACATTTATAGCAATTTTTAATCATGAGAATGGCAGAATTTAGCCTCCGCTAAAGAAGTTTTAATGAATCTTCATGCGTCGTGCTCTTACTCTACAAGAGATGGTATGCGATGGACTGTAACGAGGAACTTTATGACGCATGAAGTGTGTGAATATTATTCACTTTCACGATTCGCTTGGACGATTCTGTTGAACCGTCTCGAAAACGACTTCACGAATTTCTTATACATTTTGGCTCAGAAAACATAAAAACAATAGATTATCGCAAAATCATCGTTTCCTGAACAACAGCTTCACAGAAACGAACAAGAAGTTGAAAGAATGCGTGGACGTATGGTTGCTGATTGTTTGTGTACAGATTACAGAAATAGACTTCATTTGGTTATGTTGCGCTATGCGTAACATAACTATCATGGGTAAAATTTTATCTTATCACGAGTTCCATGTCAACCTCACGATCACAACGAAGAAAACGTGATTAAACTCACTAGGAGAACATGGCCAAACTCACAAGAAGAACGTGATCAAACTCAACCTTTAAGATAAGACCACCAAGAAGGAATACGAAGTAATCAACCTGCCCTTTTTATAACTTACATTAAATGACTTAAAACAATATAATATTTCCATTCCTTTCTTTTCCGACACCAATACAGGAAACCCTTACGATATTGTAGATTAACTATAATTGTAATTTTATCATTTAACAAAACTAATTTCAAAAGCCATTTATTCCTTTTTTTAACTTTTATTTAGGCCTTGAGTATTATTTTGAAGCTCTCTGTTCCTAAAAGTATGTCGTGAATATCAAATGACCATCTTGTAATTTGCATATTTGTTTGCAAATTAGCAAACAAAAACCCGTTCGGCCTCTTGTCTAATTCAAATCTTAGTTATTTATGTTTACGAGTGATTCGAGCTTTTTCGATAATATTCCTTTATCTGTTCCCTTGTGGCGTCAACGTCAACCTCAGATGAGCTTTTGGCTTTTTTTACAACTGTCTTTTCAGTGATTTATACTGCTCAATCTCGTGCAAAATTGAGTTGAACCCCTTATCAGAGATAGAGCTATTTTCAATCGCCTTCGAAAACAACCAGGTCCCAGTTGTTCGAAGGCCGATTAGTGCTAACCCAAGGTTAAATTTTAATGTGGGTTTCTTTATTCCTCTATTCAAATACCTTTTTTGGGATAATGTCCTGCGTTCTGTTTAGAGCATCAAAGAGTCATGTTATAGACAGAAAGAATTTGACTGAATTTTCTTTTCAAGCTATCAGATCTGAAATCAGATTTCACACTAACCCTGGGCTATCCTAATCCAGCTTTGAATAACCCGGCCCTGCGTACTGACACGTGTTTTGCCTCTGCTTTTGAAATAGTTTTCTCATGTTTTGTAATTTTCTCATTGAGAGTCTTGCTCCCAACAGTAAATGCTGTTGACATAAATCCTAAAAAGCCGGCTAAGCTGGCCATTGGTGCTCCGCAATAAGATGGATGGGGTTAACTGACAACTGACAAATGGCCAAAATTTTAACTGACAACTGACAAATCGCTGAAAGTCTAAATGACAAGTGACATTTGACAAGTGACATTTGTCACTGAAAAGTGACAAAAGACCGGATCGCCCTAAATATCCTAAAAACTGGATGTAACATAAGGACAGTTGGTTTATTTTGTCCAATAAAAGTACGTTTTTATTACATATCAGTAAGAGTACGCAAGAATTTCATATTTCGTTAATAATTACCGTATGGACCATTCACATCAAGGTCACATGTCACATATCTGTTGTATGGTCTTTAATACCCAACTCGATCGTCAAATTACGCGAGTGCTGTCCATGCTGGTATTTTAAAAGCTGTTATAAGCTTTTATCGAATCGATTTGGAAACGGCATTTGAGTGTCACAGAAGCCGCAATCCTATTAATAATGTAAACACCGTACTGGCGCTGAAAAAGCACCTTATTTCGTTCCTTGGTCTGAAGGAGTTGTCCAGTACATATGGCCTTGGAGATTTTGATGTGAAACTTTATCACAAGGCTCCGAAATCAGGAGGGAAGAGCGACAATTTTGCCCTAACTACGGACGAGCCATGTAATCTAGAGTTACCGTACCGACCATACTGGCTGGAACAGGAAGCGAATTAAACAGTATGTATTGGGATGGTTTGGTATTTTGTATTTAGTATTGATGTAAATATTTAAGTTAAAAGCCTACTCTGTAGTATAGAACGCCTATAGATACCGATTTATAGGCATTAAAGCATAGAGAAAGCACACATGTCTCTTCAAGATGCCGTAGACAAAGAATCGTATGTAAAAGACAACATCGAAGGACCTTTTCTGAGGTGAAATAGCGGCACAGTATAAAGAAAACCACAGCAACCGGTCCTGAAGGAACTGGGTCTAAAAGAACTCTAGTCTCACATGAGTCCGTGGGGTTTCTTGACCGCGCGAGATCTGGACTCGAACATGGCGCGAGCTTTAAAAATACAAGCGACTAAATACAGGAATGGCTCTGACCTGTAATTGGATAATAAAAATAGTAAAAGTTAATAAGTTATATCGTAACTCCTTGCTCGTGAGTATTGTTAACCGCGTGTTTCAAAGCGGAACAATGAAATATCAATGCGAACGAAAACACCGATGTGTCAAACAAGAAATGGCCTAGCACAGGGAAGGTAGCCTTTCTTGTTCAGCGAGGTCGTTCAGCGATATTCCGGCGATGATAAAGTCATCTGCTGACTAGCTCTGCTGACTAAACTCATTTAGTCAGTTCAGGCGGACGACCAGAGACTGGAGCCATTCCTGTATTTCACCGCTGACAGGAATAGCTCCGAATCAAACGTTTAATTTTTTTTTTCAATTATGTTTTTATAATTTTTTAAAAATTTTTTAAAAAATATTCAAAACTAAACTAGTGAGCAGCACTGTGCGAACAGCAATTGTAAAACTTCTTTATTCTCTGAAGCGTTTCGTCTAAGTGTCGTAAACTTCTTCAGGGGGTTTAACAAGTTACGACTAAACGCTTATATTTATAAGCTATTGTTAGCGGCTATTGCGGAGGCCAATGACCATATGGGCTTGGCTGGACCTACGAGCAGGAATAGGTAAAGTTGTGAAAATTTTGAAAATTTCTTTTGAAAATTTTTTAGGCAAGGTGAGAAATATTTTTGGGAGCTATGGTTTTAGCTAAAAATTTTCAGATTTGAAAAATTGAAGCGGTTTTTTACAGATGATTTCTGGAAAGCAGTTGGCAAATTAAGTTAGGATGGCTCGTGTACTTTACAGAAAATGTGGTTTATGTTCTACTCATTCTTTCTTAAATTTAAGTGGTATAAATACCTTGTCTAAAACAGTAGTGTGATACAATAGTAAACGAGATTTACTCGTTCCAATACAGCGCCATGTGATGAACAGCCTTCATTAATTTTAGAACAAGTTTTATAAAATCATTGTACTCTTTCTTGTTCCATCACTGAAAACAGTCAAGGTACTTCGACACGATTTAGTGCGAGAGCTACAGCCACTGGTTTGACTGGTAAGACGTTTTTTTGGTTTGTTTTGTTTTTTTCCCTTTTTAGGGAGCTGATTTATTCCTTTCGGACTGTGCAGATTTCGACAATAATTCGACGAACTTCTGTGCTGAGTTGACAACTTACAAATCATCAGACGATTCCGAATTCCGACTTTACTTGTCATCAACTTCACTAACTGCATCGGCGACCACGGAAATTTCTCCTATTACTGATGGCGGTTCATCTCCACGGCTTTCTAAATACTTCCTCAATAGAGTCGACGATGTCCTTCACTTCGCTCTGCAAATTGTCTAACCATTCCTCTGATTCTGCTCGCTTAGTCGCATCATCGCTTTGCAAGGCAATTACGTCTTGTGTTGTTTTACTCGCATCTTTTAATGCTTGAAAAACTCTTTCCTTTACGGTTCGTAGCACTGTTCTGCTACCTTTCTCGCTAATAATATCCTTAGCCTTCTTTGAATTCTTCGTTACGACTCCCTTGAACGCTGACCTTCTTCGAAGAAGATACTCGATTTGTCGCGAAGTCCATGTTTCGATGTCCTCTTTGTCGATTTCCGAGGCGTTTTGGATCCGTCTTTCGACGCCCTTCGAAGAATAAACTGCAATCAATCCGGCTCGAAGGACCAAAATGTGTTTCGATGATAAATTCTTCAACTATTACAAATTCGAAAACGAAAACGCATACACTAACCGCACTGTTTTTTTGTAGCCAGCCACAATCATCTTCTGCATGCTAAATTTACTTTCACCTTACTTTACAAAAATTTGTGATAAAAATTAAAAAAAATTATCGGGATATCATGAAAGATGTGCCTGTTGAGTGGAAAATTCCCTAGCACCCCTACCTTTGGCTCAGAACGCAAAATGCTGTCAATTTCTAATGATAGCAAGGTCTTCCCAGACTTTTTCACACTTTTTATAGTATGATAGTCATCGAAGAGCTGAAAAGTTTAATGAAGTAATGTTAAAATGAAAGCGTTTCTTATAAAAGCAATCTTTCAGTCATTTTGGACTGCAAATCAATGGATTAATACCATGTATAGTATCTGATTATGTGATGTAATGTCGTTATTATGTTATGTAATCTCCAAGAACTTTAATCAATGTACTTAGAAATAATTTAATATTTTTATATTTCTAGATAAGTTGACATAACCTCCCATTTCCCAAGCTCGGGGACCTTGTCCACGAAAACAACAAATTAGTTTTTGGAATCGCCCGTGCCGGGCTGCTGGGAATTTAACCACAGCTAATTTTGAGAGGTCTTTCGGATCTCTTAAGCGTAATCATCAAATCCTAGCCTCACGAAGTAAATGTATACAAGAGATTTTTCTGATGTAAAGCGAAACGCAAACAACGATGCTGTACTTACCTGTTTGTCACAAGAGAGGTCGTACTTCAGGGCTAACCTCTCAACTTCTCTCTGACCACCACTCATTTTTACGGCCCAGACATTAGTGTAAATCTCGCCGCCAAAAGTTTCTGTCAGAGCGAAAAATATAAGAAACAGAGTATAGCCTGAAAACCCAGACATCGTACGTCGAATTTGTAAAGACATCACAATAACGATTACTTAATAAGCCGAGGGACCTGGAATCTGAAGACTGGTAACGAGGAAAATTTTGTTATTCCTTTGAGGCTGAAGCGTCACGTCCCCGAGCTATCGTAACGACTATTGCGAATATGAGAGCGATCTTTGCAGTAATGAACACTACTTGAGCGGTAACAAGGAAAACTTCTAGTACATTTATAGCAATTTTTTATCATTAGAATGGGAGAATTTTCCCTTCGCTAAAGAAGTTTTAAGAATTGCCGGGCTGCTGTATGACAAACCATAATGGACAAAATTGGTTGGGGTTTTTTTTTGGAGTCAAGAATTTTTTTCTCGAGTAAAGAATCTTCTTTTCCGAGTCGAGAATTTTTTCATCGAGTCGAGAATACCCAACATGCCATGTAGTCATTTGCCACCAAAATGATCAAACAATACGGCGGTCTGCGATCTGTTGGTTACGAAGCTTTTTTATACAACGTTTTTGTTCTTCAAGTTGCTGAAGGACTTGCTGTGGAGGACTTGGAGAGGTTTCTGTTGTCTATACAGGATTATATTTCCCACTGATAGAACATTGCACAACTTCCGGAAACGACAGAAATATGGTATATATATACACGATCGCTTGGAAGGCTTTGTTGAAATAATCGCAGCGTTTTCTTTGGTTCTTGCCAACGTCCAAAGCTTTTTAGAGATAAAAGTGCTGATTGACGACCTTTCTCACTCCTTGCGGGAGCTACTAAACCATGCACATCTGGGATAAAATTGCTACCTCTTTTCAAGTCAGTGCTAAGTTTCGTAGTGTACCTTCCGGCGAAAGAAGTTCATTAGGAAGACCAAAATAAAACATTACAGCAGAACAAATTGATGTACTTCACAGCACTAGTATGCAGTGGGCAACCATTGCCGAAAACGTGAAAAAGCTGTACCACGCTTCCTTATAAACTTACGATTTATTCGCTTGATTGAACAATTTTGCTACTACGCTTTGGTTGACTACCACTCACAACTATCGGCCGGAAGGAAACACACTCAACGTCCCGTTGTAAGCACGTGGAGCAGTGCCATATATGGGACGATAAAACACGTGCTGCATGCAGGTTTGCTTAGTTATGTATAAATAAACGAAATCCCTTATAAATGTCAATCAAATTGAGAATAATTAACGTATCGCACAGTTTCCAACACCATTGCAAAGTGTGTAGGTATTAGTGCCAGGACTCTGTCCAGAAGAAGAATAGAATTTGGTACTCTTGATTACAGCGAGGTTAATGAAGAGGAACTTGCTTGGAAAGTAAGAGCTATCTTACGAATAACACCTTTCTCTGGTGAAACGTATCTACGAGGAGCTTTAAGAGCACGCGGCATTTATGTTCAGAGGTGGAAAATCCGAGAAGCATTACAAAGAATCGATCCCGTAAACCGCGCCATAGGGCGCAGATATGCGATTCAACGACATCTGTATAATGTTAAAAAAACCAAACCACCTATGGCTCATTGACTCAAATCACAAGTTAATCCCCTGGAGGTTTGTTTTGCACAGCTGCATTGATGGGTATAGCAGAGCAATAGTTTACATAAAGTGTTTCACTAACAATCCAGCAGGTACAGTCTTGCAATGCTTCATGGATGGAATACAAGAATTTGGAATTCCATCACGGGTTGGAGGGGATAGGGGCGTTGAAAATGTAAATGTTGCTCGATTCGTGATTGATCAGAAGGGGGTAAATAGGATAGAGAGGCTCTAGGCAGAGGTTAACAGGGTTGTTTCCTCATTGTACATTGATCTTTTCATTTTTATGGAAAATACTGGTATTCTTGACGCACACGGTGAATGCGATTTGTTTGCCCTTCACTATGTTCACGTTCGGGCCATTCAGGCATCTTAGGATGAGTTGATTTCCCAGTGGAATCACCATGGTCTACGTACTATGATAAGCATGTTCTCCCTGGCACTCTGATACTCTGAGTTTGTTCCCTCTGGGATGGATGACTGTGGTGATATATCCTTGTATGGTGTTGATCCTGATGGACCTGTGGCCAGTATCAAGGCAGAAACATGGTTTCTGTGCCTGAAAGCGCTATTCAACTGTCTAACAATCAAGCAGATGACATAAAACGCTTAGTGTCTGAACCATGGCAGATGATGGCAATCATAGGATTGGCCATTACCTTGCCATTGTTAATTATTTAAAGTTACAACACAGGCGGCCCAAGCTCCAGCTGTGAGATGATCATCTTACGCAATAACGGTCGTGGCGGAATTACAAGAGTTTGTATGGGAATATTTACGAGCGCTCTAAGGAATAAAAAAATACGTCAAATTCTCAAAAAAAATACTTCGCCTCGCTTCCACAGCGTATTGCTTGTTATCTGACCGCTTACTTTGATGAAAAGAGCCCATTTGAGCGAGTTGTTCATTTCGAGGTTTTCAACGCACATAAGAAAAGCCTAAAACCTCGAAATGAACAACTCGCTCAAATGGGCTCTTTTCATCAAAGTAAGCGGTCAGATAACAAGCAATACGCTGTGGAAGCGAGGTGAGGTATTTTTTTTGAGAATTTGACGTATTTTTTTTTATTCCTGAGGGCGGTCGTAAATATGCCCATACAAACTCTTATAATTTCGCCATGACCGTTATTGCGTAAGATGATCATCTCACAGCTGGAGCTTGGGCCGCCTGTGGTTACAATCGCTATCATGGGTTGCTTGCTTTCTTAGCGCTCAGAAATTAACAAGTCATGCTTGATGCTTTTTAATAAATCTTTTCTTGACCGAGCTTGTTCTGTCAAGGTGGCTGGATATTAGCCTCGTTCTTATTTTGCATTTTTATGGATCTCTACAATTTGTCACGCAAAAATCAATATCCAACCATCTTAACCTCACGCTTGGTCAAAAACGCACACCGTATTTCCGCGAAAAAGCACCCGGGCACCCATTTAAAATTTCAACTTAAATGAGCGGCGCTTACTGGAGGGTGGGCACTTAACTGAGCTAGGAGCTTATTTCTTGATTCCCCCAAATAACTCGTAAACTGGATTAAAATTAGATTGAATAGCTACTAAGGGCTAAAACAGTAATGATAGAGATCCACTTCTTAAGATAGTAAACAACAATAAATTTTATTCACTCTTTGAGCAATAAACTGCAGCAGAATCCATATAACGTTTAACGCACTGGAATACTTGCACTTAAATAACCAATTCAACACTAATTAAAACGCAAAAAAACATTATATTAATTCAAAGTTATTTGTTAAAATATAAACAAAGCCAAGATATTCATATAATAAACAGCATTCTGTCGAGTTTTTACATCCTTTCTAGTCTACGTGAATAGCGAACACAAGTGTTTAAAAGCTTTGGGAACCTTTGAATTAACAAATAGAGAAGCCTTGACTGTGCTCTGTTCTGCTGTAAAGCACACAGGAAGCGGCTGGAGCTCGAAAGAAGTGTAGGGAGAAACACGAGACGTAGCCGAATGTTTCGCCCTACTTCTTGGTTGCTCTAGCTGCTTCCTAAGTGCTTTACAACAAAATAGTGCACAGTCAAGGCTTCTCATTTGTTTGATAATAAAAATCCGTTAAATTCCATCACATTGCTTTCAATTTTCAAAATAAACTTTACGTGTCTACTTCTTTATTCTTCTTGATCAAATCCTTTCTTGCAACAAGTCACCTCCTTCCTATGGATCTAGTTTAATGCTTATGATCGTCGGGGTTATTTTGTTAGAAGTAGATTCTCTAACACTCGTTCTTGGTTTGGTTGACTCTTTTTTAATCTCTTTTCTTCTCAAATTGTTACAACGCTGACTAACTCCAATCTATCAGGGAAAACTTGAGTCTCCGCTTATAAAGGTGACACTGCGGATGACATTTCTAAGCCGTCAATCTTCTTGTGTCGTCATCGTACCATCTCAACTAGCGAATCACGTTTGACTACGTATTATAGTTCCCACATACTGAGTATGCACCTTAGGGTTGTTTACGCACTTACAAAATCAATTTCTACCTTAATTTTCATATCTTTACGGTTGAGATCGGCCAGAACAGAAACGAGATCAACAATATAAAAATTACAAATAACCTTACTTCAGAGTATTATTTTATACCTGAAAGTGTATCTTAAGAGAAAATCACCTTTGAAGATTGTTACATAACAACATCTTGGTCACAAGAGTTAAGGAAGAAAGGCGCTCACAGGTACCGCCCCCAAATTACTTTTGGTTGCGAAACATGAGGGGCATCACCTGTTTACCCTTAAATTACCTCTGGGAAGACGAAGTTGTCGAACGCGACCTATTACCAGGGAGATTTACTCTTCCTGGACTAACAAATTAACTTATTTAAGAACATGGCTTATCACGAGTTCCATGTCAACCTCACGATCACAACGAAGAAAACGTGATTAAACTCACTAGGAGAACATGGCCAAACTCACGAGAAGAACGTGATCAAACTCAACCTTTAAGATAAGACCACCAAGAAGGAATACGAAGTAGTCAACCTGCCCTTTTTATAACTTACATTAAATGACTTGAAATAATATAATATTTCCATTCCTTTTCTTTCCAACACCAATACAGGAAACCCTTACGATATTTGAATTTAAGAGATCCTCGCAGCTAAGAACACTACTGAAACGAGTAGTTGTAAATAGGACCTGAAAAAAATTCAGGCCCGTACGGGGCCTGAATTTTTTTCAAATTTTTTTCAGGTCCTATTTACAACTATTCGTTTCAGTAGTGTTCTTAGCTGCGAGGATCTCTTAATTTCATCTCTCCACCGCAGTGCAAGTATATGAATTTTCATACATCTAAAATCACCTTACGATATTGTAGATTAACTATAATTGTAATTTCATCATCTGACAATTTCTATTTAAGTGTTCATAATATCAACAGCTGTTTTGCTTTTTTTTTTCCTCTTGATCTTAATCACAATTATGCACACCGTTATCACTATTGCACCTGTCCCTATGAAACTCCCTACCACCACCCCCACCACGATGACAGTTTCTTCACCTGAAAAAAAAAGCCTCAAATTATTTAAAGCACGTGTAAGCACTTGCTGCGGTCTGCACAATGCGAGCATCCGTAGCAAGAACGTCGCTAAATGTTCTATGCCTTACTCACAATGTCATACCATATTGTAGTAACTAGTTACATATCCCCAGATGTAAATAAATATCCTCTTTGACTTTATGGAATAAACCAGATCTCGATAGCTACGGAAAATCAAAAGTCCTCCTGTTTTAAATGCTGTTCAGCTAAAACAAATCAGTTTTGGTGGGCTGATTACAATGAACTCGTGAACCCGATTGGAAACACGTACACTTGTAGCTAGCCACTAATTCATGCTTAGTTTTAAAATCTGAGGAGATACTTTTTCTTGCGTCTCGTGAACAAGCTTATTTCTCCGTTCAGTCCAATCTCTTACTCACAAGAGAGACGTCAAATATCCTACCCAAATGGGTGACTTCAAAACTGATGTCGTATTTCGTCACTGAGAAATATGAAATACAGTATCCATGGTTTTTCTAGAATAGCGAGAGGAAACACGGGTGAAAGTGGCTATATCACCTTCACATATAAAATATTTTTGTTTCACAACAGAGCAAAATGAGAAGAAGCTAAATTAAATTACCGTCTTCGTCATCCGTAGGAGGATGTTGTGTGGTGGAAAAAGCCGTTCCTGTTGGTTTGATTGTGCGGCTTTCGGGGATCGTCGGAACCGGAATGGCGTCTTTCGTTCCATACAAAATCAAAGACCAGCTATAAAGCGTGCCTTGAACGTAAAACGTATTTCATTACTGAACAAAGAGTTAAACTAAGCTCAGTCTAGCTTCCTCCAGTTTCACGGTCTAAAGGACCCTTGTTTTACGTTTTTCTGAAGTCAATTGAGTTCCTAAAAGCAAAAGCTCAAACCCAACCGAAGCAGAAAGAAAGTCCTCACTTTCTTTATGCGCCGGTGATCAAAGCTCAGATTCTGAAGAAAAAAATTATTTCCGAAATATTTTGCCTGATGTATGTCAGTCAGGCCAGTCCAGCCATGAGAATTCACGTGAATATTCGATTGATAATTGTTTTAACTTGCATTGGAAAGAATGCAAACGTCTCTTTCTGCAGAAAATGTCGGCCCTTGATCTTAAGTCACTTGTCCAGTCTTTAGGCGTGACAAGTACGAAGACTTACACGAGTTTGTCAGTAGTTAAATGATAATTGGTCGGTTAAACGGCTGGGATGAGGACAATTTAGCGTTAGGACTTTTTCTGCACTTGAAAGGGAATGCGAGTGCATGGTTAAAACTTTACGAAAAAAGGATGAAATGACCTCTGAGCAGTTGCCGGAAGAGTTGATCACGCGTTTTTCTTCGAAAGCAGGTGATTGCGGCTGATCTTATTTTAAACAGAAAATGATGCTGTGCATAATTATTCTGCTCCTTCAAATTAGAGGGGCAGAGATGTCATTGGCTGGCAGAATGTAAACAAGATGCAAAAATAATGTCGACGGACAAATATACATGTACGAGCATATTTTCGCGCCGAATTACGTTGAACATACTTCAATTATTTTATAACGCACAGGAGGAAATATTTACCAACAGCTTACTGTTTACGGCGTGGGATGTTCCCTTTGAAGTTTTATCTGGTACTTCTTTGTGAAAAAAAAAAAACAAAAAAAAAACATGTCCCCTCTTTTATAACAATCACACGACGCTCTCTCATCTTGAAATAAATATTAAACGAAGATTTTTCCGTATCGGATGCTAGGTTTGATAATTGGGGAATATCACTTAGGGAATATCATCGAATATTTCCCAGTTTTAGTGGGGCAAATTTGGTCACGTGGTGTGTTTAGACCAATCGCGCGCAATCAAAAATAACTGATGGGTTATAAACTAAGATAGGATTGCAAAGAGGTAGTTTCAGTACTCACCTGTACTTTTGTATTTTCTTTGGTCCAAATCTGAAATTTCAAGCTCCCAAGTCCCCATGGGACTTTCTCCCCAGTGAAAAAGGGTTGTTATCACCCAGTCCGTTAAGTTTTTCGTCTCCTCAAATTGATCAAAGTAACGATATTTTGTCAATGGAGATAATGTACCACTTGGAGCCTTCAACTTTAGAGACAAGTCTCCTCGGTAATGAAAATCAAGATCCACTTTTATCTGGACGTGTTCCAGGAATTTTATAGGACAGTTTCTCACTGTTCCTGAAACTTTACTTGGGATATGCCTGAAAGCGAAAACGATGGTACTTAATGTTAGTCCTTCAGAGAGAAAAATAATTTACAAATAAAGACAAATTAACAAAACACCCAATAGTACGTTATAAACCCTTGGACTAGGGAAAAAGATGATGGACACGTTAGACGTCATTCCCAATGAAGTTTATTATTTCACAATGTACAATTGCATCGCTAAGTAAAGGTTGGGTGCCTAAGACATCCAGGAGCTTTCACTATTGGCAGCCAGCTCCTACATGGAGACTTCTCCCATGGCTGGCAAATCCTGGCAACACAGCCATGAGCCCCCAGACAGGAAGGGGAAACAGGCGCTCGTCACAATGAATAAACAGTGGAAATAGGGAGGGAAGGGGTGGGGAAAACTACCTGGACGACGAGCTGCAACTCCTCACAACGCTGCAAAGCACACGCAAGAACGCCTCAAACGAAGAGCACATGGAATTCCGACGCATGCGCATATGCAAAAAGACACTGACTACTTGAGAACGCTGATTGCTCTTTGTTGTCAACTCCGTTAAATTGCATTTAACTGCAGTTAAACTAACTTACTTGTTTCTATCTGTGCCTTTAATTTCGCATTTCACCTGCGGAGTTACCATTTTCCAGTTCTTTGCTAGGCTGACCATTCTGCTAACGTCCATGAGCCCAAACCCATGGTAAGTGCTGAAAGACAAATTCGCTGCGTTCTTCATCCAATCTCCTTGCTTGAGTGGCTCGCGTCTTGCACTGCGAACTATGATATGTTGTACGTCACGCCAGGTTAATCTGGGGCTGAAAGGGAAACATTTTTGTTAATAAAACGCAGTTTTACTCCGTAATTGCAGCTTTGACATAAAATCTACAATAAACTAGGAGGACACCAATCCAAATGAAATACAAGGCATGAAAACCTTAATTTCCCCGAAATCCCTTTTTTTATTAAACAAATGTGAATATCACCTGCCTCACGTGTGTAAACGGTACAGGTTCACGTGATGCAATTAAATCCGCAGACGAAAGTAAATCTAGCGAGAATGACTTACACCCCTCATATATAGTTGTAACACGATAGTACTTCACCGTGTAAATCTCAGTTTGTATGAAATAAAGCTTCAAACGAGAAAAAAGCCTTACTTTGCCTGCAAAGTCAGAGCAATCAGTCCTGAGGCCATGGCGTTAGCAGCTGACGTGTCTCCAAAATCTTTTACACATCCTGCTTTTTCATCAACGGTTACCTTGGTATGAAAAAATACAAGTAAGGGGACTTTGCTGACGATTTTAGCGAAAGTATCCACGCAGTCGAGCAAAATCGGATACAGCTAAGCACAGTTGTGTTGTTTAAAAAATGTTAAAAAAGCTGTCAAAAATTCTGTCCTTACGATGCTTGCTGATTGATTTCCTGTCTCCCTACTATAGGTGGTGGCCAAGATTCCAGCGCATTCCTCAGCGTACGTTGGTTTGGCGCCATTTTTGTTCACACCGTTAATAGCGATCGTGTAAATACTATTCACATAACCATTGTATGCACAGCTGTCTCTCTCGCCGCCATTTCCCACTGCAAACGTGTAGATGGCACCCAGGCCATCACGACCCTTAAAAAGAAAAGCGACTCTCAACTAACTGTGACTGAAATTAAGTAACGCAGGCTACGCTTTTTGAATGTGGAAATTTGGACCTGAATGTCAACCAAAGAAAAATCATGCTAGTTGTTGTATAATCGGGAAGAAATAATTTTTATTCCATGCGGCCATGGAGTGCCGTTCAATTTAATTATATTAATTATAAACATCAAAGAAGGTAATGCATTATATTAAACAGAGCATGCTCCATTGATCCCACTGATTAACAAAGAAAAACGAGCGGCGTTCTTTTTCCCTCACTTCCCTCGCTATCCCAAGCGCCAACCCTCGTGCTGCGGTACTATTGCGTTCTACTGTAAAGGAACTTCTGATTGCAGGTTATCTGCAGTTCAGCGGTTCGATTTCCCGCGGAGACTCGAATTTATCTTATCTTTTTCCAAAGCTGGCAACAAGTAACTTCTCACAAAAGTACACATATCATGTTGAAAAAATACATGAAGTAGATGATAGTATCAAACTGCACCTTCTCCACGCCATGTTTAAGAGCCGCTGTAGTCAAGGGCCCTGGACCCTCGATTTCTATACCCCAGTTACCAGGCCCCCAACTGTTGGAGTAAATGTCAACGCTTCCTAGTTCATGAACTAATGCGCTGGCCTCGGTTGCATCAGTTGTCTTTCCTTCATCATTAAAGAGGCGAATACCTGAGTACAAAGGAGGAAAAGAAATTAATCAGTGTTTGAGATTTCAACACAGTAAATCCTCCCTAACAATTAGATTTTGAGCTCGAGATTTCTACCGCCAGATAGTTGATGAGGTCGAAACCCAAATCAACTAAATCACGGATAAAAATCAGAAAGCGTGGTAAGAAAACTGAGCTAATGTTTAAATTGTTCACTGGACTGCCTGGACATCTAAGGCAACTGATAATGCATTTTGGGAGTGGTAGGGATGCTTACTTCATAAAGGCTATGGCTGTACCTGTCCTTGAATTTGCCCTGTAGTTTTTAATAGATTTTCCATGCATTGTTTGTTATTTTTTTCAGGAAATTTTAGTCTGCAGGAAGAAAATTTTTTTACAGAGGAATCCATTTCCTGTAACGTGTACAACTGTTACTTACGTTTGCCATATTACCGATATTTTTATCATAACAGAATTTTCACAAAATTATTTGACATTGAATTCTTATACAAATACTGCAAGGTCACACCTGCCCACCAACCCATCAAGGTGGCGTTGAAAACTGCAGTAAGGTCTCTTGAATATAGTTAAAGTACTGAATTTCACTCCATGACTTACTACTACAGAATATGGGGCTTTTTATGATTAGGTACCAAACGAAAAAAAAAATGCTTTCTTGGCTCATTTGCATCAAGCCACCTAATATAATTCACAAAGATTATTTGACATTGGATTCTCATACAAATACTGCAAGGTCATGCCTGCCCACCAACCCATCAAGGTGGTGTTGAAAACTGCAGTAAAGTCTACTGAATATAGCTCCAGTACTGAATTTCACTTTATGATTTACAATTACAGAATATGGGGCTTTTTTATAATTAGGTACAAAACAAAAAAAAAAAGCTTTCTTGGCTCATTTGGATCACGCCACCTAATATAATGCAATCAATGTCTTGTTTTCTGTATCCTGAGTCATTGCTCAGTTGGAATTGATATTTAAATCTTAATTATAATCACTTAAATCCAACTGAATGTATTTCTTTCATTACTTTTCCACTGACTGCCAAACCAGCAAGCCTTGAGGCATTAAACAGTGAGGACTTTAAAAAAGGCCCTATATTGTATACATGTAGCTGCTTTGGGGGTGGAGGGGTCGAAATTATTAGGTTTGCGTACCGTTTTCACTCTTTGCACCCTGAGCACTCATACGCGCACACTTCAGATGGATGCTCAACACAACAGCGTCAAAAAAATAATCAAGCAAATAACTAAGACGTGCAAAGCTTCCACGGTTAATATAAATTTACCACTGTAAACAGTGAAAAGGCTTTACAGATTTTACTCGTAGCTTCTTTAAAGGTACAACTTCCTATGACGTTCTAACAAGGTTATCAAGTTGCCAAATACGTATTTTCATGTGATTGATACCAATTGCTTTATTAAGTCGAAATAAGCTTAATGTCAAGAAGAAAAAGCGGATTACGACACCTACGACGAATTTTGTGGTCCGTTAAAAAAAAGTACTTGGTTCAATTACACAGTTCACCGAAAGGTTAATTTTGTTTGCCTGGTAGGATTTCTTTTAACATTGAATACATTTTCAAGACCTGTACTCGTCGAGGTGCACTTCTTGCGATTGTGCTGCAATCTAGCGAGTCCTTCGGAAAAACATGTCACCGAGAGCAGAGGTAAGACACTATTCAGAAGCAAGTATTTCCTAGGTTTGAAATTCCCTTTGGTTCCATTTGACCGTGAATAGTGTGTAAAATTCACGAAGAAAGCATATTTTAGCCAAAGGCAGAAGATTCGTATTTGAACGGAGCGCAGCGAAATAAGGTAATATTCTCTCCCGCGAAAATTAAAAAAAAAAAAAAAAAATAGGGTTAATAGATAACTTCCCATTTGTTTTTTCTCGGGCAAGTAACAAAAATGTTCCCTTCCCTGTCCCCATCCAATCGTACTTCAACCAGTCGGGGGAGGTGAGTGTATAATTGTTAACAAATCATCAGAAGGCTTGGTTACCTAATTGAGCCTGGTGTCTAAGCTTCAAAATAAAATTCTGCTGGCCCATCGGCCAAGTATCTGACTATGGACTGAATGTCGACCATGACCGAGTGTCGATCAACTATCGATTGATACTCGGTGAGTTGTCGGCGAGGTATCGGTGAACTAAAAGCTATATCGGCCGACATACATATCAACCGATATATATATATATATCAACCGACTGTATGTATGTATATATATATACACTGTATATATACTGTATATATGTAAATATATATCGACCGAGTATCGATCGAAAGGCGACCGACAGTCCATCGACTGTCGACCGATATATCGACTGATATATCGGTCGATGTATCTATCGGTCGAGAGTGCCTACAGTAAACATGATCCTAATTTTTATCGTCTTGTCATGAGCGTGGGGCAAAGAAAAAATTCTGAGTGCCTGTTAGGAATCGAACATCAGACCTTCAGATTCAAATGAGAAAATTGGTAAGTTTTAAGTTGTACTTAGAATAAGAAATTAAAGATTGTAAGTTTTGAGCTCGGTAAAGAAATGGAGAAAGATGTATTTTTCGTCTTGTCACGAGCGTGGGACATAGATAAAAAGGCTACTGAACTCATGATACAACGATTTTTGTGTTCTTATTACACCATGAACCAATAGTATCCAAGGGTATCCGTCTGACAGTCTCAGACTTCAAATACCTACTATGTCATGCAAAGCATTGTATGAATGATGAAAGAGAGGTTGTATATCTGTAATGCCAACCATGCAATCAAGAGAACTCATTCGTAACTCAAATGATTTATGCAAAATAATTGTGTGGAAATTTTAAGCCTTACCTGCAATTTTAGCATTGTATGCCAATCCCACTCCGCAGCGATTATTATTTGCTACTCCAGCTATGATTCCAGCACATCTGTTACCGTGACTGCAGAGAATAACAAAGGCATTTATAATCCTACAACTGGTTATAATACTGAAAAATCAAGTCATTAAATATTAATAAATAGAGTTTTACCTGAATTAGAGAAAAACATATCTGTGCTGCACTTTTCAGAGACTTCTTTAGAAGGCAGACACAAAGGTAAAAACAATAGCTATTTATTTCAAATTAATAATGGTAATAGGACCAAGTGGAGTCCAATTTGGTCTGTTATCATACTAGTGATTGACAAAATTGGACAACTTCAAAACGGGAGTCCAATTTGTCAATCACAGGTATGATTACAGACAGAATTGGACGACGAGAAGTCCTGTTACCAATTAATCATAACTATTACAATTTCCCAAAACCATCGATACATTTAGGTCAAACGTCTCCAGTTGAGACAATGTCTCATGTTCAAAAAGTTTCTACATTTTGGAAATTCCTCAGTTTTTTTAGAATAGGTGGTTGTTCCTATGGTTATTGTGATAAATTCCTGATTGGCGAATTTGGCTGGGTGGACTTTATTGAATGCCCTTTTCCATCTAAGGCCTTGTCTGAGCTTATAATATATATAAATATATATATGTATGATTTTTTTTTTCAATTCACACCTCTTATTCCTAGGAATTTCTAGGAAAAAATACCTAAGAATTCCTAAGAATTCCAAAATCCATTTCGCAAGGATAGATATGGGGAACCATCTGTGCCAAAAATGCATATATCAATCCCTAGTGATAAAATTCAATCATTAGTGCTAAAATATCAATCACTAGTGTTAAAATCTCAATCATTAGTGCTCAACCTCAAATGCTTCTGTTTTACACAATCGGTTGACACCACAACCTATGATTGGTATTTAGTGCCATCGATCTACAGTGTACCTCAGAACACAAGCAATTTGTAATTAGCTCTTTTAATTGGAGCCTTACAATGGCATTTGGTGTAAAAACACAAGAGATTGAGGTTCAGCACCAATGATTGACCATTTTAGAATGGAAACTAAATTGATTTACAATAAGGAGTTGCTGCTAGCACTAATGATTTAGTTTCATCACAAGTAATTGATATTTTAGCATTCACATGTGAAGTAACAATTCAAAAGTAGGCAGGAATAATTTCATACCCCTTTACTTTATTCCTTAAATAAGCTGCTCTTCTATTTGCAAAATCATAACTTGCTGATAAATTCTAAACATGCAAGACAAAAAGAATAAAAAGTTTCAATAACAAATTAATGCATTTATAAACCAATGTGAGTTGTTATCATAAACAATCACCTGACAACTGTCGGTTGCAATTTACATTTTCACAGGTGAGGCTTATTGTGATCAGTGTATGTTGTGGAATGCGAGCAAGGCCTTAAGAGGTATGTTAATTTGCCCATGCGATGAGTTTCATAAAACAATGTAAGTTTCTGGTATGGTACTTCTTCATGGCATTTACATGTACAATGTACACAGTAACACTTCCTGCCAATATTGTCATCAGTATAGTTACAAATAGTGTAAGTAAACTCAAATTTACATACACATTGTAAAAATGGAGTTGTCATTTACAAATGTTGATATACAAAAGTGATAGATTGGCATACTTTAAAAATCCATGTTGAATATCCTGATACTGGCAAACAAGTCCATCACTGATGGCAAGATCTGATGTACAATGCTTGATCCAGTAAAGGTAAATAAAGGAAGGAAGTCTCTACTGTCAGAAGTAATTTAATCAAAATAATGATATACACAAATAAAAATAACTAAGAATTTACATAGTTTTCATGCAGATCAGGATGGCTGCCATCAACTCCATCATCAACCACTGCCACCAGTACTCCTTTACCAGTATAACCTGCTTTCCAAACAGACATGATATTGTATGTTGGCTCCCAAGAGTCTTTAGGTCTCTCCTAAGGCAATGTATACACTGTTAATAGGAGTAATGTAAATGCAATTTAACTAAGAAATAGACTTCATAAACTTTACAAGGGCAAGTTTTCTCAGTGGTTGGTATTGTAATAGTGTAAATGGCAACGTCTTTGCTGTGCAGGTAGTCATGAAGTTCAGCAATCTGACATTTGCCTGGATGCAGGTAAGGTCTCCCAAGACCCCACAGTGATTATTGTTGGTTCCAAATATCACTGATTTACAAGTCAAAGTTTTTAAAGACTGCAATTACTAAAGGAAAGAACACTGTAAACAAATCTTTCCTCCCTGTATGGCGATCTTCAACAACAACAGTAGCAATTCCAAAGTTCAAGAAGGCATGTGATTCTAACACTTTTAACCTCTAACAACTACATAATAGAGAAACCTCATGTAAAGGCACTCAACATGTACATGTACATTTAGCAGGAGAATTAAGCCAGCAAAAAATTAAAGCTTCATTAAAAATACTTCACCCATAAGATAAACGTAAGAGAGGTACTTACAATGTACCACTGTTGATGAAACATGGGATCATTAAAACTTTTTTTCTTCTGTTGCATATACCACTCAATCTACACAAACAACAAATTTGTCATGGAACTAATTAAATACAAGTGAAATGAATTCTTGAAACAAACTCAGATTAGTTACTGTAAATTCAATCCTTTAATCATGTCCCATCACTGTTCAATTTCTGGTTCTCCCCACTGATATTTTTGTCCTTTTTGTAGTTTAAAGTAATTACAGGTTGAAAAGATTCAAAATAGTTTTAGAATATTTTGATTTTTTTTACTTTTAAACCATAAATATCTAATCGCATATTGAGTTTTAAATTGAATCTCATAAACACTCTAATGAATCTTTCCTTTTAGCCAAAAGGCAAGAATTCAACTTGAAAAACAAGATAAGCTATAATCAACTGACTATTAATACTTGAGAATTTGGAGTTATTTATTTCACTTCCTTTTTTTACTTTCCCTATTTACATTTTTGTATTTGGCAAGGAATTTCAAATGATTATTAACCCTTTCACTCCCAAGATAGACTGAGACAGAATTCCTCTTAACAATATCAAACAGATAAGTGATAATAATGAAGACAAATATAAGTTAGGGGTTTATTAGTTGATCCAATACCAAATTCTCGTACTAACATCATAAAAATTGTATTGCAAATAGTGAGGATCATTACTAACAGTATCCTGGGGTGAAAGGGTTAAACTGTAAGTGTTAAAATACCTAGATCCACAACTTCAACTTGGAAGGTACTCAAGAATTTCATGGCAATGTCATTTGTAGATGTGCTTTTGTTAAATGTTTAGTGAGGCTTTTGCTGTCCTATAATCATAAGTTTCAGCTATTTATTTGCCCAAGGTGATAATTTTTCCAGTTCATTAAATCTTAAAATGAACTCATAACTAGCTACTTGCTTATGATCATTTTTATTAAAAATGTTATACTTAAGTAAACATTTTATCATGTGATTATGCAATTATATAATCAAACAACTGGTGGAAATATTGAATATATTTTTTAATTTTCGATTGTCTTAATGAATGTAACATTTTTCAATAAGGCAATGTCTTACCTTTGGTTCTCTTGATAACTTAGCATCAACCTCCAATGATAATTCACTTTTCTCTGTTCTTTTGAACAAATGATAGTCCTGAAACAGCTAAAAGCACAAGTTTTGGTAAACTTGGTCATTTACACTATACTTTCACACCACCTATTTTAATTGAACATGTCCAGAAAAGGACTTAAGATGATTATCTCCAGTAACACGACATCTTTGCTGATGAGCAAAGATAATTTTTTTTTTCGCAAAACTGGTCCAGGAGATGTCATTAAAAAAATTTAATCTCCAGGAACACCTTAAAATTGCTCTGTCAAGTTTCAATTTAGTCTACTTTCCATCTACATGACCGTAACATGTATTTAACAAAGAACTGTAGAGTTCAATCAGTATGCACTCTTGCATCAAGGAAAAGGCTCCATTACATGATATCACAAAGATATTACAAAATCTTCAACAGCAGTCTACCCAAAGCTTCAGAACGTGACGTGTCATCTTCCTTCGTCTCTGTAAGATGTCCATCCTCATCTCGGCCTACGAAACGACACATCTAATACACTGAAGACAAGCTATTGTGAAACGACTGTCGGACCTCGAATAACACCAGCCGTCTACCTATAAAATGTGAACCATGGCTGGCTCATTAGGGCTTCCATCGACGAACTAAGGCTAATTTTTAGAGATACTGCGCCGATTATTCCACGGAATTTCGGAGATATGGTTAGAGGACTCTGAAATTGAATTGTTGGATTATTCTGTGTACCATCATGGGTTAAAAATTTTCGCGCAGCTTTATATTATAATTGTAAATTTGTTTTTATGTCATTGTTTTATCTAGCCAAGAACTGAATGCATAATGTAGTATAGAGAAAATGTAGGGAAGGTGAAACTGCATTGTATCGAAAAATATGAAGCACACTGTAAGAAGGGACTTAAAAGAAGATTTTGTAGACATATGGATAGAAATACAATTCAATAAAGTGAGGTATTTAACTGGATGCGTATACAGGACTCCAGATGAATCCATTGAGGGTTTTGATTATTTGGACAATGTTTCTAGGCATGCGAAAAATTTAGAAGTCATTGTTATGGGTGATCTCAAGTGTGACATTAATGAAACCTCAAAGCAGACAGAAGCTGTCGGAAATTACCATGGAACAATTGATAAAAGAACCAATGCTCATAAGTTGGACAAGAAATACTCTTATTGATATTTTAATCGCCTCTACACCCAGGTTGTTTAGAAGGCGGGTGCAATCAATGTCGTTTTTAACGACCATTATCCTAACATAGCCAAGCCACTCGTGTACTTCGAAGACAAACATACCCATGGCTTGACAATACTCTTCTTAAAGTCATGAGAGCACGCGATCAATTACTATTTAATTGACTGACCGGTCTTAAATCATTGAGCTTCTAGGATTAAGTCTTATTCTATAGTATTCTATACAACATATGGATAATTGGTGGGTCATGGTCGACCTTTGCCAAAAGCCTTTCATATTTAAGCAGCAGAATACTATACACAAGACGATAGCCCGAACAAAAGGAATAGGGAATAGGAAATTCCTACTTCAACAAAGTGAAACTCACATGTTTGTAAGAAAAACCATGTTTGTGGGCCAACTCTTCAGCTTCTTGTTGGCTAGCACGAACTTTTACGGCCCACGAATTCGTAAAAGTAGAATCGGCCATAACACCACTTCCGCAGCACAAGATTATGAACAGGGCACAAAAAAGGGGACAAACGATGGGGGGAGTAAGGGAAGAATGCCACGCCATTATCGCTTCAGTATCTTGAGTTGAGCAGCTCGATATGGAGCTTAAATCTACAACAGATACGTACGTGTTAAACGATAAAAATAGAAATAAATGTAATCTAAAGAGATTGTGAGGGTTTCCTTATATTGGTGTTGGAAAATGAATGGAAATAATATCTTACCGTAAGCCATTCAGTAAAAATAATAAGTTAGTTGATCATTTCCTATTCCTTATGGCGGTCTAATCTCTTTCTGATCGTGAATTTGACATGGAGACATGTTTCTGCTTAAACCACAATTTGCGGCTAAATATTGGTACATTTCCATGATGTTGCGAATAGATTTTTAATTACGAAGAAGACTTTACCTTATAAAAATTGATCCCGTACGGAACTTCCTGGGAGTAACCTTTCTCGTTTTTTTTTCGTATTGCTTGGGAATGAGTGAAAACTATTAATTTGAGAAGGTGCATGAAACTACAAATAAAGGCATTCAGGTTACGGCTTATGATACCACTTAAAATGCGCGAAACACATGTACCTTCGGATAGCCTTAATTCCAATTTGACCTTCTCGGTCAAGAAAATGCGACAAATACATGCAAAAAATACTTTTACACATTCAGAATAAATCAGGTTATGTTTACCTATGGTGAAAGGAAAAAGGAGCGGCCTACCTTTACAGAATTTTCGGGAAAAATCTGCCGCTTCAAATTAACGTGAGACCGCCATATTAAAAATAATGAAGCTACCACAATGCAACGCAATCGGAGTGCACACACCGCATGAGTCTGATTGCGTTGCATTGTGGTAGCTCCATTTCCAATATGGCGATGAAAGCGTTAGAAATTGGCAATCACCGTTTTTTTTAGTATGTAATTTGAGACCAGTTTTCGAGAAGGTCAAATTTGATGTACGTCGTAGTTTGGAGCCTTTCAAAGATTTGGATGGCCGCTTTGATCCTTCTTCAAGAGCTTTGACCAAACACTCTCAAACGCTCTCCAACGGAACATGTGTTTCTCGCATTTTAAGTGCTAGTGTTTGACACCGATTGTAACCAAGAAAAGGCCTATTGTTGCGTTACACAGCGGTACTATTGTATACTCAGTTGTGTTGTAAATCTACTTTCCTAAGTAAAAGCAAATTAGCAAATCGCGAGTGTTGTATGTGAAATCTACTATCTTGATCACTGAATGAAGGACAGTTGAATTAGAACAATGATAGGAGTCACTTGACCACTGAACAACTCTACATTGCACACGGCGACACGCCGGGTAAGCTGGAAAGCAAAATGCAGTCGATCGTGAAAAGGTGTTGATAGGCTTGTGCGACTCCTGCCATTCGCTTGCGCTTTTAAATCTTCTGACCTGAAAACTTAGCTGTTATTAAGATATCTTATAATGACTTTCCTTTGCGATGTGATAATAAGGGTTAGTTCCCTGTTATTTCCCTGTCTGTATGTTCTTGAGGTTTGGCAAAGCCGAATGAGATTGCGTTACAAAAGGTAATATTTTCATGTGTGCGCGCTATTTTCTCTGTTTTCAAGTACTGTCTCTCCGAGAAGGTAACTCCAGAGATACGGTTTTCAAAACCTTACTCTGTTTACCTTACTCGTTTTACGAGTAAGTAGAGGGCGGCACTTCGGTCCCTAACCAATCACAGCGCCGGATTTGGTCGCTGTGGGACTAAAGAGCAATAGAGATCATACCCGAAAACAATAGAACAATAGGTTGTCGGCATATTTACAAAAGAGAAAAATAGAACAATGGAAACTGAGTAGTTCGTACGCACCTATATGACATGGTTTAAGATTCATGGTTTAATTTATATAAGTTTAAATTTATATAAGACGGAAAAAGTAATCAATGTGGGAGTGTTTTTTAGAAAATGCGCATGCGCAGTAAATGTAAATTTGTTTTAAAACATCCACTATGTTTTATCCGTCAAAAACCGTATGTTTTTCAATTAAAGGAAAAGTTTTTAAGTCGCGGGGATTTTTTTAATCTTAAAGTGCAATAAAAAACTTAAAGTTCAATGAAAACGTGGGTGCATTCTAGGTAAGATTCTAAACCATGAGGCACGCATTCAGCATATGGCGAAAAAACACACACACACACACACAAAATTAAATCTTTAAACATAATTTATTGGTCCTGTCCTTAAATTTGCAAAACAGAACGTAACAGTTCCTAAATCGACTCTAAAATTGAAGTCCAGTTACATTGCTCGTACATTGTGTAGAACAAAACGAAATCTTTCCACGGCTTCTTGCTTGCTAGAGGCTAAAAAGTGAGTGTCAAAGTGAATTCGAACACCATCTTCACGTAATTTTAACAACATCAGCAGGTGATTTAAAATATCCTGACCAAACATGGCACTACCGTCTCTCGGTAACATTTCAGCAATGTTCATTATTCTGAACAGAAACGTACGTTTGATCTAAATCCCTCGGGACCTTTTCGGTTGAGTCGGTGAATATTCAGTGACACGTTCCAAAAAATACTTGCATTTCTTTCAAAAATTTCTAGGTTTTCCATTTGCGTAAACCGTTCCATGTTTCTGAACGGAATCTGTTTGGGCCTATGAAAACGTTCTTAATATGTCTGGTTTATGAAAACGTGCTTTCTACGTTTGATCAAAGTCCCAAAGGACCGACTATGCGTCGGTGAATATTTAATGTCATGTTCCTTACACTCTAACATTTTATACACGCTTACGCTCTATCTAATTAAAAGACAAATGGTGGGAAAATAAAATTTCATCATGAACATAACTGAAAAACACAGATTTCGGAAAGTGTAACAAACGAACTTTCCTACACTTGCCCACCTCTATTACCCGAATATAACATGACTAAATGATAAAGGTGATTTCATCGCTCACAAATTTCAACATGTTTTAGTTAATCGAACCAGAAATAAAAGTTACGAGTTCTACAATTTTTTCAAAGAGTATAACATCTTTTTTCATTCAAAGTTCTTCCTTTTGTTCTTCTTCCTCCTCTTCTTCCCTTTCTTCTTCAGATTCAACCAAGAGGGGTCTTTTTTTAGAGTCCATTTGATAGGAGTTTTCTTCTGTCGATGACTGACTCAAACGCTTCGTCAAGATCCATATTGTCCTCATTCATAAAGCTTCGGACAGTTTGCACGTTGTAAGTATACCCTTCTTAATTTACGTCTTACTTGAGGTAGGAGGGAATTGAAAGCAACATTCTCGGAACACTTATCGGATTTTCCCTGTTGTCGATGAGTTGAACTTGTTCATCGAAGAGTTCACTCAAAGATTCTTGCACTTGATCAGTCAATTCTACCCATGGATTAGCATCATCATAGTTATCATCATTGTCGTCGTCTTCGTCATCATCATCATAATTCCCCTTCTGCACGTCTTTTGTCTCGGAGTCACTACCTCTATCATCCTCTGACGCATCATGGTCGTCTTCCTCTTCTCCTGCCTCTTGTTTGTCATTGTATTCGAGAGGGTTACCATAGAACTATCGGTCATGATTGTCATTCAATAAAACAAAAGTTTCTCTTACGATGTGTACGTGGCGGTGGTTGTTCAGAAATGATTCCTGACTAGTGTGAGGTTTGTTTAAATTTTTACTTTTCTATGATGGAATCGAATACATCCTTCATATGTCAACAGGTGACTGAACACGCGTCGATTGTCATCACTGGCAGGGTGTAAATCTAAGGCCAGATATCCGTGGGGTCGTTGAGTAACTTTACGGCACACTTCCATAAAATCTTGCCACCACGAAGGAAATGCTTGCAATAATAAATTCTTCAAACCCAATTGATCTCGAGGGTTCTTGAAAGCGACCACGTAATGAGCATTCCTTGAAATACTTTCAGCACATTTGCTCGGTGGAAACATGTCTTGACACAAATAGATGATAGTGATGTTGCAATGATGAAAATGTTTGGTAAAAAGATCCAACACTTCTTTATCGTTCCCTCCCTCGGTCATCAGATCGTCCAAGACCAGTAAACCACCTTCTTTAGCGAACCATTTTTTCAACTGTCCTTGTTCAGGTACGCTTTCGTGAAACTTAACACCTTCCTCTTGCATCTCACGGAAACCATCTTGCCATACGTCATTGCAGTAATGAACCACGGTAGGAGGCTTTACAAACAATTCATCTAGATGGTCCAGGGGTAACGACTTGCTGAAATAAGTCTTGCCTCACCCAGATGGTCCCACGATTAAAATGCTACAGGATGTCTACAGGATTGTTCTATTGCCTACTTTTTAAATATGCCGACAACCTATTGTTCTATGGTTCTTAGGTGTGAGCTCTTTTGTTCTTTGGTCCCACAGGGACCAAATCCGGCGCTCTGATTGGTAAGGGGACCGAAGAGCCGCCCTATACTACTTTCGTTTCTGAGAAAGTTTAATTTATGAGGAAATGTCTAAAAATATCACTCCTTTCTGGCATATTGCTTGGGAATGAGCAAAAATTATTCATTTGAAAAGGTGCATGAAACTACAAATAAATACATTCAGGGTACGGCTTCTGATCAATCATGAATCGAGCAATATCCACATTTTCAACGCCCCTATCCCCTCTAACCCGCGATGCAATTCTAAATTCTTGTATTCAGGAAGCATTGCAAGACGCTACCTGTTAGGTTGTTTGTGAAACACTTTATGTAAACTATTGCTCTACTATACCCGTCAAGCAGCCGTGCAAAACAAACCTCCACTGGATTAACTTATGATTTGAGTCAATGTGCCATAGGTAGTTTGGTTTTTTAACATTATACAGATGTCGTTGAATTGCACATCTGCGCCTTATGGCGCGGTTTACAGGATCGATTCTTTGTAATGCTTCCCGAATTTTCCACCTCTGAACATAAATGCCGCGTGCTCTTAACGCTCCTCGTACATACGTTTCACCAGAGAAAGGTGTTATTCGTAAGATATCTCTTACATTCCAATCAAATTCCTCTTCATTAACCTCGCTGTAATCAAGAATACCAAATATTATTCTTCTTCTGGACAGAGTCCTGGCACTTATACCTAGACACTTTGCAATAGTTGCCCACTAAATACCAGTGCTGCGAAGTTCATCAATTTGTTCTGCTCTTGTATTTTGGTCTTCCTAATGACCTTCTTTCGCGGGAGGTACACTACGAAACTCAGCTCTGTCTTGAAAAGAGGCAACAATTTTATCCCTGATATGGTTTAGTAGCTCCCGCAAGGAGTGCAAAAAGTCGTCAAGCAGCACTTTTATCTCTGGAAAGCCTTGGACATCGGCGATCGTGTATATATTCCATATTTCTGTTGTTTCGGGAGCTGTGCATCGTTCTATATGGGAAATACAATCCTGTATAGACAACAGAAACCTCTCCGAGTCCTCTACATTACCGTCAGCAACTTGAAGAACGACAACGATGCATAAAGAAGCCACGTAACCAACAGATCTGGTGACCGCCATATTGTTTGATCATTTTGGCGGCAAATGACGGCATGGCATGCTGGGTATTCTCGACTCGATGAGGAAATTCTCCACTCGACAAAAAAATTTTGACTTGAGGAAAAAATTCTCGACTCGGCGAAAATATTTTCGACTCGAGGTAAGAATTCTCTTCTCGATGACAAAATTCTCGACTCCATTAAAAGAAAATTCTCGACTCGGAAAAAAATCTCGACCACTTTTGTCCATTACGGCTCGCCATTTAATTGACAACTTTTTTCTCGGCTGGAATGAATAGAAGGAAACGAGTTAGACCAACAAAGAACTTAAAAAATTAAACCACAGTTTATTTATACGACTGACTCACCTTCAAGTGATGATACGGCGCATTTTTTTATGACACTGTTAGTCCTCTTCTTTCACCCAGCTATCAGCTTTTCTTCCGTACCCTTTCCATCTCAACAGATATTCTTTATCTCCATTGACTGTTCGCACAGGCAAAACTTTCGAAACTTGGTCGTCTTTTTTTTTTTTCCCCCGCCACAAAATGGAAAAAATTGCGCAATAGTACCCAGTGGTTATTGGGCCCTCAGCACCATGACAACTAACTGTGATCTAAGGAGGCGTTCACATGCTGATCACGCGTGTTATCTTGATGATGATTGACGTTGTCATGCACAGACAGGGCCGGGTCACATGACGAATCATGAGATTTTTGCTTATAAAACTCGTTGGTCAGTTGTTTTGTATTTCAGCTTATTTGGATTGCGATCTCCTGGAGCATTATGGCACAAACGCGTAAAATACTTACAGACGCATATACAAGTCGTATCAATCGCGGCTAATCCATACTGAAAGATGTTATTGAGCGGTAATTTTGGAACGGATTGAGTCGCGAACGCTTGACAGCCATGAAAGCCTTGAATGCCTTGTATGCTAAGTATGCCAATGTCTTAGTTGAAAAACGTTCACTTGTTGTAAAAAGCAAAATCTGAAATCTGAAACCAAACTGCACATACTCTATGCAATCTATTGAACAACACTACTACCGTGAGACTGAAGAACATAACTATAATGATGCAAACTGCTTGTGAAGAAAGACGACATGTTGGATTCACTTGATGGCAAGGAACGTAGCTACGATAACAGTACGAATGGTATTAATTTCACGGTCAGAAAGGTGAATCTTATGTTTGTTTTCATTGTAGTTGTATGGATATTCTTTTTTAATAAATACGTGATCCAAAACCCTGTGTTTTTTTGTGTATAATGTTATTATGTTAAATATTGTTTACGCAATTGTCTTGTTACAGGCGGCCCAAGCTCACGTCTCGAGAGAAAAAGCCAACGATTAATTCATAAACGCGTCACGCGTTGTGTGACTCGGTGTTAAGTTACGAGAGGAACTGTTGGAAATTTGAACACGTTATAAGGAAGAGTTTCCCTAATGGTCGCGGGTCGCGGGTCGCGGGTCGCGGGTTTTAAAAAAGTCGCGGGTTTTGAAAAAGTCGCGGGTTTTGAAAAAAAGTCGCGTGTTTTAAAAAAGTCGCGGGTTTTCAGAAGATTGCATTATAGGAATATAGCGAAGAACAAAATCTACGCGTTAATGCGAATTTTCGCAAAGTTAAGTTTACATTTATTTATTTAATTAACGCGAATTTGCGTGTGTTTATAAGAACTATTTCGTAGTGAATTTCAAGCCTGTGCGTTAAAATTTCACAAAATAAAACAGCCACGTTCAGCACCGTTAAATTTACGAATCTAAAGATGTTTTCACTCAACTGAATGACAATATGTCAACTGACTCTGACGGCGAGGTAGATTTTCTCGAAATAAAGGCATCTTTAAATAACGATGCTGTAAAAAAGCATGATTTAAATTGATGATGATGCAAAGAAAGGTCCATAAAATTAAAGCGAATGTTTGAAATTAGTGTTAATAAAATGCATCGTTTGACTGGTTGCCCTGATCGTATCGGAATTTATCTTTCCATTTCCATAAACTGGTTAGTACACACGTGGCACTGAGGAACGGAATGCAAAGACTATTCCGACCGATTGGCCTGGTTTCATCGGAAAATGTTCAATTTTGCAATAGCTTATCTTGGTTAGTCCCACTGATCAGACTGTAAAAATGGAATGCACCTTCGGTTTTCCTGCCTTTTGATCTGAAAAGCAAGAGCCCGGATTATAGTGTGCGACGGTGCATTGTAAAATTACGCATTCTAGAATGGAGAGTCAGCAAGGAATGTTTAAGCTTCGTCAGCGACTAAAGAAATTGGGTTTTTTATTTCCTTCGATCCTAGAGGTGATGGCGATTGTTTTTATACGGCGGCAGCCCACCAACTGAGCCTGGAGAGAGAACAAGTCAAGAAGCTCGTTTTCCAGCACCTCGAGAACCATCAAATTGATGTAAGTAAGCTTACGTAAAGCTTGTACTCGGCTGCCAAAAAATATAAGATACTTATATATATATATGAGCAACGCTAGCTTCTTAGGGGTTCTCAAAAGTTCCCAAACGCGTTCTACGCTCACATCTGGACAAGAACCGAACGAGCAAACGAGGCAACCATGTGAGCGCCAAGACAGGAGGTTGCATTTATGATAGCATTAATTACTAAACTTTTAAAAAAATTTGTGGGCTACAATGACAGCGGTGGTGTACGAATTTGATGAGAATTTTTTAGACGGTTCAAAACTTAGCTTTGATTTCAGTTGAGAAAATTAAACCGGCGTCTTTTGCATCCGGTTTAAATTTGTTTGAATGAATTTTACTGAGAAACAAATACATTCTATTGAAAACTCGTGACTTTTCATAGAACACGCGACTTTTCTCAAAACCCGCGACTTTTTTTAAAATAATATAGGAAACCGACCCCATGCAAAAAGTGGTACTTTTATCCGGCCGGTAACGATTATTACGCTAAGCGACCTAACTATAATTGCTTTCACAAATTTATAACATTTTATGCCAAATATGAGAAAACTTGTTGTGTTTTGGTAAAGATATATACAGGTAAATGTGGGTCTACAAAACTTGTCACATTTATTTGAGTTTCAAAAAAAAAAAGATGACATTTCCAGTGCAAAATTCGACTCTGCTCAAAATGCAACAACATCACCCTACAGGAAAGTTTTGATAATAGTTGGTTGATTTCCTGTATTGTTTGTTTTTATTACTATTTTGTTGTTGTTGTTAACTAGGTTTTTTTTAATTTCCAATGCTTTTCCAGTGCTTTGACTTTCTTTTATGGGCATGCTATAGAAAAACCGCGACTTTTTTCAAAACCCGCGACCTTTTTTAAAACCCGCGACACGCAACTTGAAACCCGCGACCCGCGACCATTAGGGAAACTCTATAAGGAATAGTATAGGGAACGAAGTATGGTCGATTTACAACGATAAATATTTCGAAATATGAACATTTTTCTCGTAAAATCAATAAAACTTACTCATACCCTGTGTATCCGTTGTAGTTTCTGGCGATTTGTGCCGTTTTAAGCTAGCTTTACCATCACTGTTATTCACGTCATCTACTTTTATTACGTTGGTAAAATCTGTACAGACATCACACCAACCAACTCGTGCGCAAAGTAAGAAGACTATATTGAAGGCTTGAAATAATATTGCGATCGATTTTCATCAAGAAATGGGCCAGGAATATTCCACAATCGTTAAAATAATCGTGAAGGCGGATCGCAGAAAAGCGATTGCGTGACGCTTGGTAAGCTGTGAGATGACATGTTATTATATACCAGACGTAAAAACTCTTCAGATTCTTAGTCTGCATTTTGTACCCAGTCTGCAGTCTATATTTTGTATCCGGTCTGCAGTCTGCTGTCTGCATTTTGTACTAACAGGTATCCGTGGCACCAATACAGTTTATTTTTGGTTACATTTATTCGCAAAACACACATAATCTACCACAAAGATACCTGTGAGTGAGGTAATTCGACATTTTCGTTCTTTCCCACATTAATATTCTTCTCTCCTTTTGTAAGAATGTAGACATCACTCACAATGTTTCAAGTAATCCACCCACCCTATAAAAAAGTAACTCTTGCATGCATAGCATGCCTATGTTTTGAAATAGGTGTATGCCCTTGGCCAGACTTGAGCGCACTATTTCAGTATACTAGCCCGACACCCGTAGTATCACTACACTTGATTCCAAGGATCCAGTACCATCCAGGTATCCCAGTTACCCTGCTCACAGGGTCCAGTTCGAAAACAGCTGTGCGCCAGCGCCCGCTTTATGCGAAAATTTGGAGAAACTGTTTGATAGCGGTTTACCTTTAACAAAGACTGTTAGAATCCGCTGTAAAACTCTATTAGTTTTAATGAGAGAGACTTACTTTCAAGCAAGACCTGCTTTTTTTTTTTAAAATACAAATAAAAAAAAAACTCGCATCTTCTTCATTTTGAGACTTGTGAGTAAAAAATATCACACCCTCGTCTTGCCACGCATTTGATTGAAAATGAAAATAACTCAAATAGGTGCTCCCGCAAATAAGAAATCATTGCTTTGATCAGTATATCTTGTATCATCAATATAGTTGCACTAATTCGGCGCTTTTGTAAAGAAGGATCCTCGTGTTAGGTAAACATGTTGGTTCTAAAAAATAAGCGCCTCGTTTGAAAACAGCTATGCGCCAGAAACAAGATCTTTAATCACCTCGAGGCTCTCTACAGAAAACCGTCACCTTCGATTGCATTTAACACCAGTAGTAAGATCGAGAAATATTTTTGTGCGTTGACTTTTTACCAGGCGACTTGATTTGCATATAGAGAGAGGTGGTTTAAATGAGTCACTGCATCACGGATAACTTTAATTATTTTTGAAATTGCGAACCTTTAGCTAGATGCACTCATCGAGGGTACCCTTGGGTAAGCCGATGGAGATTGATCTTACCAGTGCATTTTTAAACTACCCACTCCCCCAATGCAGCAAAATTGTCACTCCGATTATTTCCTCGATCAGTTACGAGCTTTTCCGCCTCCCTTAGGCCAAAGTCCCTCAGCGCTACCGATAACGAAAGGACTTTCGTTTGAGGCTTAATGGAAAAGTCGAGCCGGAACAATGGACCAGTTTTTAACATGCTGCACTTTCCCCTCACACTCTGCCAGGGAGACCGTGAAGTGTATCTTTCATTCTCTGAAAAGAGAAAAACAATTTCTTTCTAACAATCGATTATCTGCCGTGTGTGGCGTTTAGTCACCAACGAACCCACATCGCAAGTTTCAGACTCCAGCCTCTCAGTTAAGACCCCCTGAAAAATAGAAATAGTTGTTTTGTTACTTCGACAATTAACATTTGTGTTGCATATCCTCCTTTGTCTAGCTTGTCCCAGTCTCCGCTGTTGATCGCATGTTACTCGAAGCTGAAATAAAATGGTAATGAAGATGGGACTTGTTTAAGTTTGGCAAATAAAGTTATTTATGTTTTGTTCGTATTTTGTCATATGTATGTTTCAGACTGAAACTTGTATTTAGATATGAAGATAGTTATTCATAGAGTTCTTGAATAACATTAGACTGAAGTTACCAACTTGTTGGCCCAAGAATCCAAATGTGACCAATCCAACTTTTTAAAATAAATTATTTAAACCCGCATCGCACTAATTACTTTTCACTCCATAGCGTAAATGTTTGCTCCTAGTTCGACCCCTCCTTTTAGTGACGCTTTAACTGAAGACCCCCTCCTCTACTGGTACCGCTCATTACTGGGATACCTGGGGTAGCCCAGTCATAAAATGCCTTTGTTTTTTTGTCGTCTTTTTTTTTTTTTTTACTGGGATACCTGTGGTAGCCCAGTCATAAAATGCCTTTGTTTTTTTTTCGTCTTTTTTTTTTTTTCCTCCGCCACAAAATGGAAAAATTGCGCAATAGTACCCAGAGGTCATTGGGCCCTCAACACCATGACAACTAACTGTGATCCAATGAGGTGTTCACATGCTGATCACGCGTGCTATCTTGATGATGATTGACGTTGTCATGCATGGACAGGGCTGGGTCACATGACGAACACGAGATTTTTGCCCAAAAAACTCTTTTTTCAGTCGTTTTGTAGTTCAATGTGTTTGGATTACGATCATCTGGAGCATTATGGCGCAAACGCTCAAAATACCTATAGACGCATACACAAGTCGTATTGTTCGCGGCCAATCCACACAAAAAGATGCTATTGAGCGGTAATTTTGGAACGGACTGAATCGTGAACGCTTGAAAGCCATGAAAGCATTGAATGCCTTGTATGTCTTGTATGCTAAGTATGCCAATGTCTTAGTTGAAAACCTTAACTCGTTGTAAAAAGCAAAATCTGAAATCTGAAACCAAACTGCATATACTCTATGCAATCTATTGAACAACACTATTACCGTGAGACTGAAGAACAAAATTAAAATGGATGCAAACTGCTTGTGAAGAAAGACGCCATGTTGGATTCACTTGACTCCAGGGAACGTAGCTACGATAACAGTGCGAATGGTATTAAGAGTAAATGTCAGTAAAAATCAAGGAAAATTAAAAAAACGTGGCCACGGTCAAAAAATCGATTTCGCTCATACTTTGTCAGTTTGAAGGCCTAGGTAAGTAACTGAAGGATATGAGGTTAGTTTTTTGAAATATTCCATATAACGGCAGAAAACCACGAAAAACGGTCACCCTACCGGAAGCTCGGATTTCACCTGGCGGAAACTCGAAATTTTACACTTTTCAGCTTCTCGCTACACAGACGTTTACATAGCTGTGAATCTTTCTTAAGTATAATTGAATACATCGATTCTTCCTTAGTCAAACCATGGGAATTATTTTTATCTCTGCTTATTTGTGAGCGAACTGAGACCCGATTAAGAAGACACACTTTTCTCATTTACGCGAAGCTGTAAAGTAATCCAAACTCAGCGACGAAAAAAGGTGACCGGTAGTTCTTCAAATCTTCTGATATTATAACCAAAGACAGTTCAGTCATTGATTTTTAGGTCTACGGTTTTAAATCTTTAGGATCTAGTAGCACTTTTGCATGAACGCCGATCAAAATTCGATAAAATACCAATTGAGCGCCTTTGAAATCTACAACTCTACATAACAAAGCACTTAATTGAATAAATTAACTCCTCGGCCAAAGTTTGTACATAAAACATAAGGATTTTGCTTTTTTAGCGGTTTGAAGCGTTTTAAAAATATATATCAATGTTAAATATTATCTACACAGGTAAAACAAACTATGAAACACCAAAATTACCTCGAGCTGAAATTAAATCTGACAGGCTCGCTCCCTAATCTGCGTCACGCACGAGCGACTTAGCTACAATTAGTACAGTAACAAACAGATATTTACATCCGTTGATTTTAAATAAGTCGTATTTTTAAAATATCTTACTCAAAGATGTGCCAGGTTTCCCAGGTAACTTGCTGAAAAAAAAAGAAAACCTTAATAGTAATTCTAGCTCAATTAGAATTGATTTTATTTAGTATGAGAAGTTTTGTGCCGTCGAAAACCAATCGGAAGTAACTGTTTCCACGAAAAGCAAATATTGCATCGTTCTCTAAATAAACAAATCTACTTAACCAGAGTATGTTGTTGGCGAAGTTAATAGACATACATAACAACGACGTCTTGCTCGTTCTTGAATATTGTCGGTGGGATTTGCGGCGCAGACGAACGCACTTGCTAAGTAACTTCCAATGGCTAATTTCTACCCGTACTCAGCTTTCATCACACTGCTCACGCTGTGTAACAAGGATATAAAACATTGCACGAAGTCTTAAAAAACTCTCCGGACTTGAACCAGAATTGATTTACGCAAGATTGCGTGTTTTTAAAAGCCAACGAGTTTATTGGAGATGACTACCCGTACCGTCTCATCGTGTCACTTAGGCATAACCTGACATGATGTCGATAGTTTCGACTCCTGATGGCCGCGAGCACTCGGATTTCTTTTTTTCCGAGTACGCCTGTGTCACTTACTGAATAATACATCATTCCCATTTATTCACCAGGCTTAAAAATATTCCATCACATTTATTCCATTGCGCGTATGCCACACATGACATTCCAATCCTAGCAGTATGCAGGATGTTTTTCCATGTCCCATGAAGCACTCGGGTTTTTTTTCCGATTATGCCTGTGTCACTTACTGAGTAATACATCATGTTCAAAAGTATTAATTTTTGCACCATACAGGAAGTTGTTTCGGGTCACTCAGCAAGAGCTGTGAAAAGTAGCCGCACTGGAATAGGAATATATTTTTTTTTTGCTGGCGTGGGCGTGGAACGGAACGACTTTTCCGATCCTCAAGATGGAAAAGGAATATGCGACCGCCAAGCAGCGACTATTAAAGGAGACATTGGAAGATATGTAAACGAGGGCAATGAAGTGGCAACAGCAATTCAGCTCAAAACAGCCATAGAGTCTGGTCCAGGATCTTGCGCTAAGGCTAGTTACGTTACATTCAACCCGTCAAGCACTCGGCACGTCAAATGGGATGGTGTAAGCTTACTCAACAACTTCAAGTATGAGGAGAACGGAATACGAGCGTGGAGGGCATTTAATGTGGGTCCTGGAAAGTTGCTACCGTGGTCTCAGTTTGAAGGAGTTTTGCAGGTCCCGGAAACTCTTGAAGTGGTTGATCCCCCATCGCAGAAATTGAGTACTAAGCCATCTTTCAAGAAGACATTGTGAACATTTCTCAGGTGCTCTTTCCTTATACACACTAAGCATCTTCCTGCATTTTACGCAAATTCCTTTAGAAAAAACATAGTCAAACTCCCGTCAAAACTCCGAAATTACCGAAAGGCGCGTATTTTTTAAACACAAAAGTCTGAAGTTTTGTCGACCCACAGAATAAAATAACAATCGAAAGTTGACTGCGCGATAAGAGGTGAGAAGAAGGGGGGAGTAGCATTGTGATTGTGACGAACTGAGAGATACTCATAAAAAATAGGAACTCATTGTATACATGTGGGTAGTGCTGTGCACGCGCTGCGGACCTGTTTGTTTACGGACACCGGCACTCACTCACTCACTCACTCACACACCTGGCGACAAAGTGGGTAGGGCACTATACAGTGCACACACTAATATAAGCGCAATCCATAAAAAAATGAGAGACATGAAATAAAGGTTGTTATAAAAAAATTGGATTGGACAACTGGATGAAGAGATAAGTAACGAAATGTCCTTCATCAACCTTACTTATTTCTCTCCGTCGTTTAAACAAATGATTCTTTCATATAATCTCAAGTCATCAGAATGAATAGACTAAAAATAATTCATTGGAGACAGTTTCTGTTTGGTAGAACATCAAGTAGTTGGTTGCTTACCTGAACCCACAGGGACGAGCTGTTTTGAAAGCTCAAATATCTTCATGGATTGGAATAAATTTATTCCTTTTTCTAGTGCGGGTGCCTTCCTAACAACTTCCGGGATGGTGCAAAGATTACCCGTCCTTCGCCTACCTAAACCTAACTTGGCACGATGAACCGGACAGATAGTCATATCCGATAAATTCGCCGGCTTTTGAAAATATCCACATCTTGCCAAAATTAATTCTACCTCCGTTTCAATTCCGGAAAATTTCAACGACTTTTTGTGATTTTTGATATCCCTGTTACACCGCGTGAGAGGCGTGACGGAAGTTGAAGAACTTGTGCGTTCGTCTGCGCCGCAAATCCCACCAACAATATTCAAGAACGAGCAAGACATCGCTGTTCTATGAAGTTCCCCGACAATAAACTCTGGTTTTAGATGCAATGTTTCACAGATAAAGATAATTCGATTTATTTATTTAAAGAACGATGCAATTTTCGTGAGAACAGGTACTTCTGATTGGCTATCGCCGGCATAAAGCTTCTCATTCTTAATAAAATCAATTCTTATCGTTTCAGTTTGAATTGTTATTATGATATTTTCTTTTATTTTTACTTCAGCAAGTTAACTGGGGAACCTGGCACATCGTTGAGTAAGATATTTTAAAATAAGACTTATTGTAAATTAACAGATGTAAATATCTGTTTGTTACTGTACTAATTGTAGCGAAGTCGCTCGTGCGTGACACAGATTAGGGAGCGAGCCTGTCAGATTTAATTTCCGCTCGTGGTAATTTTGGTGTTTCATACCATACCTGTGTAGACAATATTTTAAACATCAATATATATTTTTAAAAGGTTCAAACCGCTAAGAAAGTAAAACCCTCGTGTTTTATGTACAAACTTTGGCCGAGGAGTTAATTTATTCAATTAAGTGCTTTGTTATGTAGAGTTGTAGATTTCAAAGGCGCTCAATTGGAATTTTATCGAATTTTGATCGGCGTTCATGCAAAAGTGCTACTAGATCCTAAAGATTTAAAACCGTAGACCTAAAAATCAATGACTGAACTGTCTTTGGTTATAATATCAGAAGATTTGAAGAACTACCGGTCACCTTTTTTCGTCGCTGAGTTTGGATTACTTTGCAGCTTCGCGTAAATGAGAAAAGTGTGTCTTCTTAATCGGGTCTCAGTTCGCTCACAAATAAGCAGAGATAAAAATAATTCCCATGGTTTGACTAAGGAAGAATCGATGTATTCAATTATACTTAAGAAAGATTCACAGCTATGTAAACGTCTGTGTAGCGAGAAGCTGAAAAGTGTAAAATTTCGAGTTTCCGCCAGGTGAAATCCGAGCTTCCGGTAGGGTGACCGTTTTTCGTGGTTTTCTGCCGTTATATGGAATATTTCAAAAACTAACCTCATATCCTTCAGTTACTTACCTAGGCCTTCAAACTGACAAAGTAAGAGCGAAATCGATTTTTTGACCGTGGCCACGATTTCTTTGATTTTTACTGACAATCACTCTTAATTTCACGTTCAGAAAGGTGAATCTTTTTTTTTTCCATTGTAGTTGTATGGATATTCTTTTTAATAAATACATGATCCAAAATCCCGTGTTTTTTTTGTATATAATGTTATTATGTGAGGTATTGTTTACGCAATTGTCTTGTCACATGCAAACCAAGGTCACGTCTCGAGAAAGAGCCAACGATTAATTCACGAACGCGTTACGCGTTGTGTGACTCAGAGTAAGTTATGCTAGGAACCGTTGAAAATTTGAACACGTTATTAGGAATAGTATAGGGAACGAAATATGGTCGATTTACAACGATAAATATTTCGAAATATGAAGATTTTTCTCGTAAAATCAATAAAACTTACTCATACCCTGTGTATCCGTTGTAGTTTTCTGGCGATTGTTGCCGTTTTAAGCTTGCTTTACCATCACTATTATTCACGTCATCTACTTTTATTACATTGGTAAAATCTGTACAGACATCACACCAACCAACTATGTTGAAGGCTTGAAATAATACTGCGATCGATTTTCATCAAGAAATGGGTCAGGAATTTTCCACAATAGTGCAAATAATCGTGAAGGCTGATCGCGGAAAAGCGATTGCGTGACGCTCGGTAAGCTGTAAGATGACATGTTATTATATACTAGACGTAAAAACTCTTCAGATTCTTAGTCTGCATTTTGTACCCACTCTGCAGTCTATATTTTGTATCCGGCCTGCAGTCTGCTGTCCACGTTTTGTACTAACAGGTATCCGTGGCACCAATACAGTTTATTTTTGGTTACATTTATTCGCACAACACACATAATCTACCACAAAATACCTGTGTGAGGTAATTCGACATTTTCATTCTTTCCCGCGTTAATAATCTTCTTTCCTATTATAAGAATGTAGACCACTTACAATGTTTCAAGTAATCCACCCACTTTACAAAAAATAACTCTTGCATGCATAGCATGCCTATGTTTTGAGACAGGTGTTTGCCCTTGGCCAGACTTGAGCTCACTATTTCAGTATACTAGTCCGACACCTGTAGTATCACTACACTTGATTCCACGGATCCAGTACCATCCAGGTATCCCAGTTACCCTGCTCACAGGGTCTAGTTTTTCCTCCGCCACAAAATGGAAAAATTGCGCAATAGTACCCAGAGGTCATTGGGCCCTCAACACCATGACAACTAACTGTGATCCAATGAGGTGTTCACATGCTGATCACGCGTGTTATCTTGATGATGATTGACGTTGCCATGCACAGACAGGGCCGGGTCACATGACGAACACGAGATTTTGCTTATAAAACTCTTAGGTCAGTTGTTTTGTATTTCAACGTATTTGGATTGCGATCTCCTGGAGCATTATAGCGCAAACGCGCAAAATACTTACAGACGCATATACAAGTCGTATTAATCGCGGCTAATCCACACTGAAAGATGTTATTGAGCGGTAATTTTGGAACGGATTGAGTCGCGAACGCTTGAAAGCCATGAAAGCCTTGAATGCCTTGTATGCTAAGTATGTCAATGTCTTAGTTGAAAAACGTTCACTTGTTGTAAAAAGCAAAATCTGAAATCTGAAACCAAACTGCATATACTCTATGCAATCTATTGAACAACGCTACTACCGTGAGACTGAAGAACATAACTATATGGGATGCAAACTGCTTGTGAAGAAAGACGACATGTTGGATTCACTTGATGGCAAGGAACGTAGCTACGATAACAGTACGAATGGTATTAATTTCACGATCAGAAAGGTGAATCTTATGTTTGTTTTCATTGTAGTTGTATGGATATTCTTTTTTAATAAATACGTGATCCAAAACCCTGTGTTTTTTTGTGTATAATGTTGTTATGTTAAATATTCTTTAGGCAATTGTCTTGTCACAAGCGGCCCAAGCTCACGTCTCGAGAAAAAGCCAACGATTAATTCATGAACGCGTCACGCGTTGTGTGACTCGGTGTTAAGTTACGAGAGGAACTGCACGTTATAAGGAATAGTCCATGGAGCGAAGTATGGTCGATTTACAACGATACATATTTCGAAATATGAACATTTTTCTCGTAAAATCAATAAAACTTACTCATACCATGTGTATCCTTTGTATTTTCTGGCGATTTCTGCCGTTTTAAGCTTGCTTTACCATCACTGTTGTTCACATCATCTACTTTTATTACGTTGATAAAATCTGTACAGACATCACACCAACCAACTCGCGCGCAAAGTAAGAAGACTATATTGAAGGCTTGAAATAATACTGCGATCGATTTTCATTAAGAAATGGGCCAGGAATATTCCACAATAGTGCAAATAATCGTGAAGGCGGATTGCAGAAAAGCGATTGCGTGACGCTCAGTAAGCTGTAAGATTGCATGTTATTATATACCAGACGTAAAAACTCTTCAGATTCTTAGTCTGCATTTTGTACCCACTCTGCAGTCTGCAGTCTATATTTTGTATCCGGTCTGCAGTCTGCTGTCTGCATTTTGTACTAACAGGTATCCGTGGCACCAATACAGTTTATTTTTGGTTACATTTATTCGCAAAACACACATAATCTACCACAAAATACATGTGAGTGAGGTAATTCGACATTTTCGTTCTTTCCCACATTAATATTCTTCTCTCCTTTTGTAAGAATGTAGACATCACTCACAATGTTTCAAGTAATCCACCCACCCTACAAAAAGGGAACTCTTGCACGCATAGCATGCCTATGTTTTGAAATAGGTGTATGCCCTTGGCCAGACTTGAGCGCAATATTTCAGTATACTAGTCCGACACCCGTAGTATCACTACACTTGATTCCAAGGATCCAATACCATCCAGGTATCCCAGTTACCCTGCTCACACGGTCTAGTTTTTACTGGGATACCTGTGGTAGCCCAGTCATAAAATGCCTTTGTTTTTTTGTCTTTTTACTGGGATACCTGTGGTAGCCCAGTCATAAAATGCCTTTGTTTTTTTTTTTTTTTTTTTTTTTTTTTTCCTCCGCCACAAAATGGAAAAATTGCGCAATAGTACCCAGAGGTCATTGGGCCCTCAATACCATGACAACTAACTGTGATCCAATGAGGTGTTCACATACTGATCACGCGTGTTATCCCTCAACTCCATGACAACTAACTGTGATCCAATGAGGTGTTCACATGCTGATCACGCGTGTTATCTTGATGATGATTGACGTTGTCATGCACAGACAGGGCCGGGTCACATGACAAACACGAGATTTTGCTTATAAAACTCTTAGGTCAGTTGTTTTGTATTTCAACGTATTTGGATTGCGATCTCCTGGAGCATTATAGCGCAAACGCGCAAAATACTTACAGACGCATATACAAGTCGTATTAATCATGGCTAATCCACACTGAAAGATGTTATTGAGCGGTAATTTTGGAACGGATTGAGTCGCCAACGCTTGAAAGCCATGAAAGCCTTGAATGCCTTGTATGCTAAGTATGCCGATGTCTTAGTTGAAAAATGTTCACTTGTTGTAAAAAGCAAAATCTGAAATCTGAAACCAAACTGCATATACTCTATGCAATCTATTGAACAACGCTACTACCGTGAGACTGAAGAACATAGCTATAAGGGATGCAAACTGCTTGTGAAGAAAGACGACATGTTGGATTCACTTGATGGCAAGGAACGTAGCTACGATAACAGTACGAATGGTATTAATTTCACGATCAGAAAGGTGAATCTTACGTTTGTTTTCATTGTAGTTGTATGGATATTCTTTTTAATAAATACGTGATCCAAAACCCTGTTTTTTTGTGTATAATGTTGTTATGTTAAATATTGTTTACGCAATTGTCTTGTCACAAGCGGCCCAAGCTCACGTCTCGAGAAAAAGCCAACGATTAATTTATGAACGCGTCACGCGTTGTGTGACTCGGTGTTAAGTTACGAGAGGAACTGCACGTTATAAGGAATAGTACAGGGAACGAAGTATGGTCGATTTACAACGATACATATTTCGAAATATGAACGTTTTTCTCGTAAAGTCAGTAAAAATTACTCATACCCTGTGTATCCGTTGTATTGATTGGCGATTTCTGCCGTTTTAAGCTTGCTTTACCATCACTGTTGTTCACATCATCTACTTTTATTACGTTGATAAAATCTGTACAGACATCACACCAACCAACTCGCGCGCAAAGTAATAAGACTATATTGAAGGCTTGAAATAATATTGCGATCGATTTTCATCAAGAAATGGGCCAGGAATATTCCTCAATACTGCAAATAATCGTGAAGGCGGATCGCAGAAAAGCGATTGCGTGACGCTCGGTAAGCTGTAAGATGACATGTTATTATATACCTGACGTAAAAACTCTTCAGATTCTTAGTCTGCATTTTGTACCCACTCTGCAGTCTGCAGTCTATATTTTATATCCGGTCTGCAGTCTGCTGTCTGCATTTTGTACTAACAGGTATCTGTGACACCAATACAGTTTATTTTTGGTTACTACTATTCGCAAAACACACGTAATCTACCACAAAATACCTGTGAGTGAGGTAATTTGACATTTTCGTTCTTTCCCACATTAATATTCTTCTCTCCTTTTGTAAGGATGTAGACATCACTCACAATGTTTCAAGTAATCCACCCACCCTACAAAAAAGTAACTCTTGCATGCATAGCGTGCCTATGTTTTGAAATAGGTGTATGCCCTTGGCCAGACTTGAGCGCACTATTTCAGTATACTAGTCCGACACCCGTAGTAACACTGCACTTGATTCCAAGGATCCAGTACCATCCAGGTATCCCAGTTACCCTGCTCACAGGGTCTAGTTTTTTTTTTTTTTTTCCTCCGCCACAAAATGGAAAAATTGCGCAATAGTACCCAGAGGTCATTGGGCCCTCAACACCATGACAACTAACTGTGATCCAATGAGGTGTTCACATACTGATCACGCGTGTTATCCCTCGACACCATGACAACTAACTGTGATCCAATAAGGTGTTCACATGCTGATCACGCGTGTTATCTTGATGATGATTGACGTTGTCATGCACAGAGAGGGCCGGGTCACATGACGAACACGAGATTTTGCTCAAGAAACTCTTTGGTCAGTTGTTTTGCATTTCAACGTATTTGGATTGCGATCTCCTGGAGCATTATAGCGCAAACGCGCAAAATACTTACAGACGCATATACAAGTCGTATTAATCGCGGCTAATCCACACTGAAAGATGTTATTGAGCGGTAATTTTGGAACGGATTGAGTCGCGAACGCTTGAAGGCCATGAAAGCCTTGAATGCCTTGTCTGCTAAGTCTGCCAATGTCTTAGTTGAAAAACGTTCGCTTGTTGTAAAAAGCAAAATCTGAAATCTGAAACCAAACTGCATATACTCTATGCAATCTATTGAACAACGCTACTACCGTGAGACTGAAGAACATAACTATATGGGATGCAAACTGCTTGTGAAGAAAGACGACATGTTGGATTCATTTGATGGCAAGGAACGTAGCTACGATAACAGTACGAATGGTATTAATTTCACGATCAGAAAGGTGAATCTTATGTTTGTTTTCATTTTAGTTGTATGGATATTCTTTTTTAATAAATACGTGATCCAAAACCCTGTGTTTTTTGTGTATAATGTTATTATGTTAAATATTGTTTACGCAATTGTCTTGTCACAAGCGGCCCAAGCTCACGTCTCGAGAAAAAGCCAACGATTAATTCATGAACGCGTCACGCGTTGTGTGACTTGGTGTTAAGTTACGAGAGGAACTGCACGTTATTAGGTATGGTCGATTTACAACGATACATATTTCGAAATATGAACATTTTTCTCGTAAAATCAATAAAACTTACTCATACCCTGTGTATCCGTTGTATTTTCTGGCTTGCTTTACCATCACTGTTGTTCACATCATCTACTTTTATTACGTTGATAAAATCTGTACAGACATCACACCAACCAACTCGCGCGCAAAGTAAGAAGACTATATTGAAGGCTTGAATAATATTGCGATCGATTTTCATCAAGAAATGGGCCAGGAATATTCCACAATAGTGCAAATAATCGTGAAGGCGGATTGCAGAAAAGCGATTGCGTGACGCTCGGTAAGCTTTAAGATGACATGTTATTATATACCAGACGTAAAAACTCTTCAGATTCTTAGTCTGCATTTTGTACCCACTCTGCAGTCTGCAGTCTATATTTTGTATCCGGTCTGCAGTCTGCTGTCTGCATTTTGTACTAACAGGTATCCGTGGCACCAATACAATTTATTTTTGGTCACATTTATTCGCAAAACACACATAATCTACCATAAAATACATGTGAGTGAGGTAATTCGACATTTTCGTTCTTTCCCACATTAATATTCTTCTCTCCTTTTGTAAGGATGTAGACATCACTCACAATGTTTCAAGTAATCCACCCACCCTACAAAAAAGGAACTCTTGCACGCATAGCATGCCTATGTTTTGAAATAGGTGTATGCCTTGGCCAGACTTGAGCGCAATATTTCAGTATACTAGTCCGACACCCGTAGTATCACTTCACTTGATTCCAAGGATCCAATACCATCCAGGTATCCCAGTTACCCTGCTCACAGGGTCTAGTTAATGTGTATGTTACTCTCACGCAGATTTCGTTTTGATATTACATGAGCCTCGATTACTAATACGGTTTGTTATGAACCTTTAGCGATATACAATTGATTAGGCTATTGCCTTTCGCTGAAGTAATGGATGATTTAGATATAAAACAATTCAGAAGCTCCATAACCCGCATATTCTTTTACTCATGACCAAAAGTCTGAAAAAACTCGAAAGTGCCAGACACGGTCGAAGGGAAACTCAGCGGGGAAGGGAGAAATCCATCGGAATTGGAACTGCCAATGGGGGTCTCGTCTCAAGTTCCCTTGGGTATTTAAAAAGGGTTTCGATCTGACCTTTCAGGACAAGAACTTTGTTTTAAACATTCGATTTTGAAAACCTTGTGGATGAAACGTAAAAAATTAAAAAAGAAAAAAAAAGCAGTTGAGTGGAATAGATATTAAAAAGTAAATATCGTTTTTATTATCTTTCTTCGTCCGTTGAAGCTATCAAAAATACATTTTCGAGCATATTACAGATTTAATTTCAGGTTTTTCATGATTAATCCAGCCCCATTTTGATTTAAAGCTAAACGGCACTTTATTGTCATCATTTCAGTCCATTTTATGCGCTAGACAACCTACGGGCATTTAAGGTGGTCTTCCACTCAAAAATTTGTACTTTTTGTCAAAAAACTTTCATTTTGAAAATGGTGCTTTTTGGTATCTTTAACCATTACTCTTTCATTCTACAGCTTCCTTTTTTCCATATTCAGGAGGTAAAGTCAAAAATTTTGCTAAATTCCTTAGCGAGTATGAATTTTCACCTTAGCAACGACCATAGCAACGGTTTGTTTATGAAAACAAAACGCAGTTGCAGTCAAAAGGAAACGACGGAATTTCTCCTGGGACCCCTCCCTGGTTATTCCCGTTGTTTATTGACATTTCAATCAGGCATACATGCAGTGAGTTACGAGCACCCAAAATGGCGGATGATATGTGGCGACACTATTTCCCAACTTATCATCCACCATTTTGGTCGTATTCGTTCACTCTATTCCTATTGCGATTTTGCTTGATAATTTATTTATCAATGCCACCAAAGGCTCGTTCTGGTTACACAAAAAGCGTAAATATCGTGGAAACCAGTACTCTACTGAATCGAAGCGTTCGAAGAAGGAAAAACGAGTGTCAGCACCAAAGGTCTTGGGAAAGAATGTTCAGCTTCTGCCCGCAAGATTCCAGCAGGTCTGACCACCGCATCTTCTGAGGGTATCAAGGAGTGTAAGGAGTCAATCATAAGTGGATTTCGGTTTGTAGATATGAGAATTTTGTCTTCTGTGATGGAATGTATGCCATGCAAAGAATGCTTTGTTTGTGATTTAATTTTACAAGAGCAAGCTATGAAACGCAAAGGTTGTGCCTCGAATCTTCGTTTGCTTTGCTGCTCGTGTGGTTGGTCTATGGAATTCTTTACTTCAGCTCAAATAGGCCGTTTCTTTGAAGTAAACAGAAGATTTGTGTATGCTTCAAGATCTGTTGGTTGTGGACGTGCGGCAGGTAAGAGGTTTTGTGGACTTATAAACATGCCGCCACCTCCTAGACCTACACCATATGCTCGCCATAATAAAGAAATACTCCGAGCAGTAAAGAAGATCTCACTGGAGACAATGCGTGATACTGCAAGAGAGATTCACGATATCAAGCCAGGTTCAGATGAGGGCATAGCAAGATGTGGAGTGTCTGTTGATGGAACATGGCAGAGAAGAGGCTTTTCTTCTTTAAATGGCTGTGTGAGTGCTATTAGCATGGATACAGGGAAAGTGGTAGATGTTGAGCCCCTAAGCAAAGTTTGTATCAAGTGCAGGGAGCATGAAAATGATCCTGACACCCCAGAAACTACTGCATGGAGAGCAGACCACAGAGCCTCTTGCAAGGCAAACTTTAAGGGTTCAGCACCAGCTATGGAACCAGAAGGCGCCCTTCGAATGTTTCAAAGGTCAGTAGATCTGCATAAGCTGCAGTATGATGAATATTATGGCGATGGTGACAGCAAAAGTTACTCATTAGTCAAAGATGTATACCAAGTCTATGATATTCAAGTTCAAAAGAAGGAATGTGTTGGCCATGTTCAAAAACGACTGGGAACAGCTTTACGAAAGTTAAAGAAGGAAAAGAAAGGGATGGGTGGGAAAGGCAGGCTGACAGATGCCATGATTGACAGACTGCAAAATTACTATGGAATTGCCATTCGAAGCAACTCAGGTGATCTTGCTGCCATGAAGAAGGCAATTTATGCCAGCTTGTTTCACTGTGCTTCTTCTGCAGACAGTAATTACCATGGGCATTGCCCTGAGGGTCCTGAAAGCTGGTGTGGTTTTCAGCGGGACAAGGTCAATAGGACAAACACTTTCAAACATGGAACTGGCCTACCTTTAGATGTCAGAGAGGAAATCAAACCCATTTATAAAAGGTTGAGTGAGGACAGCCTTCTCAGCAAATGTCTTGATGGCAAGACTCAAAACCAGAATGAGTCACTCAATGGTATGGTTTGGGAGCGTGTGCCAAAGGGGTGTTTGTTGGTTCTGAAGTACTGCAGCTGGGGGTTTATGATGCTGTCGCTCACTTTAATATTGGTTCAAGAGCAGCTATTAAAGTGTTTGAGAGTCTTGGAATTCCCCAGGTGAATTCTGTATAAATGAATGCCAGCAGTTGGACAAGATTCGTGTTTTGAAAGCTGAATACAAGTTCCAAGAGAAGAACAAGACAAGGAGGAGGCTACTCAGGGGAAAAAAAAGAAAAAAAAAATGACAAATCCCAGGAAAAGGAGGGTGACATATATGCACCTGGTGCATTTTAATGAGAACATCAAAGAGCTTAGCTTAAACTTTCCAAAAGGCACCAGTTGCTTTAGTGATTATTTTGATTGATCAACTTAAATCTTTAAACTTGATTTTCTCAGTTTTGCAATTTTGAGAGAGTGCCCGTCACGGCAAAAAAAAAAGGATTTCTTGAAAAGTATTAAACCAAAAGGGATGAAATTTTCAGGGAGGTTTGCTTGAGTATAGTTCTGTGTTGTGAACCTAAAATTATTAGTGATTTTTAGTTACATGGTTGTTGACAGATGTATCCATGGTGATAATACAAACAAAAATGTTGTAATCAAGGAACAGTTGCAATTTTATAATAGCTTGGCATAAAAAATATGGGTTTTCTGAGGTTCATGACATAAAGCCATCTTTGTACTTAGTTTTGATACCAATTTCAGGTGAATAGGACCGCTAGTTCTTGAGATATCCTTTTTACAAGAACACCATTATTTTCACAGTTGGGGGCCCAAAACTTGGTTACCGTGGCAACGACATGTCTATCAAAATTCTTAAAAGTATCAGTTTGAGGTGATCTCTCCAATGGTACTTAAATAACTTAGGTAAAGCATAAACTGAATTTTTTTAAAATTTGAGTGGAAGACCACCTTAACCATCGTCCTTTTCCCGGGGGGGTGGGGGATTTGAACCTTGCCTGGTTGGGGCAGGGCATTTGAAACGGAAGTTTCAAGATAATACAGCTGGTTAAAGTACAGCGGAGTAAAGCTGTTTACAATCAAGCTTGTTTGGGTTCATTCCATGTCATCATGGTTGAGGTTCCCCACTTACTCGCCCCTTCTGAAATGCTGGTGTACAAGTGAAGTCTACACAGAAATTTATTATAAAAGCAATTACATTGTTACATGAATCAATGTTTGTAGATGATTTATCCTTAGCCTATTCTTTTTTACCTACACTGACTTGAAGCACCTTTGCCCAAAAAAAAAAGAAGTTTATTCAGAAAAATTGAAGAAAAAAGTATCCAACATGTTTCAAAACAAAGAAAAGGAGAAAATATGGCTGATCTCCGTTTACTCCAGTTCATCACGGTTTGCCTTTTTTCCCTGATTACTCATTATTTTCCAGCTAAACGCTAGAATATGGTAGATTTCACGCATATCAATCCTCACCAAACGTAAAAAGAAAATTATAGCTATATTTAGAAAACAGTGACATAAGTGAACGTTCCACTGACAAATCATTCCAAGAATGCATTTTGTAAAAATCATATCCTGCATCTACCTGCCTTGCGTAAAGCGAATAAAAAAACATCTTCTGAAAAAATTTCGGCAAGACTTTTAAGGAAAAGTAAACAAATAATCAAGAGTTAGCATTTATGCCAAAAATGATCGGTGGTTAGTCACAAATGAGCGATGATTAACAACTTTTAACATATGGGATAACAACAGAGACCGGTATAGTCAAGGAAATGAGCATCTTGTGAGCATGCGTAGCCACCTCCACCTTTTGGTTTGCAGGTAAACACGTAATAACAACTGTGCGTCATGTAAGAGCATTTCATGTCATATTCAACATGAATACCATTCGAATAGCCCTTTCTATTTTCGTTTTGTTTTCTCATACATTCCAACCACTTCTTCTTGCCTTCCGAGGTGCATGGCGAGATGTCTGATAACACATGACTCCGTCTCCCACGTCCATGACCTAGTGGAAATATAAACCAGAAAAATTATGTTGGTGAACTGAAGCCTCTGAAAACTTTGTAATCGTTTATGACTTCACATTACATCCCCTTACTCTCCCCAGACCCCATTAATTAAAAGCGGCTGTGAACCCTCTCCACTGAAAAAGAGTTGTTGATATAACCAAATCACAAAACTGTTTGGGCGGATCACTTCAAAACTTTATTCGCCTTCAGAGAGGAAATTGTAGCTTAGCAATCTTCGTTTTTCTCAAGAGAGATTTTAAGGAGACTAATCAAAGTATGGTTCCTTAGATAGGTTAAGGAGGTATCAAGGAATAACAAACTCTTTAGAGCTAAATATTATTAGGCTCGAGGGGGCGATCGCTTAGAGCTACTGCAAAAAGGAAGCCTGAGAAAAGTAAGGTTTCAACGGGATTCAAATACACAAAAAGCTTTATCGTCGCGAGTATCTTCTTCAAATTACTCGCTATACCTGCATGAGCGTTAATTTCTCTCACCTCGCTTGACTATCGATTTCACATTATCGAAATTCAAGGAAGTTTTTTCAACTCTGAAGATAGGAAATCCACCACAAAAATCGATAAACGTCTGGGGCAAATCTAGTCGACTTGCAAAGCCCACCACTTTCCAACCAGTGTTCTTAATCGTCATATTTGAGGGGGAAAATTGCTCTCGTAAAGACATCTAGAATGATAACAGGGAATACGTGACAAATAACAACACGCCAAGGCCTATTTGTTCATTAACTACGTAAAAAAAAAGTTTTATCCAACTTCTCTACCGAAGAAGAAAAAAGGTAATTTCCCTAAGACCCACGGAATTCTTTAAGAGGTGACAACAAAAACGTTGTTCCCATGGCATTTTTTAAGGAACAACGCAGCCAATCTTATGGCTGTCTACAAAAGACTAGGTCACGGTACTCCGGTCAGGAAAAGGAAGGCGAAAAAGCTTCGTCAAGAAAAGTTTGCCCACAACTCTTAAGTGTGGAACTCTACTAAATTTATAACTTTCACTTCTAAATTTTGCAAATATGGTATTCCCCTCAGTTATGACTTCTCGAGACGTTACGAACTGGGGCTTGCCTTTAAAAAGACTTTGTCAGTATTACAATGCAAATCCTGGCTAAAGTTCAGATCGATAGATAATGATTAAAACCTTGAGTTTGCCTATTAATTGGATTTTTTGTGTCAAGAGGTCGATCAGTGAAATATTCCGTCTCATTACCCCGAGAATCGTTGACCCATCCAAACATATCGGATTAAGAATTACTTGTTCAGAAACGGATCGAAAGAAGGCAGAATGGGAATTATTGTGACAAAGTCTGTTTTAGAAAGTAGCAAAATAAAACAACCCTATGAAATATCACCAGTAATAATTATTTACTCAATTAATTTTTAAATATCCCTTTGAAGCTGAATTTAAGAAGATTGGCGTCGTTGTAAGTGTCCTAATTCTTGTATATTTGGCAAATGATGAATGAAAGATAAAATATGTGTATGTACGTATATTGACAACTCCCTCATGGAAGCCAATACGAAAAATTGGATAACTGGCAGGAGTCAGACCAGTTGGCTATACATAAAGCGCAAACTGAGAACAAATCCAGAGAGTGTCAGGGTAGAGGGCTTGAACCAGGAACTACCAGATTATAAGACCAGTGCCCTAAACACTCGGCCACTCCGTCTCTCATAAGTAATACCTCTTCCATGTTGAACTTCATCTGCTCTGGCCGGGGAATAGATAAGTCCAGGTGGGATACATAGCAGACTCTAGCTGATGGCATTCGGCGAACAGTTAAGCCCTAGAAAAAAAGAAAAAGAAAACCATTTAGGATTATGCCTCCTCACTTTCCCTAAATGTCTCATGCAGGAGGACGGCATAATATAATTCAGAGATCTACTTTTTAAAAGTCAAAATCAGTCTAGAGCTCTTTGTCCTGGGGTCCCGCTTCGATTTGATACGAGATTCTATGTCTGACCTCACGTACAGTATTGAACACGGTAAAGCCTACAATGACGATTTAGCGAATTCTCAGCTGCAAACACCTCATGCCTGAAAAGTCCTTAAAAGAAGACCTGATGGAAAGACTTGGAAATATTATTTCTCATCTGTCTAATGGCTACAAAAATCTGCCCGAACGCTTAACTTTGGTATATACTCTTGTTCAACCCACATGCATTGTGTAGGATCATTCACTTCTACGCTTCTTTTGTGTGTCCTATATATTAGCATTTGCAAGAGTTCTCTAATCATACATGTACATTGCATACATGCATCTGGGTTCAGTGTTAGCATCAATTTTTTTTTGCTTCAGACAAAAAGCGTAGAACCATCTGATTTTCTTCCTTTTTCGAGTAAGAGTCCTTCAATTTATTTCCTCACAGGGAACGGCCGGAGCTAAAATTGTCTTTCTCTAGGATATCAGGTAACGCTAGAAAATCCTTGGTTTGCACGCGACGTCATAAAAATACAATGTCCAAAATACAAAGGCTATTACAGTTTTACCTCCAAAAGACGAAAGACCTCCTAAAAATTAATCTTTTGGTATGGTTGCAACCTCGTAGGGTTCTTCATTTTGAAAATAGAGCCATTTCTACTTTCATAATTTTTTGTCATTTGACATTGAAATCGCGGCCCGGAAACCTGACACATATATAAAATAATTGTATCGTGTGACCTTTTCTTCCTTGGGCATTAAAAGTTTTAGAAGATGTTTTTGCAAGTTCACAGTGGATAACTACTCATTTAACTGGCAAAACAACGTTACATGTTCTGATGGAAAACTGTTCTTTAAGCACTTTCCTAGAAATATAATTGAAAATATGGCGAAATGTAGTTGGGCAAAATCATCCGCGTTCCAGAGTACTCGCACAACCGGTTTTGATCCGATAGAAGAATTTCGTTTCTTGGGAGAGTTTTTCAATTATATCGACGCAGAATTTCCTGGCTGGGAACTCGAATGGTTTCATACCCGGCTAGGTCAATAGAACATCTATAATTCTCCCTGCTTATTGTTGAGTACACCTTAAGGATACAATATACTTTCAGGGGAGAAATTTTTCGATTTGCTTTAAGTATTAAAGTGTAATCTATTGGACTTGATCACTTTGGCAGATGAAAAAAAGAATTTAGGAAAACATCAGATTCCGATCTT